TAAATGTCAAGAGGCTTTTTTAACCATTAAGTCATTTTTATCTAATGCTCCTGTTATGGCTGCACCAATTTTCAGCAAGCCCTTTAAACTTGCCATTGATGCCAGCAACTTAGCCGTTGGTTCAGTCCTATTTCAAGAAGACAACATGGGAATTGACCATCCCATTGCCTTTTTTTCCAGGAAGTTAAATGAGAACCAAAAGAATTACTCTACTATTGAAAAAGAAGCTTTAGCTTTGGTTTTATCGTTACAACATTTTGAAGTCTATGTCTCTTCTTCAACCAATCCAGTCAGAGTGTTTTCTGACCATGATCCCCTGAAATTTACCTCTAAGTTAGGACAGACAAATCAAAGAATATTGAGATGGTGTTTATATTTCCAAAATTTTAATCTGGAAATTTCACACATTAAGGGTAGTGATAATGTTGTGGCTGATTGTTTGTCAAGGATGTAAAATCTTATTGCACACATTGATCATGTGACATGTTTTGTGGTTCATTAAGACCATACACAAGTGGTGTGATTTTTGATTTTTTCAAAATTCCAATTCTATTGAATATTTTGTTTATTTTCAGGTGAACCTTAATTAAAGGTGGTTTTTGATTATATGTAATCTTTTATAATAATATGTCTCATATGACTCAGTTGATATTGTAGCTAGTCATTGAAATAAAGGTCTTACCCTAGCGGGTTTACCTTTTTTAATATCCTCATGGAAAGGTTGTAATACCCTTTTCTGAGGGATTTTGATGTATAATTACTTTTTGAAGGGTTACTTCCCTTTCACCAATTGTATAAGTTTGAGTTACTTCCCTTTTATGTTCAGGGATATTTTCATCTGGTATTATGATTTTGATTGCCTACATTTGTAAAACATTTTTGTTATTTCATTGCCAGATTGGTTCCTTATGTATGTTTTGTGGAACCTATCTGTCACTTCCAAAAAGGGAGGGGATGTGACCTACTTAGGTCGAGTCAGGTTCTATTTTTGTTTTGACATTGTATAATACCTTATATGGAGTGATTGTGCAACAACCGGGGTTTTTCCACTGACTTATTGAGGTGTCTAAGACATAGAAATTTTCCATTAAGATCTGATTGAATGATTCTGGTCAGATGACTATCCCAACCAATGGCTACATGAGTTGAGGATAATCTCCCCTGTGGCAGAAGTCTTTAATTGCACCGCACACTCGCCACACGTGGCAGTTTTTACCTTGATCAGGCAGCCGTCCATATTGTCCGGCGATCGATTCTGACCATTTGAACGTGACAGAACTTAAGTCCTGTGTGTGCATTGCTTTCCTAAGTTCATTTAGTCTTCTAGTATAATATTACTTGTCGCCAAGTAATTCTTGAAGCTATAGCAGTGTTGTGTGGCCTGTGGCTATTATTAGGCAGTGTAGAAATCTGTGATAGTGTTTTTTCCTACACTCTGTAAGTTGGGTTTTGATATTTTATACATTAAATATTTTATCTAGTTTAACCTTGTGTTCTGCCACAACTGTGTTCGCTTATTAAAGGTTGTATGCAGATTGGATGAGTGTTAATTACAATAGTATCACTAGTTTTCCCTAGACATCGAATTCGAGCCCTAGTGTGTCGTTGTGTTAGTGTTCATCCATTTAGGCCGTGAGGCATTTGCATATAACCCCGAAAAAAGAATCCGGGGACGTTCACCTTCTATCTGGCTGATAGATAGGGGACGTTACAAGGCAGATCTTTCAATGTCTAGTGGGGCAGATCTTCCAATGTTTAGTGGGGTAGATCTTTCAATGTCTAGTGGGGCAGATCTTCCAATGTTTAGTGGGGCAGATCTTTCAATGTCTAGTCTAGTGGGGCAGATCTTTCAATGTCTAGTCTAGTGAGGCAGATCTTTCAATGTCTAGTGGGGCAGATCTTTCAATGTTTAGTGGGGTAGATCTTTCCATGTCTAGTGGGGCAGATCTTCCAATGTTTAGTGGGGCAGATCTTTCAATGTCTAGTCTAGTGGGGCAGATCTTTCAATGTCTAGTCTAGTGAGGCAGATCTTCCAATGTTTAGTGGGGCAGATCTTCCAATGTTTAGTGGGGTAGATCTTTCAATGCCTAGTGGGGCAGATCTTTCAATGTCTAGTAGGGCAGATCTTTCAATGTCTAGTCTAGTGGGGCAGATCTTTCAATGTCTATTGGGGCAGATCTTTCAATGTCTAGTGGGGCAGATCTTCCAATGTCTAGTGGGGCAGATCTTCCAATGTTTTGTGGGGCAGATCTTCCAATGTTTAGTGGGGTATATCTTTCAATGTCTAGTGGTGCAGATCTTTCAATGTCTAGTGGGGCAGATCTTCCAATGTCTAGTGGGGCAGATCTTCCAATGTCTAGTCTAGTGGGGCAGATCTTTCAATGTCTAGTGGGGCAGATCTTTCAATGTCTAGTGGGGCAGATCTTCCAATGTCTAGTCTAGTGGGGCAGATCTTTCAATGTCTAGTGGGGCAGATCTTTCAATGTCTAGTGGGGCAGATCTTCCAATGTCTAGTGGGGCAGATCTTCCAATGTCTAGTGGGGCAGATCTTTCAATGTCTAGTAGGGCAGATCTTTCCATGTCTAGTAGGGCAGATCTTTCCATGTCTAGTGGGGCAGATCTTTCAATGTTTAGTGGGGCAGATCTTCCAATGTCTAGTGGGGCAGATCTTTCAATCTCTAGTGGGGCAGATCTTTCAATGTCTAGTGAGGCAGATCTTTCAATGTCTAGTGGGGCAGATCTTCCAATGTCTAGTGGGGCAGATCTTCCAATGTCTAGTGGGGCAGATCTTCCAATGTTTAGTGAGGCAGATCTTTCAATGTCTAGTCTAGTGGGGCAGATCTTTCAATGTCTAATCTAGTGAGGCAGATCTTTCAATGTTTAGTGGGGTATATCTTTCAATGTCTAGTGGGGCAGATCTTCCAATGCTTAGTGGGGTAGATCTTTCAATGTCTAGTGGGGCAGATCTTTCAATGTCTAGTCTAGTGAGGCAGATCTTTCAATGTCTAGTGGGGCAGATCTTCCAATGTTTAGTGAGGCAGATCTTTCAATGTCTAGTCTAGTGGGGCAGATCTTTCAAAGTCTAGTCTAGTGAGGCAGATCTTCCAATGTTTAGTGGGGTATATCTTTCAATGTCTAGTGGGGCAGATCTTCCAATGTTTAGTCTAGTGAGGCAGATCTTTCAATGTCTAGTGGGGCAGATCTTCCAATGTTTAGTGGGGTAGATCTTTCAATGTCTAGTGGGGCAGATCTTCCAATGTTTAGTGGGGGCAGATCTTTCAATGTCTAGTCTAGTGGGGCAGATCTTTCAATGTCTAGTCTAGTGAGGCAGATCTTTCAATGTCTAGTGGGGCAGATCTTTCAATGTTTAGTGGGGTAGATCTTTCCATGTCTAGTGGGGCAGATCTTCCAATGTTTAGTGGGGCAGATCTTTCAATGTCTAGTCTAGTGGGGCAGATCTTTCAATGTCTAGTCTAGTGAGGCAGATCTTCCAATGTTTAGTGGGGCAGATCTTCCAATGTTTAGTGGGGTAGATCTTTCAATGCCTAGTGGGGCAGATCTTTCAATGTCTAGTAGGGCAGATCTTTCAATGTCTAGTCTAGTGGGGCAGATCTTTCAATGTCTATTGGGGCAGATCTTTCAATGTCTAGTGGGGCAGATCTTCCAATGTCTAGTGGGGCAGATCTTCCAATGTTTTGTGGGGCAGATCTTCCAATGTTTAGTGGGGTATATCTTTCAATGTCTAGTGGGGCAGATCTTTCAATGTCTAGTGGGGCAGATCTTCCAATGTCTAGTGGGGCAGATCGTCCAATGTCTAGTGGGGCAGATCTTCCAATGTCTAGTCTAGTGGGGCAGATCTTTCAATGTCTAGTGGGGCAGATCTTTCAATGTCTAGTGGGGCAGATCTTCCAATGTCTAGTCTAGTGGGGCAGATCTTTCAATGTCTAGTGGGGCAGATCTTCCAATGTCTAGTGGGGCAGATCTTTCAATGTCTAGTAGGGCAGATCTTTCCATGTCTAGTGGGGCAGATCTTTCAATGTTTAGTGGGGCAGATCTTCCAATGTCTAGTGGGGCAGATCTTTCAATCTCTAGTGGGGCAGATCTTTCAATGTCTAGTGAGGCAGATCTTTCAATGTCTAGTGGGGCAGATCTTCCAATGTCTAGTGGGGCAGATCTTCCAATGTCTAGTGGGGCAGATCTTCCAATGTCTAGTCTAGTGGGGCAGATCTTTCAATGTCTAGTGGGGCAGATCTTTCAATGTCTAGTGGGGCAGATCTTTCAATGTCTAGTAGGGCAGATCTTTCAATGTCTAGTGGGGCAGATCTTTCAATGTCTAGTGGGGCAGATCTTCCAATGACTAGTGGGGCAGATCTTCCAATGTCTAGTGGGGCAGATCTTCCAAGGTCTAGTGGGGCAGATCTTCCAATGTCTAGTCTAGTGGGGCAGATCTTACAATGTCTAGTCTAGTGGGGCAGATCTTCCAATGTCTAGTGGGGCAGATCTTCCAATGTCTAGTGGGGCAGATCTTCCAATGTCTAGTGGGGCAGATCTTCCAATGTCTAGTCTAGTGGGGCAGATCTTTCAATGTCTAGTGGGGCAGATCTTTCAATGTCTAGTGGGGCAGATCTTTCAATGTCTAGTGGGGCAGATCTTTCAATGTCTAGTAGGGCAGATCTTTCAATGTCTAGTGGGGCAGATCTTTCAATGTCTAGTGGGGCAGATCTTCCAATGACTAGTGGGGCAGATCTTCCAATGTCTAGTGGGGCAGATCTTCCAATGTCTAGTGGGGCAGAACGTGTGACCACTCTGGCTTAAACAGATGATATCTTGATGAACAAAAGGTTACCCGTACAAGACTAAACAGCCTTGACATTGGTGTGGTGGGGGGGGGTCACTCTGACATCAGGGGAAGCCAACCTGTACAGGGGCCGCTACCCTGACGTTAACAAGGGGAGGCTACTAGCATTAACCAGCTCTGAATGTGATTATCTCCCCTACAGGAATACCATCTTCTGGACGACAAGGCCATCCTATGGGTCAGCGGCCGGCCCCCCGTGGCCGAGCCTCCCTGTGGCTACCGCAGACAATACTGCCTGGTGCCAAAATGTAAGTCATCGCCAGCCTACTTCCAAAAATAGATTCTCTTTGACACGGAAACTTATTGATGTGAGATACGCTTTGGTCGGTCTATTTTAGAATTTATTTTAGGTACTAAAATCTTCAGCCATTCTTTTTTAAAGATTTATTTTTACGTTCTAAAATCTTTGGCCATTCTGTTTTAGATTTATTGAAACTTTAGAAGCACTGGACAGTCTGTTTATTTTCATTTATTTCGCAATTAATTACTTTAATTAAGCGAGACACTAGGAGAATTGAACTCTTTATCTTTGAGGGCTTTGTTGTTTTCTAGGTGAGTGGAAAAAGTTATTTGAAAGTTGTCGATACTTTAACTTTGGTGAAAGTTGAGTCTTATAAAAGAAAAAAAAAAAGAAATATCAAGACCATTAAAAAACTATCTCGAAAATAGAAGATTGTAAAAGCACTAGGATTGTGTAGCCACCAATCTCCTAGACACGAAGATTGTGGGAAGCTATTGAAACAGCCAAATGTCTTAAAAGTGCAACCGACTTTCAACAGCTGCTAAAAATCACCAACAGGTTAATTAACTGTTAATTAGCCTGTTTTTAAATTGGCAATTTTTGTTAATGAACAATTTTGTTGAATGTAAATGTGTGAAGTAAGCCTCTCATCACACATGATGAGGGCAGAAAATTTTAATGACGGGGGTAATTAGCGGCCAGCAGACCATTAGCAGACGTTTAAAAACATTCGACAGTCATCGATCGCATAATCGATCACCTGGTCGATCGTTGGTCACGCGCAGCAGACACGCCTACATTAGGAAAGTGATTAAATATAAGCAGGACTTCACACATCACATTTTGTCCTTCACACATCACATTGTTTCCTTCACACACCATAGTCTATACTCTATACAATATAATTTTTCCTTCAAAAATCATATTTTGTCCTTCACACATCATATTTTGCCTCAACTTTTCAAGTTTTCTAGAAAGATAGTGGTTAGCTTATTTTAAGATTACGATTTATTTTTCTGTAGCTCCACGAGTAGGTGAGGAAATTTACAGCGCAAATTATTCCATTAACATAACCGTTCACGGGTTTAACGACTGATTTCCCTTTTGCAACTTTTGGTGACAGTTTTTCTACAGTAATTTATCAGGAAAGTAGAAACAAGACATCAATTAAACACAGAACACAACATCATTAAACACAGAAAACAGCATCAATTAAACACAGAAAACAGCATTAATTAAACACAGAATTAAATTCTAATGTACTACGCTACCTTGATCTAATTAAAATGTACTACGCTACCTTGATCTAATTAAAATAAAAAGTCTGAACGTAACTTTACCCAGCATAAACGGCGGTGATTAAAAAGCAGAACATCCATTACTCATCTGATCAGCATACAAAAACACGGCGCTGAAATGCCAGATCAAATTGTCAAAAGCTAGACAAACACTGGCAACAATCAGGACTGATGAAATCAGATAGGACAAATTGGATATTTTACTGCATCGTGTGACGCGTCTCGCACAGAGGGATATCATTGGATATCATGGTCGACTAGAAAATTGGTGGCACTGATTGTTTGATATTGATATTGACAGTGTTCACTATGATTGTTTGCTGTTGACAATGATTGTTTGCTGTTGACAATGATTGTTTGCTGTTGACAATGATTGTTTTGGCGTTGATTGAGGCAAATTTGTCCAGCTGTATGAAGCCACTAGTTATATGTGTATGTAGCGGACAGTCTCCGTGTTGTAATACAAGGCCTGAAGTCACTCCATTTCAGGCTTTTGTCATTGTTCTCATTCTACGACGACCAAACAGACAGGGATGTAATGTGATATAGTATCAGGGCTTAGTTTAGTTAGCATAGACACACTGAACTACACATTGAAATAGACACGAACTACACACCTAGACCTACACACCTAGACCTACACACTTAGACCTACACACTTAGACCTACACACTTAGACCTACACACTTAGACCTACACACCTTGACCTACACACCTTGACCTACACACCTAGACCTACACACCTAGACCTACACACCTAGACCTACACACCTAGACCTACACACCTAGACCTACACACCTAGACCTACACACCTAGACCTACACACCTAGACCTACACACATACACCTACACACCTAGACCTACACACATACACCTACTTACATATTATAAAACTGAAATTCTTTTTTCTATCCAGCTTATCTACGAGAAATAGTGGGCGGAGTTTTAGGAGGCGTGGCTTTGGTTTTAATTCTCGTTCTGCTACTGGTATACAGGTAAGGATCCACTTTCTAATTTTATATCACGATATAAACATGCGAGTGTTAAACGTTCAGAAACTAACAATAGAACACACGTTCCAATTTGTAGATCACGAAATAAACATGAGATTATGAAACGTTCAGAAACTAACAAAAACGTAAAAATCTTGGCGTTGCAGCTAAAATTAGACCCAGCAAACTGTACGACAAGTAATACTTAATTAGCTTGAAAAGTGATTCAAAATCTATAGAATCATTCTAAAACTGTAAAGCATTATTTGAAAAGTATGGCAAGAGATAAAACTGTGGTTATTTGTTTGAACATTAAAGTCGTTTACATATTTTTGTGTTAAGGATAAGCCGCTGAAAATAATTTTAGATTTATTTTATCAATTTTTTTAAACCGCCTTGGATCTATCATTGAGTGAACCAAGGTGGCCAGGGAAAGTGAAACAATGAAAGTCACAACAATTGTTGTATACAATAAAATAAACAGGGTGACCTAGGATAAACAAAATGGCGAATTGTGGACGTTTTTAGCCCGATTCAAAATGTTGAAATGCATTAGCATATTTTTATTGAAGTGGTCTCATTAGTTTTAGACAGTTTTGCTCAAATGTTATATTACTAATAATTATTTATTTGAATATTTGTATTCTTAATAATAATAAAACCGGAATTTTTTTAGTACCTATTTCACACATTTTAATCTAATATTCCATTTTGGTTGAAAAATAAGCTTTCTGGCAACTAGAATTATGTACCACTTTTTAAGTTGTGGGAAATAGGCCTACGTCCAACATTAAAATTAAGAACAGTTAAGAAAAAGTAGTTTAAAATGTTGAAACTTTCAGAAATCGAAACGAGACAAACTTTTAAAACCTTGAAGCTTTCAGAAACTGAAAACGAAACAAACTTTTTGAAACTTTTTGAAACTTTCAGAAACTGAAAACGAAACAAACTTTTTGAAACTTTTTGAAACTTTCAGAAACTGGCGCTACGAGCAGGAAATAGCGGGACTCCTGTGGAAGATCGACGCCTCTGCCATCCAGTGTAGTGACGCAACATCCGGTCGCTGGGACCGGAAGTTGTTGACAGACGACAACGATAACTCGGCTAATTGCGTGAGCTGTTTTTATAGCCTCTATACATCTTCTTCGTGAGCTCACTGTGTGGTCAGTTAGTGATCAGTGTGGGGTCAGTGTGTGGTCAGTTTTTGGTCAGTCTGCGGTCAGTCTGCGGTCAGTGTGTGGTCGGTGTGTGGTGGTCGGTGTGGTGGTCGGTGTGTGGTCGGTGTGTGGTCGGTGTGTGGTCAGTTAGTGGTCAAGTTGTAGTGGACTGGATGTAATATGATAAGACGTCACCTGTGTAACACCTGTTTAACCTGACTAATGTATTACCTGCGTGAACTCTCTACCCTCTGTCTGTCGAGGCAAGTTTAAAATTTGTTAAAACTTAAAAACAAAAGCCACAGTTGTTGTTGTCATAGAACTTGTCATCAATGTCACAAGTATGTAACTTTCTGCTCCAAAATCAAACACCTCTCGATAATCGGCTCAACTCACTCAAATAAATCACTCAGCTAAATCACTCAACTAAATCACTCGACTAAATCACTCAGCTAAATCACTCAACTAAATCACTCAACTAAATCACTCAACTAAATCACTCAACTAAATCACTCAGCTAAATCACTCAGCTAAATCACTCAGCTAAATCACCCAGCTAAATCACTCAGCTAAATCACTCAGCTAAATCACTCAACTATATCACTCAACTAAATCACTCAGCTAAATCACTCAGCTAAATCACTCAGCTAAATCACTCAGCTAAATCACTCAGCTAAATCACTCAGCTAAATCACTCAACTAAATCACTCAGCTAAATCACTCAGCTAAATCACTCAGCTAAATCACTCAGCTAAATCACTCAGCTAAATCACTCAGCTAAATCACTCAGCTAAATCACTCAGCTAAATCACTCAGCTAAATCACTCAGCTAAATCACTCAGCTAAATCACTCAGCTAAATCACCCAGCTAAATCACTCAGCTAAATCACTCAGCTAAATCACTCAACTATAACACTCAGCTAAATCACTCAACTAAATCACTCAACTAAATCACTCAGCCAAATCACTCAGCTAAATCACTCAGCTAAATCACTCAGCTAAATCACTCAGCTAAATCACTCAGCTAAATCACTCAGCTAAATCACTCAGCTAAATCACTCAACTAAATCACTCAGCTAAATCACTCAGCTAAATCCCTCAGCTAAATCACTCAACTAAATCACTCAGCTAAATCACTCAGCTAAATCACTCAGCTAAATCACCCAGCTAAATCACTCAGCTAAATCACTCAGCTAAATCACCCAGCTAAATCACTCAGCTAAATCACCCAGCTAAATCACTCAACTATATCACTCAACTAAATCACTCAACTAAATCACTCAGCTAAATCACTCAGCTAAATCACTCAGCTAAATCACTCAGCTAAATCACTCAGCTAAATCACTCAGCTAAATCACTCAGCTAAATCACCCAGCTAAATCACTCAGCTAAATCACTCAGCTAAATCACTCAGCTAAATCACTCAGCTAAATCACCCAGCTAAATCACTCAGCTAAATCACTCAGCTAAATCACTCAACTATATCACTCAACTAAATCACTCAGCTAAATCACTCAGCTAAATCACTCAGCTAAATCACTCAGCTAAATCACTCAGCTAAATCACTCAGCTAAATCACTCAGCTAAATCACTCAGCTAAATCACTCAGCTAAATCACTCAGCTAAATCAGCTAAATCACTCAAGCAAATAATTCAAAACATTCACCTAAGCTCCACATGTCCGTAACTATCTGCTCCGATAAATTTAAATGAGAGAGGCTCGACTTAGTTGGGTACGGCTAACCAAATTACCGTAGTAAATTGACTCACAAGTTGAGTTTCCAACGGAGCATGCGCAGTTCAATTTCCTGCCAGAGCTGATCATCACCGCCCCCTTCTCTGTAGGTCAGTTAAAGGGGAGGGGAAAGGTGGGTGATGTGAGTTTAAAAGGTGGAGGCTGTACTATCTTATGGAGGGTGAGGACTGGACACAGAGGTGGGAGGATGTGGTGGTGGTTGTCGCTAGATAATGCTGTGGTGGATGAGGAGTGACGCATGAATGTTTGTGACTGATAAGGCAAAATTTGTCAGACATCCAAGTGTGTCCAACAAAATTTGTCAGAAACGTGTCATGTTCAAACCTACCCTATGACAGACGACAGATCCCACGTACCACGTGATAAGATTTCATGTGTATCCCAGCTTACGATTGGCTGTCGATAAATTCCGCAGCTAAACCTCGAGTGGATGAATCCACCACAGTGGAGAACTTGCCACCAGCGTGGAGAACTTGCCACCCAAAAACCACCGGCTTTTGAACGGCTTGAAAGCAGTTTAAATGATGCTTCCATTTTTTTTTCTTCGCTCCGTCCCCCGGGCTATCTTCGTGACGAGAAAGTGCATTAAAATTAGTTCATATCCGGTAGCTATAGAGGCCACGTTGGGCACCAATGTCTGCGGAAATGTCTGTGGAAAAGTGTCAATATGTCTGTCAATAAGTGTGTGACAAAGTCTGTGGAAATGTCTGTCAACATGTCTGTCAAAAAGTCTATCAAAAAGTCTGGCAAAAAGTCTGGCAAAAAATCTGTTAATTTCTGTTAAAAAGTCGGTGGAAAAGTCTGAGAAAAAGTATGTGAAAATATCTATAAAAATGTTTAATGTGAAAAAGTCTGTCAAAAAGTATGTCAAAATGTCTGTGGAAATGTCTGTGAAAAAGTCTGTCAAATGTCTTTTTCAGGGCATCAGCATGGTGTCGATGGAGTCCAGAAACACCTATGCCCAGGTGTACACCTACATAGGTAAATACAAAGGTCAAACGGTGGCGCTCAAAACCTTCAAGGTCAACAGTTCTGACTTGACCAGGATGGACAAGCGAGAGATGAAGCTGGTAACTAATTCTTGTCTGGTCAACTTTTTCAATTCTTGTCTGGTCAACTTTTTCAATTCTTGTCTGGTCAACTTTTTACATTCTTGTCTGGTCAACTTTTTAAATTCTTGTCTGGTCAACTTTTTCAATTCTTGTCTGGTCAACTTTTTACATTCTTGTCTGGTCAACTTGGTACAAATTCTTGTCTGGTCAACTTTTTAAATTCTTGTCTGGTCAACTTTTTAAATTATTGTCTGGTCAACTTGGTACAAATTCTTGTCTGGTCAACTTTTTAAATTCTTGACTGGTCAACTTTTAAAATTCTTGTCTGGTCATCTTTAAAAATTTTGTCTGGTCAACTTTTTAAATTCTTGTCTGGTCAACTTTTTCAATTCTTGTCTGGTCCTCTTTTTAAATTCTTGTCTGGTCAACTTTTTAAATTCTTGTCTTGTCAACTTTTTAAATTCTTGTCTTGTCAACTTTTTAAATTATTGTCTGGTCAACTTTTTAAATTCTTGTCTGGTCAACTTTTTAATTTGTGTCTGGTCAGCTTTTTCAATTCTGCTTCTATTTTATCTTGTTTCATTCAATGCTTGAAAGCACTGTTGTTATTTACAAGATCAGAAACTTTTAAATTATATTTTCTTCATGTAAACTGTATTGTGTGAGCTGAGTCTGCTTTCACCCCCACCTTTGACCCCCCCCCCCCCCCATCTACCTGTGTTTGTCATCAACTCGACGTTTGACTCCCACCTTTGACCCCCCCCCCCCCATTTATCTGTGTTTGTCATCTACTTGACCTTTGACCCCCCCCACCATCTACCTGTGTATCTACTTGACCTTTGACCCCCCCCCCCACCATCTACCTGTGTCATCTACTTGACCTTTGACCTCCCTGTAACCTGTAGATGCGGGAGATGCGACACCCCAACATTAACTCTTTCATCGGCGCGTGCCTCGAGTCGTCAGTACTCACGCTGGTCACGGCCTACTGCGTCAAGGGCAGTCTGCAGGTGAGTGCACAGGTGGCTTGCAGGGTTCACGCAGGTATCAGGCAGGTGTCACACAGGCGTCTCACAGGTGTCACACAGGTGTCACACAGGTGTCCCACGTGTGCCACTGTCACAAAGGTGTCACTCACGTGCCATACAGGTGTCACGCAGGTGTTACATAGGTGTATCACAGGTGTCCCACGTGTGTCACTATCACAAAGTTGTCACTCACGTGCCATACAGGTGTCCCACGGGTGTCACGCAGACACGCACGGGTGTCGCACTGTCACAAAGGTATCAAGCAGGTGTCACTCACGCTATACCTGTGTCCCACAGGTGTCCCGCGGGTGCCACATGCATATTACATAAACTGTACACGTTTCATCCAATTATGAAGCCTCAACCAATTTCCACACGACTTGAAATCGATAGCTTGCCGCTATCAATAAATAGTTTCCAACCCAATCAGTCTTTAATTACACTATAACTTTGATTAATGGGCCATTGATTTGCAATTATTATCGATTATTAATTTAGAGAAAACTGACATGCCAGGCGTTAATTTAAAATCGTTTCAATAAAAAAATGTTTAAAATATTTTACCAAGAGAAAAAAGTAAAATGTTGAATCCACATGGTTGGTTGTGGCACTTTTATAGACCTAGTGTTGGCCTTGGTAAAAGTGGGCTAGGTGTGGACCAGGTGTGGGCTAGGTGTGGACCAGGTGTGGGCTAGGTGTGGGCTAGGTGTGGACCAGGTGTGGGCTAGGTGTGGGCTAGGTGTGGACCAGGTGTGGCCTAGGTGTGGACCAAGTGTGGGCTAGGTGTGGGCTAGGTGTGGACCAAGTGTGGGCTAGGTGTGGGCTAGGTGTGGACCAAGTGTGGGCTAGGTGTGGGCCAGGTGTGGGCTAGGTGTGGGCTAGGTGTGGACCAAGTGTGGGCTAGGTGTGGACCAGGTGTGGGCTAGGTGTGGGCTAGGTGTGGGCTAGGTGTGGACCAGGTGTGGGCTAGGTGTGGACCAGGTGTGGGGTAGGTGTGGGGTAGGTGTGGGCTAGGTGTGGGCTAGGTGTGGACCAAGTGTGGGCTAGGTGTGGACCAGGTGTGGGCTAGGTGTGGGCTAGGTGTGGACCAGGTGTGGGCTAGGTGTGGACCAGGTGTGGGTTAGGTGTGGGCTAGGTGTGGGCTAGGTGTGGGCTAGGTGTGGACCAGGTGTCGGCTAGGTGTGGACCAAGTATGGGCTAGGTGTGGACCAGGTGTGGGCTAGGTGTGGGCTAGGTGTGGACCAGGTGTGGGGTAGGTGTGGACCAGGTGTGGACCAGGTGTGGGCTAGGTGTGGACCAAGTGTGGGCTAGGTGTGGACCAGGTGTGGGCTAGGTTTGGGCTAGGTGTGGGCTAGGTGTGGGCTAGGTGTGGACCAGGTGTGGGCTAGGTGTGGACCAAGTGTGGGCTAGGTGTGGACCAAGTGTGGGCTAGGTGTGGGCTAGGTGTGGGCTAGGTGTGGGCTAGGTGTGGACCAAGTGTGGGCTAGGTGTGGGCTAGGTGTGGACCAAGTGTGGGCTAGGTGTGGGCTAGGTGTGGGCTAGGTGTGGACCAGGTGTGGGCTAGGTGTGGGCTAGGTGTGGGCTAGGTGTGGACCAAGTGTGGGCTAGGTGTGGGCTAGGTGTGGGCTAGGTGTGGGCTAGGTGTGGGCTAGGTGTGGACCAAGTGTGGGCTAGGTGTGGACCAGGTGTGGACCAGGTGTGGGCTAGGTGTGGGCTAGGTGTGGACCAAGTGTGGACCAGGTGTGGGCTAGGTGTGGACCAGGTGTGGGCTAGGTGTGGGCTAGGTGTGGACCAAGTGTGGGCTAGGTGTGGACCAAGTGTGGGCTAGGTGTGGGCTAGGTGTGGGCTAGGTGTGGGCTAGGTGTGGGCTAGGTGTGGGCTAGGTGTGGACCAGGTGTGGGCTAGGTGTGGGCTAGGTGTGGACCAAGTGTGGGCTAGGTGTGGACCAAGTGTGGGCTAGGTGTGGACCAGGTGTGGACCAGGTGTGGGCTAGGTGTGGGCTAGGTGTGGGCTAGGTGTGGACCAGGTGTGGACCAAGTGTGGACCAGGTGTGGGCTAGGTGTGGACCAGGTGTGGGCTAGGTGTGGGTTAGGTGTGGGCTAGGTGTGGGCTAGGTGTGGACCAGGTGTGGACCAGGTGTGGGCTAGGTGTGGACCAGGTGTGGGCTAGGTGTGGGTTAGGTGTGGGCTAGGTGTGGGCTAGGTGTGGGCTAGGTGTGGACCAAGTGTGGAACAGGTGTGGGCTAGGTGTGGACCAGGTGTGGGCTAGGTGTGGGTTAGGTGTGGGCTAGGTGTGGGCTAGGTGTGGGCTAGGTGTGGGCTAGGTGTGGACCAAGTGTGGACCAAGTGTGGAACAGGTGTGGAACAGGTGTGGGCTAGGTGTGGACCAAGTGTGGACCAGGTGTGGGCTAGGTGTGGGCTAGGTGTGGGCTAGGTGTGGGCTAGGTGTGGGGTAGGTGTGGGGTAGGTGTGGGCTAGGTGTGGACCAGGTGTGGGCTAGGTGTGGACCAGGTGTGGGGTAGGTGTGGGCTAGGTGTGGGCTAGGTGTGGACCAGGTGTGGGGTAGGTGTGGGCTAGGTGTGGGCTAGGTGTGGACCAGGTGTGGGGTAGGTGTGGGCTAGGTGTGGACCAGGTGTGGGCTAGGTGTGGACCAAGTTTGGACCAGGTGTGGGCTAGGTGTGGGCTAGGTGTGGACCAAGTGTGGACCAGGTGTGGGCCAGGTGTGGGTTAGGTGTGGGCTAGGTGTGGGCTAGGTGTGGGCTAGGTGTGGGCTAGGTGTGGACCAAGTGTGGACCAGGTGTGGGCTAGGTGTGGACCAAGTGTGGACCAGGTGTGGGCTAGGTGTGGGGTAGGTGTGGGGTAGGTGTGGGCTAGGTGTGGGCTAGGTGTGGACCAGGTGTGGGCTAGGTGTGGACCAGGTGTGGGGTAGGTGTGGGCTAGGTGTGGGCTAGGTGTGGACCAGGTGTGGGGTAGGTGTGGGCTAGGTGTGGGCTAGGTGTGGACCAGGTGTGGGGTAGGTGTGGGCTAGGTGTGGACCAGGTGTGGGCTAGGTGTGGACCAAGTGTGGACCAGGTGTGGGCTAGGTGTGGACCAGGTGTGGGGTAGGTGTGGGCAAGTTGTGGGCTAGGTGTGGACCAGGTGTGGGGTAGGTGTGGGCTAGGTGTGGGCTAGGTGTGGGCTAGGTGTGGACCAAGTGTGGACCAGGTGTGGGCTAGGTGTGGGCTAGGTGTGGGCTAGGTGTGGACCAAGTGTGGACCAGGTGTGGGCTAGGTGTTGGCCAGGTGTGGGCTAGGTGTTGGGTAGGTGTGGGCTAGGTGTGGACCAAGTGTGGACCAGGTGTGGGCTAGGTGTGGGCCAGGTGTGGGCTAGGTGTTGGGTAGGTGTGGGCTAGGTGTGGACCAAGTGTGGACCAGGTGTGGGCTAGGTGTGGACCAGGTGTGGGCTAGGTGTGGGCTAGGTGTGGGCTAGGTGCGGACCAAGTGTGGACCAGGTGTGGGCTAGGTGTGGGCTAGGTGTGGGCTAGGTGTGGACCAGGTGTGGGCTAGGTGTGGGCTAGGTGTGGGCTAGGTGTGGACCAAGTGTGGACCAGGTGTGGGCTAGGTGTGGGCTAGGTGTGGGCTAGGTGTGGGCTAGGTGTGGACCAGGTGTGGGCTAGGTGTGGACCAGGTGTGGGCTAGGTGTGGGCTAGGTGTGGACCAGGTGTGGGCTAGGTGTGGACCAGGTGTGGGCTAGGTGTGGGCTAGGTGTGGGCTAGGTGTGGGCTAGGTGTGGACCAGGTGTGGACCAGGTGTGGGCTAGGTGTGGACCAGGTGTGGGCTAGGTGTGGGCTAGGTGTGGGCTAGGTGTGGACCAGGTGTGGACCAGGTGTGGGCTAGGTGTGGACCAAGTGTGGACCAGGTGTGGGCTAGGTGTGGGCTAGGTGTGGGCTAGGTGTGGACCAGGTGTGGGCTAGGTGTGGGCTAGGTGTGGACCAAGTGTGGACCAGGTGTGGGCTAGGTGTGGACCAAGTGTGGACCAGGTGTGGGCTAGGTGTGGGCTAGGTGTGGACCAAGTGTGGACCAGGTGTGGGCTAGGTGTGGACCAGGTGTGGGCTAGGTGTGGGCTAGGTGTGGACCAAGTGTGGACCAGGTGTGGGCTAGGTGTGGACCAAGTGTGGGCTAGGTGTGGGCTAGGTGTGGACCAAGTGTGGGCTAGGTGTGGACCAGGTGTGGGGTAGGTGTGGACTAGGTGTGGACCAAGTGTGGACCAGGTGTGGGCTAGGTGTGGACCAGGTGTGGGCTAGGTGTGGGCTAGGTGTGGGCTAGGTGTGGACCAGGTGTGGACCAGGTGTGGGCTAGGTGTGGACCAAGTGTGGACCAGGTGTGGGCTAGGTGTGGGCTAGGTGTGGGCTAGGTGTGGACCAGGTGTGGGCTAGGTGTGGGCTAGGTGTGGACCAAGTGTGGACCAGGTGTGGGCTAGGTGTGGACCAAGTGTGGACCAGGTGTGGGCTAGGTGTGGGCTAGGTGTGGACCAGGTGTGGGCTAGGTGTGGGCTAGGTGTGGACCAAGTGTGGACCAGGTGTGGGCTAGGTGTGGACCAAGTGTGGACCAGGTGTGGGCTAGGTGTGGGCTAGGTGTGGACCAGGTGTGGGCTAGGTGTGGACCAAGTGTGGACCAGGTGTGGGCTAGGTGTGGGCTAGGTGTGGACCAGGTGTGGGCTAGGTGTGGGCTAGGTGTGGGCTAGGTGTGGACCAAGTGTGGACCAGGTGTGGGCTAGGTGTGGGCTAGGTGTGGGCTAGGTGTGGGCTAGGTGTGGACCAGGTGTGGGCTAGGTGTGGGTTAGGTGTGGACCAGGTGTGGGCTAGGTGTGGGCTAGGTGTGGGCTAGGTGTGGGCTAGGTGTGGGCTAGGTGTGGGGTAGGTGTGGGCTAGGTGTGGGCTAGGTGTGGGCCAGGTGTTGTGTGGACCAGGTGTGGGCTAGGTGTGGGGTAGGTGTGGGCCAGGTGTGGGCCAGGTGTGGGCTAGGTGTGGGCTAGGTGTGGGCTAGGTGTTGGCTAGGTGTGGTCATTAATTTTAGCTAGGGAGGTTTAGCTTATAAGTCACACATCATCTCTCGTTTAGTTTTGAGTTTTAATGCAACATATTTACAGGTCGATAACTTCTTACCTAGTGTTGTATTTGTCGTGACCAATAACATGTCACTTTGTCATTCAGGATGTCCTTGAGAATGATGACATCAGACTGGATGCCATGTTCATTGCCTCTCTCATTAAGGATTTGATCCAGGTAATTTTGATCCCACCTAAGATGATTGCGATAGAGGACTCAAATGCTAAAACAATTTATTAGGTAGTCGGTGTGTGTGGGGGGGGGGGGGGTATGTCAAACATGATCTAGAACAGCTGCTTCATTAAATATTAGAGGAATAACCAAAGAAGACAATCTAGTTTGATTCAATCTGAGATAAATTGTTGAATTCTGTCAAGCGATGACGTCGTACAGTTTTTTCGTATGATGTCATCACGGTCTTCCTCGTCATTTTTTTTCTACATTCAGCCAATTATGTCAACACATTTTATGTTTTACTTCATCGTCATAAGATGTTGTGCTTGACGTCACCAGGTGTTGTGCTTGACGTCATTAAATCTTGTGCTTGACGTCATTAGATGTTGTGCTTGACGTCATTAGTGCCTGACGTCATTAGATGCTGTGCTTGACGTCATCAGAGGTTGTGTTTGACGTCATCAGATGGTGTGTTTGACGTCATCAGATGTTGTGCTCTCTACTTTCAGGCGATGATGTACATCCACAGCAGCGAGCTGGTGTACCACGGCAACCTAAAGAGTTCCAACTGTGTGGTGTCCAGCAGGTGGACGCTACAGGTGACAGACAACGGCCTCATCGACATCAGGAACTCTAGCCGCAGCAAGGAGGATCACTACGCTTATTACAGGCGTGAGTGGGGCGGGGTGGGTGGTGGGTTGGTCAGGTTGGGTGGGTGGGGGGTTGGTGAGGTTGGGTGGGTGGTGGGTTGGTGAGGGTGGTGGGTGGGTTGGTGAGGTTGGGTAGGTGGTGGGTTGGTGAGGTTGGGTGGGTGGTGGGTTGGTGAGGTTGGGTGGGTGGGTGGGTTGGTGAGGTTGGGTGGGTGGGTCAGAGCGGTAGGTTGGTCGGGGTGGGTGGATTGGTGAGGGTGGTGGGTGGGTTGGTCTCAGGATGGGTAGGTTGATCAGGGTGGGTTGGTCTAGATGGGTTGGTCTCAGGGTGATGACCTCTGGTCCTATGTACATGCTTGTCCTTCACCTTGCTCTAACTCCCTTGACCTTCACCTTGCTCTAACTCCCGTGACCTTCACCGTGTTCACAGACTTACTCTGGAGATCTCCCGAAATTCTCCGCAGCGGCGGCAAGGTCAAGGGCAGCCAGACAGGTGACGTGTACGCCTTCGCCATCATCTTGTACGAGATCTACGGGAGGGTGGGGCCATTTGGTCACACGGAGATGGACCCTGAAGGTTGGTGAATAGGGTTGGTTGGGGGGGGGGGGGAGGACACACAGAGATGGACCCTGAAGGTTAGTGCATTGGTTACGGTTGGTTGGGGGGGGGGGGGTGACTTCGGCCACACAGTGATGGACCCTGAAGCATTTGTAAGGGTGAGTTGGCATCGAAAAGATTTCTTAGGACGTCTTCATTGGGAGCTTTTGGCGATCTGTATGAAAGCATAGGAGAATATATATATATATATATATATATATATATATATATATATATATATATATATATATATATATATATATATTTATTTATTTATTTATTTATTTATTTATTTATTTATTTATTTATTTATATATATATATATACCTAATCAAAAGACCGCTCTTTTTATATCCTGCTATCTCAAACTGTTCTATCTGTAGCTAGAACTTGTCATGATGTTCTAGAATCTGGTCTGTGTGACAAGTTTCTACACCAAATAGTTGCCCAACTAGTGAAAACATTTCAACAAACTCTTCCTAAAAAAATAGTTTGTCTTGGTCTATCTTGACACAGAAATTATCTTTGGTGTAACTGTGTCCACTTCCCTTCGTTAATGCATTCAGCCCCACCCCCCCCCTCACCCCCGCAAAAAAAAAACTACACAGCGCCACTACAAGATCTCAGTCCTCCCCCCCCCCCCCCCAACCCAACTATTTGAACTTGCCCCCTCTACTCATCCATGAACTTAGCACTCCACCCTAACCATGGCGTTATTGTAGTCTGTCATATCTAAGTCACTACATTTTTGCCTCTGCGCCCTCCACCCTCCTACCCCCACCCTCACCCCTGCTCAAACGTCTGCAAACAGGTTTATCCTCCTAACACCCCCCCCCCCCATCCTACTACCTTGAGCTGCACAAATCCATCCTCCTGTCATTACAAGAAATGGAATATCTCTTTTTTAATTCCTTGTTCGCTAGCATTTAAAAGCAAACATTTAAAAGAAAACATTTGAAAGAAAACAGTTAAAAGAAAACATTTCTTTATTTCAAAGCCTCATTGTTCGATGTTTCTGTAGGCAGACGTCGAGCAGGAGAAATGTTTGCGTGGAAATATAGCTGTACAGACATTTAATGGATAATCTTTTTTTTTTTGGTTTAAGTAGATCAGACATTTTGTGTTTAAATAGCCCGACATTTTGTGTTTAAATAGCCCCTACATTTTGTGTTTAAATAGCCCTGACATTTTGTGTTTAAATAGCCCTGACATTTTGTGTTTAAATAGCCCAGACATTTTGTGTTTAAATAGCCCAGACATTTTGTGTTTAAATAGCCCTGACATTTTGTATTTAAATAGCCCCAAGCTTCAGGTGTCAAAAGATTAAAGAAACCAGGACATCGTATTGTGAACTCGAAACACACTAGAAAAAAAAAATTAACTTCCAAATTTAAATTAAAACCAACAAATTTGATTTATTACCAGACTTGTTCATATAATAATTAAATTATTGGACGTTTTTCTTTAAAATTACGGTGTATCGTGAAGCCCACACTTGATATATATATATATATATATATATATATATATATATATATATATATATATATATATATATATATATATATCCATAATTGCTTTACAACTGCCAACGATTGCTACAATCTGCATGGGTATCCACATTTGCCACATTAGCCACAAATTATCCACAAGTTTTGTGGATGTCTACAAAAGCTTCAAATTGTGCAGGCTGTAAAGAAACAATTACTGCACCTCTAGAGATGCGTGTAGACATCAATTTCCTGATGGGCCATCAGGCAAATGGACCAATCAGAACGTCTTTGATCTCCGGACTCCGCACTCGATAACTCCGCGCTAATTCTATTCTCTCGCCTTCTCCTCGGCGCTCTAAGCGACAGGCTATATTTAGCACAGGAAATGCCATTACATTCAGAAATTGCAGACGTACTTAGTAGAATGGGCTGTTAATTGAGGCGCCAACCAAACATCATGCTTAACTGATTTGTTTTTTTTCCGAATATCTAAAAAAAAAAACGACCAAAAAAATAATCGTGGTTCGTATTGAAAGAATAAAACGCATTGGATAAGATACAATTTCTCGAGATTTTTTTGCGTCTTTTTCAACTTGACATCCCGAAATTACATTGAATCACAACCCGCCATTACATTGAATCACAACCACCCATTACATTCAAACACAACCCGACATTACATTGAATCTCAACCCCCATTACATACAAATACAACCCGACATTACATACAAACACAACCCCCCATTACATACATTCTCCCTACACCGAGACATTGATTTCTCCTAGCACTCGTTTCAAAAGTTTTTGTAAGACATCCCACTCACGTTTTTGGTGAAATATCTAGAAATGTTCAATAGCCGGGTTTCATGAGTTACACAAATATTCATCTGCCCACCCTATTCGTCACTAGTGCTTTCAATCCTTGGGGCTAAGGTTTGGTGAGATAATTAGGGGGGGGGGTATGTTTGATGAGATTAATACGGGGGGGGGGGGGGGGTAAGGTTTGGTGTGATAATTAGGGGGGTAAGGTTTAGTGAGATAATTAGGGGGGTAAGGTTTGGTGAGATAATTAGAGGATGGTAATGTTTGATGGAATTAATAGGGGGGTAAGGTTTTTTTTAGATAATTAGGGGGTAAGGTTTGGTGAGATAATTAGGGGGATAAGGTTTGGCGAGATAATTAGGGGAGGTAAGGTTTGGTGAAATAATTAGGGGCTGAGGCTTGATGAGCTAATTAGGGGCTAAGGGCTGCTAAGCTAAGTAAAGTAACTCTCAGTATAAGTGCTTACTACTCTATCCCTTCAAATGCCGAGGTCACAAAACAGATGAGCTAATCAGCCCAATCGATTTGATTAAAAGCTAAACTTTGTCTGTGGTAGGTGTGTACGTTGGCTCACAAAGGTCGAACACAAGAATTTGAAATCACGTGACTGAGATCAATTGTCCAAATGGTACTATTGGTAGTCGGGGAGTTTGTGTGGGCTGAAGGGACGTAACTGCAATAATAGACTGTCTGTAAAACTAAATATTATCTCCCTTGATTTACTACAAGATGTTATTTATAATTTATTTTGCTCAAGGGTTTTTAAGATTTGGAACAATTTTTTTTTAAAGATTTTTAATGAGTAGGATTTGAGAACAGTTTTTAAATATTGCCATTTCTTTATTTTACGGGGATGGTTTAGAAATGTAATTTTTTTTAATCCCTGTCAAACAATTGTTTTGTTTGGGTCAACCCATGAATTCTTGCAATCAGTGAGAGTATAATATACATTATACAATCAGTATCAAAATGTTAAACTATTAATATATATCGTGATATAATAAGTGAGAGTATGATATACAATCAGTATCAAAATGTGAAACTATCAATATATATCGTGATATAATTAGTGAGAAGTTGTGGCAGTAATGGCCAGATGATATACATTGCTCTACTGTTACAACAGTGATACAACAATTTTAGGTAGTCTATATTTGTTACAGGGGACACCATGTGACACCCCAACATTTGTGACACCCCATCATTTGTGACACCCCAACATTTGTGACACCACAACATTGGTGACACCCCAACATTTGTGACACCCAACATTTGTGACACCCAACATTTGTGACACCCCAACATTTGTGACACCCCAACATTTGTGACACCCAACATTTGTGACACCCAACATTTGTGACACCCAACATTTGTGACACCCCAACATTTGTGACACCCCAACATTTGTGACACCCCAACATTTGTGACACCCAACATTGGTGACACCCCAACATTGGTGACACTCCAACATTTGTGACACCCCAACATTTGTGACACCCAACATTTGTGACACCCAACATTTGTGACACCCCAACATTTGTGACACCCCAACATTTGTGACACCCAACATTGGTGACACCCCAACATTGGTGACACTCCAACATTTGTGACACCCCAACATTTGTGACACCCAACATTTGTGACACCCAACATTTGTGACACCCCAACATTTGTGACACCCCAACATTTGTGACACCCCAACATTTGTGACACCCCAACATTTGTGACACCCCAACATTTGTGACACCCCAACATTTGTGACAACCCAACATTTGTGACACCCCAACATTTGTGACACCCCAACATTTGTGACACCCCAACATTTGTGACACCCCAACATTTGTGACACCCCAACATTTGTGACACCCCAACATTTGTGACACCCCAACATTTGTGACACCCCAACATTTGTGACACCTCCCCAGAAATCGTCAGCCAGGTGTCGTGTCCAGCAGACGACGAGAAACCTTTCCGGCCTGACGTCACCATCCTCACCTGTGACAGCTACGTCATCGATCTGATAACGTCATGTTGGGCAGAGGACCCGACAGCCCGGCCAGACTTTCACACCGTCTGGAACTGTTTGAAGCCGATGCGGGTTGGCATGTAAGTAGGTGGTTGGCATGTATGGGGTTGGCGTGTATGTAGGGGTTGGCGTGTATGTAGGGGTTGGCGTGTAAGTAGGGGTTGGCGTGGAGGTGGTTGGCGTGTAAATTTGGAGACTGGCGTGTATGTTGTGTCATCAAAGATGGGGTTATTGCCCTTTGTTGCAGCTCAACTATTATAGGATTACCGCCCCTATACTATCACACGATACCTCTAAAGATGTGGTCATACATTTTAAAAAATGTTTCTTAATGAAATCGACTGTAAGCCATGCGGCAGTATTTAGTAAGACCATTTGGTAGGATGGTTCCATATTGTAGGTAGACGGTCTAGTAAAGTAAGGTTCCCTTTCGAACCTGACGGTCCATGGGACAAGTGAAGTAGAGGTTACCTGTTCATTGAGTGACCATGTGTTGAGTGACCATGTGTTGAGTGACCTTGTGTTGAGTGACCTTGTATTGAGTGACCGTGTGTTGAGTGACTGTGTGTTGAGTGACTGTGTGTTGAGTGACCGTGTAGTGACCACCCACTGCCCATGTATTGTGTGACCTTGTATTGTGTGACCTTGAATTAAGTGACCTGTAGTGACTACCCCCTGCCCGTGTGTAGAGTGACCGTGTGTTGAGTGACCTTGTGCTGAGTGACGTGTAGTGAGTGACCTGTAGTTACCACCCCCACTGCCCATGTGTTGAGTGACCTTGTAGTGACCAGCCCCCCCCCCCCCCCCTGCCCGTGTCCCCAGGAAGAGGAACATCTTTGACCACATGCTGGCCATGATGGAGAAGTACCAGGAACATCTGGAGGAACTGGTGGACGAGCGCACAGAGCAGCTGACCGAGGAGAAGAAGAAGACGGAGACCCTGCTCTACAGGATGTTGCCTAGGTAACCGTCCCCATGGCACCGGTGCCGGTCTATCATAGCTCACATTGTACCGGGCTAGACTGGTCAACTGCTGGGGTAATTACGTTGTACCGGGCTAGACTGGTCAACTGCTGGGGTAATTACGTTGTACCGGGCTAGACTGGTCAACTGCTGGGGTAATTACGTTGTACCGGGCTAGACTGGTCAACTGCTGGGGTAATTACGTTGTACCGGGCTAGACTGGTCAACTGCTGGGGTAATTACGTTGTACCGGGTTAGACAACTGCTGGGGTAATTACGTTGTACCGGGCTAGACAACTGCTGGGGTAATTACGTTGTACCGGGCTAGACAACTGCTGGGGTAATTACGTTGTACCGGGCTAGACAACTGCTGGGGTAATTACGTTGTACCGGGCTAGACAACTGCTGGGGTAATTACGTTGTACCGGGCTAGACAACTGCTGGGGTAATTACGTTGTACCGGACTAGACAACTGCTGGGGTAATTACGTTGTACCGGGCTAGACAACTCCTGGGGTAATTACGTTGTACCGGGCTAGACAACTGCTGGGGTAATTACGTTGTACCGGGCTAGACAACTGCTGGGGTAATTACGTTGTACCGGGCTAGACAACTGCTGGGGTAATTACGTTGTACCGGGATAGACCGGTCAACTGCTGGGGCAATTACATTGTACCGGGATAGACCGGTCAACGACTGGGGAAATTACATTGTACCGGGATAGACGGGTCAACGACTGGGGAAATTACATTGTACCGGGATAGACGGGTCAACGACTGGGGAAAATGAGGCTTCCATTCTACATTTACATTAAATGGCGTCTCTTGCCATTTTAGAGATAAGAATGGGGGACTAAACCAGTTAAATATTCCTAGCTCAAAGCTCTGAGATTTCTGAATTTTTCTAATGGTTTGCAATAAATGAAAAAAAATTCTGATTCCATTATTTAGTTTTTTTATTTTTCTGAATCCTGTACTATCCCCTCCATGAAGCTTACAAGTTACAAGGTTACCATATATTAAATTTAAATAGCATTTACACGCTGACCTTTAACCTTTAGCCACGCCCACTCCTGACAGGTCAGTGGCTGACCACCTGAAGAAGGGGGAGTGTGTCATCCCTGAGGCGTTTGACAGTGTCACCATCTACTTCAGTGACATCTGTGGGTTTACCTCACTGTCAGCTGAGAGTACGCCTATGCAAGTCAGTTGTCATTTATGTCATATGTCATTTTGTGTAGCCTGTGTCATTTATGTCATTTGTCACTTTGTGTAGCCTATGTCATTTATGTCATTTGTCACTTTGTTTAGCCTGTGTTATTTATGTCATTTGTCTCTTTGTGTAGCCTGTGTCATTTATTTTACCTGTATCAAAATGTCATCTTTAACTGATGGACATCTTTACAGAATGTTTACTCGTGCATTAAAAATGTTATTAAATTAAAACATGAATAGCTGCAGAAATTAAATATATCACGATTATTTCCCCTTTCAAATGATTTTTTTTTTAAATTTTGCCGATCCGGCCAGGATTTGCCCTGGCCCAAAATAAATTAAATATTAATGTAAACTAATTTGTGTACTTATTTCGTTTTAAATTTAATTTTTTTATTATTAAAAAAACTGGGTTTGTTATTAATTATTAATTATTTATTTTTCTTTGTATTTCGTTTTTAATAATCTCCTTAATTAACGTATAATGAAGATAATGAAAGTATTAAATTTGCCTGACCTAACGTACCTGTTCAGGACCTAACTGAACGTGACTGTTCCCTGCAGGTTGTTGACATGCTAAATGACCTGTACACCTGCTTCGATTCAATCATCAAGAATTTCGACGTGTACAAAGTGGAGACGATCGGTGACGCCTACATGGTGGTGAGTGGTCTGCCCCTGAGGAACGGGAACCAGCATGCTGCGGAGATCGCGTCAATGGCGCTGGCGCTGCTCAAGGCCATCAGGTCGTTCACCATCAGACACAAGCCAGACGACATGCTCAAGCTCAGGATAGGCTTGCACTCGGGTACGTGGTCCTTGTCATGGTCAGGGCTTAGTTCTTGTAATCAGGGGAGTGGTCAATTTTCCCTTTAGAGTAAGAGGTAATTTCTTCCATTAAAGTATGAGATCATTTCTTCTTCCATTAAAGTAGGAGGTCATTTCTTCTTCCATTAAAGTAGGTCATTTCTTCCTCCATTAAAGTAGGAGGTCATTTCTTCTTTCATTAAAGTAGGAGGTCATTTCTTCAATTTAAGTAGGAGGTCATCTCTTCCCACTGTATGATGCTTGTTGTTGTTGTCGTAGGTCCGTGTGTGGCGGGTGTGGTGGGGCTGACCATGCCCAGGTACACGCTGTTTGGTGACACGGTCAACACAGCCTCAAGGATGGAGAGCAACGGAGAAGGTCAGGGACGTTGGTGTCATCGAGATATATATATTTATATATACACATACTGAGACATACACACCCACAATTACATAAATACATGCACAGATATATGTATATACATATATATATATACATATATATATATATATATATATATATATATATATATATATATATATATATATATATTCTGCCTTCCACTGTATCTTCCAGCGCTAAAGATCCACTGCAGTGGTGAGTGTAAGAAAATTCTGGACGCCATTGGAGGATTTCACCTAGAGGAGCGGGGTCTAGTCACGATGAAGGTAAATATTCTTGGTGAAGTCACTATGATTAGAGTAGGAATGGGCCTCACAAATTAAACTAGAGGCTTTTAGATCGGGCCTCACGAATTAAACTAGAGGCTTTTAGATCGGGCCTCACAAACTAAACTAGAGGCTTTTAGATTGGTCCTCACGAATTAAACTAGAGGCTTTTAGATCGGGCCTCACGAATTAAACTAGAGGCTTTTAGATCGGGCCTCACAAACTAAACTAGAGGCTTTTAGATTGGTCCTCACGAATTAAACTAGAGGCTTTTAGATTGGTCCTCACGAACTAAACTAGAGGCTTTTAGATTGGTCCTCACGAATTAAACTAGAGGCTTTTAGATTGGTCCTCACGAACTAAACTAGAGGCTTTTAGATTGGTCCTCACGAATTAAACTAGAGGCTTTTAGATTGGTCCTCACGAATTAAACTAGAGGCTTTTAGATTGGTCCTCACGAACTAAACTAGAGGCTTTTAGATTGGTCCTCACGAACTAAACTAGAGGCTTTTAGATTGGTCCTCACGAATTAAACTAGAGGCTTTTAGATTGGTCCTCACGAATTAAACTAGAGGCTTTTAGATTGGTCCTCACGAACTAAACTAGAGGCTTTTAGATTGGTCCTCACGAACTAAACTAGAGGCTTTTAGATTGGTCCTCACGAACTAAACTAGAGGCTTTTAGATTGGGCCTCACGAACTAAACTAGAGGCTTTTAGATTGGTCCTCACGAACTAAACTAGAGACTTTTAGATTGGTCCTCACGAACTAAACTAGAGGCTTTTAGATTGGTCCTCACGAACTAAACTAGAGGCTTTTAGATTGGTCCTCACGAACTAAACTAGAGGCTTTTAGATTGGGCCTCACGAACTAAACTAGAGGCTTTTAGATTGGTCCTCACGAACTAAACTAGAGGCTTTTAGATTGGTCCTCACGAACTAAACTAGAGGCTTTTAGATTGGTCCTCACGAACTAAACTAGAGGCTTTTAGATTGGTCCTCACGAACTAAACTAGAGGCTTTTAGATTGGTCCTCACGAACTAAACTAGAGGCTTTTAGATTGGGCCTCACGAACTAAACTAGAGGCTTTTAGATTGGTCCTCACGAACTAAACTAGAGGCTTTTAGATTGGTCCTCACGAACTAAACTAGAGGCTTTTAGATTGGTCCTCACGAACTAAACTAGAGGCTTTTAGATTGGTCCTCACGAACTAAACTAGAGGCTTTTAGATTGGGCCTCACGAACTAAACTAGAGGCTTTTAGATTGGTCCTCACGAACTAAACTAGAGGCTTTTAGATTGGTCCTCACGAACTAAACTAGAGGCTTTTAGATTGGTCCTCACGATTTAAACTAGAGGCTTTTAGATTGGTCCTCACGATTTAAACTAGAGGCTTTTAGATTGGTCCTCACGAACTAAACTAGAGGCTTTTAGATTGGTCCTCACGATTTAAACTAGAGGCTTTTAGATTGGTCCTCACGATTTAAACTAGAGGCTTTTAGATTGGTCCTCACGAACTAAACTCGAGGCTTTTAGATTGGTCCTCACAAACTAAACTAGAGGCTTTTAGATTGGTCCTCACGATTTAAACTAGAGGCTTTTAGATTGGTCCTCACGATTTAAACTAGAGGCTTTTAGATTGGTCCTAACGAATTAAACTAGAGGCTTTTAGATTGGACCTCACGAACTAAACTAGAGGCTTTTAGATTGGGCCTCACGAATTAAACTAGAGGCTTTTAGATTGGTCCTCACGAATTAAACTAGAGGCTTTTAGATTGGGCCTCACGAATTAAACTAGAGGCTTTTAGATTGGGCCTCACGAATTAAACTAGAGGCTTTTAGATTGGGCCTCACGAATTAAACTAGAGGCTTTTAGATTGGGCCTCACGAATTAAACTAGAGGCTTTTAGATTGGGCCTCACGAACTAAACTAGAGGCTTTTAGATTGGTCCTCACGAACTAAACTAGAGGCTTTTAGATTGGGCCTCACGAATTAAACTAGAGGCTTTTAGATTGGGCCTCACGAACTAAACTAGAGGCTTTTAGATTGGGCCTCACGAACTAAACTAGAGGCTTTTAGATTGGGCCTCACGAATTAAACTAGAGGCTTTTAGATTGGGCCTCACGAACTAAACTAGAGGCTTTTAGATTGGGCCTCACGAACTAAACTAGAGGCTTTTAGATTGGGCCTCACGAATTAAACTAGAGGCTTTTAGATTGGGCCTCACGAACTAAACTAGAGGCTTTTAGATTGGGCCTCACGAACTAAACTAGAGGCTTTTAGATTGGTCCTCACGAACTAAACTCGAGGCTTTTAGATTGGGCCTCACGAACTAAACTAGAGGCTTTTAGATTGGTCCTCACGAACTAAACTAGAGGCTTTTAGATTGGTCCTCACGAACTAAACTAGAGGCTTTTAGATTGGTCCTCACGAACTAAACTAGAGGCTTTTAGATTGGGCCTCACGAATTAAACTAGAGGCTTTTAGATTGGGCCTCACGAACTAAACTAGAGGCTTTTAGATTGGGCCTCACGAACTAAACTAGAGGCTTTTAGATTGGGCCTCACGAATTAAACTAGAGGCTTTTAGATTGGGCCTCACGAACTAAACTAGAGGCTTTTAGATTGGGCCTCACGAACTAAACTAGAGGCTTTTAGATTGGGCCTCACGAATTAAACTAGAGGCTTTTAGATTGGGCCTCACGAACTAAACTAGAGGCTTTTAGATTGGGCCTCACGAACTAAACTAGAGGCTTTTAGATTGGGCCTCACGAACTAAACTAGAGGCTTTTAGATTGGGCCTCACGAACTAAACTAGAGGCTTTTAGATTGGGCCTCACGAATTAAACTAGAGGCTTTTAGATTGGGCCTCACGAATTAAACTAGAGGCTTTTAGATTGGGCCTCACGAATTAAACTAGAGGCTTTTAGATTGGGCCTCACGAACTAAACTAGAGGCTTTTAGATTGGGCCTCACGAACTAAACTAGAGGCTTTTAGATTGGGCCTCACGAACTAAACTAGAGGCTTTTAGATTGGTCCTCACGAACTAAACTAGAGGCTTTTAGATTGGGCCTCACGAATTAAACTAGAGGCTTTTAGATTGGGCCTCACGAATTAAACTAGAGGCTTTTAGATTGGGCCTCACGAACTAAACTAGAGGCTTTTAGATTGGTCCTCACGAATTAAACTAGAGGCTTTTAGATTGGGCCTCACGAATTAAACTAGAGGCTTTTAGATTGGGCCTCACGAACTAAACTAGAGGCTTTTAGATTGGGCCTCACGAATTAAACTAGAGGCTTTTAGATTGGGCCTCACGAATTAAACTAGAGGCTTTTAGATTGGGCCTCACGAATTAAACTAGAGGCTTTTAGATTGGGCCTCACGAACTAAACTAGAGGCTTTTAGATTGGTCCTCACGAATTAAACTAGAGGCTTTTAGATTGGGCCTCACGAATTAAACTAGAGGCTTTTAGATTGGGCCTCACGAATTAAACTAGAGGCTTTTAGATTGGGCCTCACGAATTAAACTAGAGGCTTTTAGATTAGCAGTCGAGTGCTCTTCTTCTCGGCCATGTTGTTACCAGATTTTTAAAAATTTCCCAGGGCAAAGGGACGCAACTGACGTACTGGCTACTTGGTGAAGACAAGTCTAAAAGGACCGACCTGACGCCCCAGGATCAAACCACGCCCAGGATCAGCCACGGCAGCAGCAGCAGGGAACTCTACCCTTCAGACAAAACCATCAGAGCCAGTCCCGAGCCACCCACGCAGCCCGCCACTCCATCGTTACATTCTCAGCACAGCAGCCAGCTCTTCGTACCCACAGACCATTCCAAGTCGGGCTCGATCCCTGAGGGCATCAACACCAACATCAACACCAACATCAACATCAGCACCAACGGCATGCAGAAACAGTACCTCAGCCCCGCACTCAAAGAGCGATCCATCCGCTCAAATAAGGGCTCTGTCAATGACGTCACGTCTCTGCGACGTTCTGATTCGTTGAAAAAACCGCGGGATTATTTCAAAAGCTACTGTGAAAATAATTCGTCTGCTCCAACTGAAGTGACGACTTTACTTATGGAGTATTTTCCCCAGTCGACGGGCAATGGCACGCACGTCTAGTGCCGTCGTACCCCCCCCCCCCCAGTCAACGAGCAGGGGCACACACGTCTAGTCCAGGAGCACATAACTAATGTTGGTGTTGCATCGCTCCATCTCTATAAGGCTATGTTTCATGAGCTCGCCTTCCTTCTCCTGTCTGTGTTACAGTTTGTGGTACCGTGGTACCGGAACTTGAATATCCCGGGTTCCTGTCTATGATACTGGAACTTAAATGGCCCATATTCCTGTCTGTGGTAGCTCAACTTGAATAGCTCACATTGTTTTATTTCGAATCAAACTCACACTGTTTACAATATTTAGAGCCTGGTAGATTCCTAGCCACATATTTAAATTCAATAAGTCAGAGATGACTTCTGACTTCATGTGAATGACTTAAACCCTATGTAATGGCGGCTGGTGAAAAGCATGGCAATACAAGTCAACGCAGTGGATTTTATTAATTTGAATTATTATCGATGTTTTATTGAAGACAAATGATTCATGTAAAATTTGTATAAAACTCATCTTTATAGATAACTGCCAACATATGTTCTGATGTTTGTAAAAGTGTTGTTCTAAAAGCTGGATTAAATCGTTGGAAACGACAAACAAGCACTCTGTTACCCACCCCACCCCCTCATTAACTCAGTGGGGTTTTAAAAGTAATTATAACAACAAGCGCATCTTTTGTGCGTGCTAAATAAATAGATTGGCATATGTATGTAAACTCGGTCAAACATCTGGGAAGCTAGAAGTGATGGGGGAGGTAGGGATGGGGCTGGGGAAGTTAAGGGTGGGGCTGGTGGGGAGGTGCTGGTGTGGTGGGGGGAGGTAGGGGTGGGGCATGGGTGGGGGTTGGGGCTTGAGGTTAGTGTTGGTGGTGGGGCTGGGGGAGGTTGTGCCGAATGTATCATCGTCACACTTTAACATGACCATGACCATGTCACCATGACCATGTCACCATGATCATGTCACCATGACACCATGACCATGTCACCATGTCGCCATGTCACCATGACCATGTCACCATGACCATGTCACCATGATCATGTCAACATGACACCATGACCATGTCACCATGTCACCATCACCATGACCATGTCACCATGACCATGTCAACATGACACCATGACCATGTCACCATGAATATGTCAACATGACCATGACCATGTCACCATCACCATGTCAACATGACCATGTCACCATCACCATGACCATGTCAACATGACACCATGACCATGTCAACATGACACCATGACCATGTCAACATGACAACATGACCATGTCACCATGACCATGTCACCATGATCATGTCAACATGACACCATGACCATGTCACCATGTCACCATCACCATGACCATGTCACCATGACCATGTCAACATGACACCATGACCATGTCACCATGAATATGTCAACATGACCATGACCATGTCACCATCACCATGTCAACATGACCATGTCACCATCACCATGACCATGTCAACATGACACCATGACCATGTCAACATGACAACATGACCATGTCACCATGACCATGTCACCATCACCATGACCATGTCACCATCACCATGACCATGTCAACATGACCATGTCAACATGACCATGTCAACATGACCATGTCAACATGACACCATGACCATGTCAACATGACCATGTCAACATGACCATGTCAACATGACACCATGACCATGTCAACATGACCATGTCAACATGACCATGTCACCATGACCATGTCAACATGACACCATCACCATGTCAACATGACCATGTCAACATGACCATGTCAACATGACACCATCACCATGTCAACATGACCATGTCAACATGACCATGTCAACATGACACCATGACCATGTCAACATGACCATGTCAACATGACCATGTCACCATGACCATGTCAACATGACACCATCACCATGTCAACATGACCATGTCAACATGACCATGTCAACATGACACCATCACCATGTCAACATGACCATGTCAACATGACCATGTCAACATGACACCATGACCATGTCAACATGACCATGTCAACATGACCATGTCACCATGACCATGTCAACATGACCATGATCCACAATAATTTCTAATATGAATGCCAATCACTGATCACTTTCTCTATTTATACCACATTGTATGTATTATTTACCAGTTTGAATTTTTTTCATTCAACGTTTGTGAATTGTTACATTATAGGCCTAAATTTCTTCTTGAATTTCGTGAACTTTGACCAATTAAAATTTCTCTACTTTCTCTCCAACTTTAAAACAGGTTGTAAAGCTATGTGTGGTCCTGTGTATAGATATGTTCGTGCAGGTTATAACCATCTGTAAATATCTGGTATTCTTGTTACATGGTTCAAAGTTTGTAAAATGTTTGCAGTAAATTAATTATTCTAAACTAGTTTGTAACAGGTTGATAGTCTTTTATAGTTTAGGTTATGTGGGGGAACAAAGTGGTGTGCAACTGTGTGCTGTGTGATGTGTGGTGTGTAGCTGTTTGGCGTGTTGCTGTGTGGTGTGGCTGTGTGGGGTGTGCACAAAACAATGTATAACACACATACATATTAAAACAATTAACTCGTTGATTATTTTTACGATAAAACACCTTTTTATTATGAAACAATTGGTATCACTTTCAAAGATTTTTTTAAACATTTTATTGTAATAGTAAACAATAACCAGTTGATTAAAATAAAAAAAATGTAACAGTTATAAAGATTTTTTTACGAAAAAAATACACGGCTTATCTACATTTTATCGACACATTTTTAAAAAAAAAGCTTAATGACCTGTTATAAAATACTTGTTTTAGCAAAAGATTCTATGTGTATCAAAACATATGTGACATTAACCTATAGTTTTATGACATCATCCTATGGAATTTTAAATTATTTTTTAAAGATTTAATTGTTTAAACTGCCATCACTTCTGACCGAAAAATTACTGGACAAATGCTATTATTTAAAAAAAGGTTTTATAAAGTGACTATATCGAACAAAGGGAAGTTATCTACAACAAACACAGTTATGGTTCTTGTAAATGGACGGATTTCAAATGGGGCTCAACATTGTAAATTAGCAATTGATTTCATTTCTACCCCTTCCTGTTTTTTTTTATTTGTATCATACAATAATGTTTACCTGGCGCAAACAAACAAATTTTAATCCAAAAAAAGTACGATTTTTTTTATCGTAACTGGTTCAGCTAAAAAAATATTTGGGTTTTCACATCCCCCCCCCCCCCCAACAAAATGGTGTAAACCCTACCTAAAGAATGGTTGAAAGGATTGAGTGATACCAAAACATGAATGAAAACTACGATATATTTGAATGGCTACATAGAGTAGGAGCTACAACTAGAATTGATTAATTATGTTGTTAAAACTGGGTAATTAAGCTCTAACTAATTTTAGATTGTCAAAGGTGCTTTTAACTTACAACTTTCAAAGTTTGTGTGACATTAGTAGTTACAGGTGGGCGAACGATAGTTAGTGTGGGGATAGTGGTAGTTAGTGTGGGGACAGGTGGTAGTTAGTGTGGGGACAGTGTGGTAGTTAGTGTGGGGCGGGTGGTAGTTAGTGTGGGGCGGGTGGTAGTTAGTGTGGGGCAGGTGGTAGTTAGTGTGGGGCAGGGGGTAGTTAGTGTGGGGCGGGCGGTAGTTAGTGTGGGGCGGGCGGTAGTTAGTGTGGGGCAGTGTGGGGCAGGTGATAGTTAGTGTGGAGCAGGTGGTAGTTAGTGTGGGACAGGTGGTAGTTAGTGTGGGGCAGTGTGGTAGTTAGTGAGGGGCGGGCGATAGTTAGTGTGGGGCAGGTGATAGTGTGGGGCAGGTGGTAGTTAGTGTGGGGCAGGTGGTAGTGTGGGGCAGGTGATAGTTAGTGTGAGGCAGTGTGGGACAGGTGGTAGTTAGTGTGGGACAGAGTGGGGCGGGCGGTAGTTAGTGTGGGGCAGTTAGTGTGGAGCAGGTGGTAGTTAGTGTGGGACAGGCGGTAGTTAGTGTGGGACAGGTGGTAGTGTGGAGCAGGTGGTAGTGTGGAGCAGGTGGTAGTGTGGAGCAGGTGGTAGTTAGGGTGGGACAGGGTAGTTAGTGTGAGGCAGTAAGTGTGTGAGATGTGGTAGTTAGTGTGGGGTATGTGGTAGTGTGGGGCAAACATAAGTTATAGAAGGACATTATTTGGTCAGTTGGTAGTTAGAGAAAGTGAGATGGTGAGGTTGGTAGTTAGACGTCACCACGTTGTAGTTCACTATTGAAAGCTGGTAGCTGGTGTGTTTGTAGAGAAGTTTGGTTTGTCACACATCATGTAGCAATCTGTTTTCTGGAATCTTGGCGAGTGTATCCCTGTGGTGCCAGCCGCTGCTAGTCTGTCTGGACCCTGGCTATCACGCTGTCCCTACGTCTTGCCTGTGGGGCAGGGGATATGCTCCGGTTGTTCCTGAACACGTGACCGGCAGGGGCGCTGCTCTGCGGGGGTGGGGCGGGGCTGTTGGACGGAAGGGGTGGGGCAGCATATGGTTTCTTTTGGTAGAACATGGCGTAGTTTTCCTGGGAAGATGATAAGATATTTAGTTTTAAGTGTACATACTTCAGGTGTATTTAGTTTTAAGTGTACATACTTCAGGTGTATTTAGTTTTAAGTGTACATACTTCAGGTGTATTTAGTTTTAAGTGTACATACTTCAGGTGTATTTAGTTTTAAGTGTACACACTTCAGGTGTATTTAGTTTTAAGTGTACACACTTCCGGTGTATTTAGTTTTAAGTGTACAAACTTCAGGTTTGGAGATATGACTGACTGACTTACCTGATCGTTGTAGACATGACTGATTGACTTAAGCAGCTTCTCGATCCTGTCTGGGAAGTCATCAATGTGGTCACGGGACTTTTCACCTTTAGTTTCGTTGGTCTCGCCATTTTGTTCAGGCGACGCTTCTGATTGGTCGGCAGATCCACCAATCCCCGTCCACTTCTTGAATCTGCGCGGATACAACAAGGTGGTCTATAACTCAACTGACTAGCCAGGTAGGCAGGTCAAATCTAGACACCCATCTAGCAATAGCAATACCTGTGTGAATATTATGGTGTTTCTGTGTGTGGTGGGGGTCGGGCTACAAGACCACCAAGTGACCCACCTGTTTAAACCCTGTATTTCACCGCTGATCTACGTGTTACATGAAGTCAACTCACCTCTGGAGCATCAAGTCAACTCACCTCTGGAGCGTAAAGTCAACTCACCTCTGCAGCATGAAGTCAACTCACCTCTGTAGCATGAAATCAACTCACCTCTGCAGCATGCAGTCAACTCACCTCTGGAGCCTAAAATCAACTCACCTCTGGAGCGTAAAGTCAACTCACCTCTACAGCATCAAGTCAACTGACCTCTGGAGCACCAAGTCAACTGACCTCTGGAGCACCAAGTCAACTGACCTCTGGAGCACCAAGTCAACTGACCTCTGGAGCATCAAGTCAACTCACCTCTGGAGCATGAAGTCAACTCACCTCTGGAGCATCCAGTCAACTCACCGCTGGAGCATCCAGTCAACTCACCTCTGGAGCATCCAGTCAACTCACCTCTGTGGCATGAAGTCAACTCACCTCTGGAGCATCCAGTCAACTCACCTCTGTGGCATGAAGTCAACTCACCTCTGGAGCATCCAGTCAACTCACCTCTGTGGCATGAAGTCAACTCACCTCTGGAGCATCCAGTCAACTCACCTCTGTGGCATGAAGTCAACTCACCTCTGGAGCATCCAGTCAACTCACCGCTGGAGCATGAAGTCAACTCACCTCTGGAGCATCCAGTCAACTCACCTCTGGAGCATGAAGTCAACTCACCTCTGGAGCATGAAGTCAACTCACCTCTAGAGCATGAAGTCAACTCACCTCTGGAGCATGAAGTCAACTCACCTCTGCAGCATGCAGTCAACTCACCTCTGGAGCGTAAAATCAACTCACCTCTGGAGCGTAAAGTCAACTCACCTCTGCAGCGTAAAGTCAACTCACCTCTGCAGCGTAAAGTCAACTCACCTCTGCAGCATGCAGTCAACTCACCTCTGGAGCGTAAAATCAACTCACCTCTGGAGCGTAAAGTCAACTCACCTCTGCAGCGTAAAGTCAACTCACCTCTGCAGCGTAAAGTCAACTCACCTCTGCAGCGTAAAGTCAACTCACCTCTGCAGCATGCAGTCAACTCACCTCTGGAGCGTAAAATCAACTCACCTCTGGAGCGTAAAGTCAACTCACCTCTGCAGCGTAAAGTCAACTCACCTCTGCAGCGTAAAGTCAACTCACCTCTGCAGCATGAAGTCAACTCACCTCTGCAGCATGAAGTCAACTCACCTCTGGAGCATTAAGTCAACTCACCTCTGTAGCATGAAGTCAACTTACCTCTGCAGCATGAAGTCAACTCACCTCTGGAGCGTAAAGTCAACTCACCTCTGGAGCATGAAGTCAACTTACCTCTGCAGCATGAAGTCAACTATCTCAAACTCGTTCCCCTGTTTGCTGACGTCCTCCCTGACGGCCGAGAACGTCTCGTTGAGGATAGAGACGAAGATGTTGACGATGATGAAGCTGACCACGATCACGTACAGGAGGACAAAGATCTGAAACACCAGAGTTGTTGCCCTTGTCAAAATGTACACACAAATTATGTCCCTAAAAGTCAGTTATTGCCCTTGTCACAATATATGAGCATATATAAGTACAACAGGGAATTAGAGAGGACGGAGATGACACCACAAAAAGCCCTCCACCCTCCCCCGGGGTGTGACTTATGTCTAAACACCACCATTTGTACCACCACTATTTAAACCACCACAATTGAACCACCACATTTGAACCACCACATTTGAACCACCACACTTGACCCCAAGCTGAGCTGTGCAAGCACATGGTCTTCTGCCTCACATTAACAATCACAGATAGAAGGGAGGAACGGGTCGTCGTGTGAGGGAAATGTCCTACCTGAGACAGGTACGGCTCCGTCATAATCATGGAGTAGATGTCGAACTTGCCCATCATCATCAAGACTGTGGTGACGACAGCGGAGATGAAGCTGGCGTAGCCGATGTCGATGTGCATGAAGGTCAGGTAGAAGAGCTGGGTGAAGGCCATGAAGACGATGGTGAAGATGAGGCCGAAGTGGAGCAGGCCTTTGGCGCTGTGCTGCAAGATGGAGGACAGCATGGAGATCTTCCTGTTGAACCTGTTGGTAAACAACCGTGTTACTATGGTAACTAAACAAGATGGACGACAGCATGGAGATCTTCCTGTTGAACCTGTTGATAAACAACCGTGTTACTATGGTAACTAAACAAGATGGAGGACAGCATGGAGATCTTCCTGTTGAACCTGTTGGTAAACAACCGTGTTACTATGGTAACTAAACAAGATGGACGACAGCATGGAGATCTTCCTGTTGAACCTGTTGATAAACAACCGTGTTACTATGGTAACTAAACAAGATGGAGGACAGCATGGAGATCTTCCTGTTGAACCTGTTGGTAAACAACCGTGTTACTATGGTAACTAAACAAGATGGACGACAGCATGGAGATCTTCCTGTTGAACCTGTTGATAAACAACCGTGTTACTATGGTAACTAAACAAGATGGAGGACAGCATGGAGATCTTCCTGTTGAACCTGTTGGTAAACAACCGTGTTACTATGGTAACTAAACAAGATGGACGACAGCATGGAGATCTTCCTGTTGAACCTGTTGGTAAACAACCGTGTTACTATGGTAACTAAACAAGATGGACGACAGCATGGAGATCTTCCTGTTGAACCTGTTGGTAAACAATCGTGTTACTATGGTAACTAAACAAGATGGACGACAGCATGGAGATCTTCCTATTGTACCTGTTGGTAAACAACCGTGTTACTATGGTAACTAAACAAGATGGACGACAGCATGGAGATCTTCCGGTTGAACCTGTTGGTAAACAACCGTGTTACTAGGGTAACTAAACAAGATGGACGACAGCATGGAGATCTTCCTGTTGAACCTGTTGGTAAACAACCGTGTTACTATGGCAACTAAACAAGATGGACGACAGCATGGAGATCTTCCTGTTGAACCTGTTGGTAAACAACCGTGTTACTATGGTAACTAAACAAGATGGACGACAGCATGGAGATCTTCCTGTTGAACCTGTTGGTAAACAACCGTGTTACTATGGTAACTAAACAAACATATTGTATATGTAGTAGTTAAACAAACTAACTGCAACTCGTTGTTCCTTGGTCTAAAATGTGTTCATCATATAACATGTACACAACTTATTGTGTTTACTGTACAAGTGCTGACATGATAGACTGAACAAAATCTTGAAACCTACCTATGAGGAAGCCATACGAGATGAAACCTACCTTAAAAGCTTGAGGAACTTGAGTGTGGCGAAGAAGACGAGGAAACCATACGAGATGAAACCCACCTTAAAAGCTTGAGGAACTTGAGTGTGGCGAAGCAGACAAGGAAACCATACGAGATGAAACCTACCTTAAAAGTTTGAGGAACTTGAGTGTGGCGAAGAAAACGAGGAATCCGATCATATAGGAGAACATCTCGTTCCAGTAGCCGACATATTGGAACTTGATATAACCGTTCCCATGGGTCGACTGAATGGGAGATCAAATGTCAAGTTTGTGACAAGTCGGATACAACTTGATGACAAGTTTTATATAAACACCTACAAATACTTAAGTTTCGAACGATTTTACTGATACTATAAGCTAATGCCTAGGTTGAATCAAACAACGAAGTGGACAGAGCCTGACCTTGAAGGAGGAGGTAAGGTCGTTGGTGACAAAAAGTCTGTAGAAGTAGATGACGATGGCGGCGAGGCTCATGGCGATGATGCCGACCTCCACCAGGTTCCAGAAACTGGTAAAGTAGGTCAGCCTGGACTTGTAGAGTTCCCTCCCCTCGCGGATGATGAAAAACAGGGTGAATATCAGGTAGATCACCTGCAATTGTAAACATTAGGTCAGACACCTGCAGAGGTCAACATTAGGTCAGACACCTGCAGAGGTCAACATAGGTCAGACACCTGTAGAGGTCAACATAGGTCAGACACCTGTAGAGGTCAACATTAGGTCAGACACCTGCAGAGGTCAAGATTAGGTCAGACACCTGCAGAGGTCAACATTTGGTCAGACACCTGCAGAGGTAAACATTAGGTCAGACATAAACATTAGGTCAGACACCTGCAGAGGTCAACATTTGGTCAGACACCTGCAGAGTTAAACATTAGGTCAGACATAAACATTAGGTCAGACACCTGCAGAGGTCAACATTAGGTCAGACATAAACATTAGGTCAGACACCTGCAGAGGTCAACATTTGGTCAGACACCTGCAGAGTTAAACATTAGGTCAGACATAAACATTAGGTCAGACACCTGCAGAGGTCAACATTAGGTCAGACACCTGCATAGGTCAACATTAGGTCAGACACCTGCAGAGGTCAACATTAGGTCAGACACCTACAGAGGTCAACATTAGGTCAGACACCTGCATAGGTCAACATTAGGTCAGACACCTGCAGAGGTCAACATTAGGTCAGACACCTGCAGAGGTCAACATTAGGTCAGACACCTGCAGAGGTCAACATTAGGTCAGACATAAACATTAGTTCAGACACCTGCAGAGGTCAACATTAGGTCAGACACCTGCAAAGGTCAACATTAGGTCAGAGGTCAAGATTAGAACGAGGTGACTGACCTCACAAGCCAGCTGGAACAACATGGCTGACGACATGTAGGGTAGCAACATGGCCGGCTCGAACCTGTAGGTCTGGACGATGCCGCCACTCGGGTCAAACTCTGCCAGGATGGTGCTGATGGCGAACAGGTTCACCTGCAGGTTCAAAGGTCAGGTCATTATGTACGGTTCAGGTTAGATACAATGTGTAAGTAAACAATTTTGGAGACTTAAAACTAATATAAAAAACCTTTATTGCAAAAAGATTTTAAATGCACTGAAAATAAGAAAATAAAACTAATCTTTCTTTCATAAAAGCTTTGGTTGCTGAAATATATAAAAGATTTCATGAGCGACCAAAGCTTTTATGAAAGAAAGAAATTTTTACAAGCTTTTATTTAACGCTTCCTCAACAAGTCTGTCGGTCTGCATAGATCGAAACGCCCGAGCGAAATTTCTGGCACTTCTGACAGATTCATTCATTTTATTATTAATTTTTTTATGAATTAATTAAAATTTTGTCCAAATAAGTAGGCATGACAAATGATCTCAGGACAAATGTCCCAGACAAATTATCTCACGGACAAATGATCTCAGGACAAATTATCTCAAGGACAAACCCACAAACAAACAGACGCTGCGAACTAAATAATTGCTTGTAAAAATGTCATTTACTAAACTGTCATATAATTAACAGCTAGCAAACAGCCAGGTGTAAACCTACCTGAGGGTTGTGGGGACAGCCAGGTGTAAACCTACCTGAGGGTTGTAGACCGTGAACTCCACAAAGACAGCCCTGGTGTATCTATCTATCCACCTCTCGGCCTCCAGTCTGTTGAAGGTCTCCACCAGATCGGACTTTGACCCGTTCAGTGCTGCCACGTAGCCACCCCCCGAGTACATGCTCAGCACCCCCCAGTAGGGGTAGCCATTCAGCTCTGAGGAGTCCCTGTGAGAGTAGCATGTAGCATCATACACATACACGTATATTTTTAAGATCCCCCAGTATTAAAATTTCACCCGCCCCAAGAGTACTAAATAATATACTTCTAGTCGTAAGCCCATCCCACAAACCCCCAACCCCCACACAGTACCTGTAAATGTACCCCACATCCCACACAATACCTGTAAATGTACCACACACCCCCCACACTTCCTGTAAATGTACCACACCCCCCACTGCATGTAAGTACCACACACCCCCATAAACACCCCCACACACCCCCTCCCACAGTACCTGTAAATGTACCACACACCACACCCCCACACAGTACCTGAAAATGTACAACACCCCCACACAACCCCCACACAACCCCACACAACCCCCACACACCCCACCCCACACAGTACCTGTAAATGTACCACACCCCCCACCCCACACAGTACCTGTAAATGTACCACACCCCCACACAACCCCCACATCCCCCCACACAGTACCTGTAAATGTACCACACCCCCACACACCCCCACACAGTACCTGTAAATGTACCACACCCCCACACACCCCCACACAGTACCTGTAAATGTACCACACCCCCACACACCCCCACACAGTACCTGTAAATGTACCACACCCCCACACACCCCCACACAGTACCTGTAAATGTACCACACCCCCACACACCCCCACACAGTACCTGTAAATGTACCACACCCCCACATCCCCCCACACAGTACCTGTAAATGTACCACACCCCCACACACCCCCACACAGTACCTGTAAATGTACCACACCCCCACACACCCCCACACAGTACCTGTAAATGTACCACACCCCCACACACCCCCACACAGTACCTGTAAATGTACCACACCCCCACACACCCCCACACAGTACCTGTAAATGTACCACACCCCCACATCCCCCCACACAGTACCTGTAAATGTACCACACCCCCACACACACCCCCACACAGTACCTGTAAATGTACCACACCCCCACACAACCCCCACATCCCCCCACACAGTACCTGTAAATGTACCACACCCCCACACACCCCCTCCCACAGTACCTGTAAATGTACCACACACCACACCCCCACACAGTACCTGAAAATGTACAACACCCCCACACAACCCCCACACACCCCCACACACAACCCCCACACCCCCACCCCCACACAGTACCTGTAAATATACTCCTCTGCCGTGTTAGCTGCCCCCCGACCCAGCGCCTTCCCCCACCCTGGGGTGTACGAGTTTTCCTCCTGGTCGAGCATGTCGTACATGACGTTACATTCTCTGATGATTCCCCGGACAGCGTCGGGAACCTTGCACTGGTCTGTCGGGGAACAGGGAACATGATGTTAGTAACAAGACAGGGAACATGAGGTTAGGAACAAGACAGGGAACATGATGTTAGGAACAAGACAGGGAACAGGGAACATGAGGTTAGAACAAGACAGGGAACAGGGAACATGAGGTTAGGAACAAGACAGGGAACATGAGGTTAGGAACAAGACAGGGAACATGAGGTTAGGAACAAGACAGGGAACATGAGGTTAGGAGCAAGACAGGGAACATGAGGTTAGAAATAAGACAGGGAACAAGGAACATGAGGTTAGGAACAAAAAATTTCCTGTAGTACAAGTCTATAAAAATATAATGACTATTGTTTGCTTTATAGGCCGTAGATTTGGTTTACTAGTTCAATCATTTGTGTCATGTAATGGATATTCTATTTTTTATCTTTATAAGTTTAGGTTAGAGTCTAACCATTCGACTTTGACAAGTTTAGACGTAACCTGTACTACACAAGTTAGTCTTTAACCTGGCTAACCGTAACTTGACAAAGTCTTAGAATGCTAACAAAGTGACCAGTCACTAACAAAGTGGCCAACCACCAACAAAGTGGCCAGCCACTAACAAAGTGGCCAGCCAATAACAAAACAATTACTTTTTTTAACACGTAGCTGTCGGATGGTGGCGTATCCCAGAATCCTGGACACCTTGTCGTTGATGTAGGCCCGCAGGAGCAGCGGCGGGTACCCGTTAGAGTAGGGACCCGCTCTCAGCCCGTTCACCAGTCCAGAGCGGGTCCAGTCCCAGAAGTCTTTAGCGTTTTTCAGCTGAAAATTTGAACACATCCGTCAACAGTCAGGTCATTTGTTTAGTCACTGAGTGACTAAGCTAGACATGTGAACACGTGACTAACTTGTTATTTGATGCCCGTATTTTTTTCTCCAGGTCGATAATTAATTAATTAATTGTTAGACTGTATCTATATGTTACCTACATTGCTCTAAGAGCAGAGTTCCAAGCCCCCCCCCCCCCCCCCCCCTCCCCCCACGTCGAAGACAGTCTACCGGTCCCCATCCCTTCGAACGAAATGGAATTTTTATAGAAAACATATACTTTTACCAGTGTCCGCCCCTCCCCCCGAAAATATCAAGTGCCCCCCCCCCCCCGAAAAAAGTCTGAAAGAAACACTGTCTAAGAGTGACCTCAGCGCGACCTAAGCATGACCTAAGCGTGACCTAACCCTGACCTAAGCATGACCTAAGCATGACCTAACCTTACCTAAGCATGACCTAAGCGTGACCTAACCCTGACCTAAGCATGACCTAAGCATGACCTAACCTTACCTAAGCATGACCTAACCCTGACCTACCCCTGACCTAAGCATGACCTAAACGTGACCTAAGCATGACCTAACCCTGACCTAACCCTGACCTAATCATAACCCCTGTATGACCTACCCCATAGAAATCTATGTCTGACTCAAGGTTCTCAATAAAGACCCGCTTCATGTTGTTCTTGTACAGGAAGTTGCCAGCGCCCAGTTGACGGTAGGAGATGACCATCAGGATCCACAGGAAGAACGAGTAGATGATGACCTTGGGGGGAGACAACAAATGACCTTCAACATTTGTACTCGACCTTGAACATTTGAGCTGAGTGAACTCAGGGTTTTTACACTTCAGCTTAAAAATTTTACCTTCAACATGACAAGTTTACCCTCCTATGACAATTTTACCTCCCCTATGACAAGTTTACCCTCCTATGACAATTTTACCTCCCCTATGACAAGTTTACCTCCCGTATGACAAGTTTACCTCTCGTATGATGGCCCACATCTGGATCTCCTTCATCCTGGTGGCTCTCAGTCTCTCCAGCATCTGAGGGTCGGGCGGTTTGTAGCCGATCTTACGGGGTCTGGTCGCTGCAACCACTGGGGTGGGGGAGGGGGGGGAGATATTTGTTAATCTGGAGTCTAGCAAACAAAGATATATCCTAGCATTAAACCACTGGACCACACAACTGTACCTACCATTGGACCACCCTAACTCTACTGCACCTACCATCGCTGTGCAACAGTTCACTGTCGGGGTCGACCTGTGGCTGCTCCTCGTCATCGTCTTCGTCCTCTTCCTCGTTGCTGGGGTTTTTGAAGATAAGGGAGAGCACCATAGCAAACAGGAACACCTGGAATAAAGGGAGAGAATCATAGCAAACAAGAACACCTGGAATAAAGGGAGAGAACCATAGCAAACAAGAACACCTGGAATAAAGGGAGAGAACCATAGCAAACAAGAACACCTGGAATAAAGGGAGAGACATTAATGACAGGAACACCTGGAATAAAGGGAGAGAATCATAGCAAACAGGAACACCTGGAATAAAAGGAGAGAACAATGGCAAACAGGAACACCTGGAATAAAGGGAGAGAATCATGGCAAACAGGAACACCTGGAATAAAAGGAGAGAATCATGGCAAACAGGAACACCTGGAATAAAAGGAGAGAACAATGACAAAAAGGAATAAAGGGAGAGAATCATAGCAAACAGGAACACCTGGAATAGAGAGAGACATTAATGACAGAAACACCTGGAATAAAGGGAGAGCATCATGGCAAACAGAAACACCTGGAATAAAAAGAGAGAATCATGGCAAACAGGAACACCTGGAATAAAGGGAGAGAACAATGGCAAACAGGAACACCTGGAATTAAGGGAGAGAACAATGGCAAACAGGAACACCTGGAATAAAGGGAGAGAACCATAGCCAGGGTTCGTACTGCTTTTTGAAAATGAAATTCCAGACTTTTTCCAGACATTTTCCAGACTTTTTTGGAAAAATTCCAGACTTTAGACAGATAATGTGTTAGCGAATAATTTTTTTAAAATGCAATATTTGTACTGTCATTATAATTACTTATACTAAATTGACATTTATTTTAGACAATTGAGCTATATTCATAGTAAACTTTCTCTAGTTTGCCTACTCCACCCTACCTAAAATTTTAATAATTAAAATAATTGATTAAAATGATGCAACTGTTTTGTTTCCAACATTAGACTTATGTAATCTGTTCCTGATCTAATTGCTTATGTTTTCAATTAAACTATCATTAAAATGGTATTGCATAATAGTGAGAGTTAATTACTTTAAAGAATTATAATGTAATGTATTAATTTAGGTCTGCTCTTGTTAAGTAGCCTAAATAAATATAGGCTACTTGTAAAAAAAAATGTGGAGCAAAAAATAAAATAAAAATCATTCACTGTTTGTGCTTATAGTAATAGCTGAGAAACAGGTCTGCAATAAAAAAAAGTTGCCGGTATCCTTCTTTCTCCCCCCCCCCCCTCCCCCACAGACACGACACGGTGAAGGGGTCACTGTGAGGTCATAGTAGTCTAGACTTCAGTATGCCTGTTTAATACGTCATAACATGAACTGTGCTGTGACTTATACCCCCTCCCCCACTCTACTTACTAAGCGGTACCAACTACGCACTTGGGGTCACGGTGAGTTCACACAAGTGACCGATGTTAAAAGGAGGGGCGGGGTAGTAACTTTAATCGTCAGCATTTGCAAAGATTTCAAAAACAGTTTAATGGAAGGTGGATTAAAATTAAAGGGGTCATCCATTTATGACGTACACATGGATGTGATTACATTCTAAAACAAACATAAAACGTGTATCTTGCGAGTAGAATGTAAAATTAAGACGACTGTGCTGGTGTTTTAAAAACCCATCACAGCGTGTAAATAAAACACGGTATTTATATCTGCCCTAACATTATTGCAAGAGCGTGTCGTCACACTTTATAAAACCCTCCTCCCGACTTTCCGGAGTGTGACGTCATTTATGGACGACTCCTAAATAAAAAATAGTACCTCTTTGGTAAGCTGAAGCAAACAGAAATACAGGTATGAACCCAAGGAGGCCTTGCGACTTATTAATCTTATAAATGTTAATATTAATCCAAAGTAAGTGAACGCGGTGTGGACAGAGGGGGGGGGGGGGGAAGGGGGGGAGGTCTAAAATCCGAAAAATTGTTGTAAGTCATAAATGGATGACGCCTTACATACTGATAAATTATATCTAAGCTACCACTCACACATCCTCCCCCCCCCCCCCATATTTTTTTTATGACTGCTGCATGCAAACTCAAACGATGAAAAAATAGCGGGTAAAATCGAGAGCCTAACAATCATGACGGCGATCATTCTTTTATTAAACCACAATTGTAAGTACTTGTAACACATTCACACGGTCAGTCGTGCCACAAAATATCCTTTCCCTCCCTTCCCCTCTTCTCCCAATGACGTAGTAACTGAGCATTTTTTCTGCGAACCAGCGAAAAAACGTCACAACAAACATAGTGTAAACCCGCGCGATAGCGCGGGAAAAAAAATTGGAGTAAATTCACTTAAAAATAGCAATTTTTTAAGTTGGAAAATAGGGACTACGAAGTTTTGTTTCTAAAACTAGATTCCAGACTTTTTCCAGACTTTTAAAAAATCCTGCCCAAAAACTAGCGATTTTCCAGACTTTTTTAAGTCTTAAATTCACTTTTCGAAATTCAAGACTTTTTCCAGACTTTCCAGACTGCGTACGAACCCTGCATAGCAAACAGGAACACCTGGAATAAAGGGAGAGCATCATGGCAAACAGGAACACCTGGAATAAAGGGAGAGAACCATAGCAAACAGGAACACCTAGAATAAAGGGAGAGAACCATGGCAAACAGGAACACCTAGAATAAAGGGAGAGAACCATGGCAAACAGGAACACCTGGAATAAAGGGAGAGAACCATAGCAAACAGGAACACCTAGAATAAAGGGAGAGAACTATGGCAAAAAAGAACATCTAGAATAAAGGGAGAGCATCATGGCAAACAGGAACACCTAGAATAAAGGGAGAGCATCATGGCAAACAGGAACACCTGGAATAAAGGGAGAGAACCATGGCAAACAGGAACACCTGGAATAAAGGGAGAGAACCATAGCAAACAGGAACACCTAGAATAAAGGGAGAGAACTATGGCAAAAAAGAACATCTAGAGGACAACAAGGAATGGACTGGGCTGCCCATTGCAGGACTACTAAGAGCAACAGAGAACTGAGACAGATGGCAGAAAATGATGAGATAATTTACTGTGGTACCCTTAAGACCCCAATAAGGGTTATGGGACGATAGGCTGATAGATCGATGATCTGCTTAAGCCGACTAATTAACTGACCTTAATTGGCTGGGTAATGAAGACAGACGTGAAGAAGGAGACCAGGAGTGACGTGATCCACTTCCGGCACGTCTCGTCCTTGAAGGAGATGCCGTAGAAGATCACCATGACAACGGAACCAAGGGTGACAATCCACAGCAGGATCCAGGCGATGATGCTGAAATACCAGGGCAGCTCGAACTTCTGGGGAGATGAGAGGTCAAGGTCGGGGATCAAAGGTCAAGGTCGTGTGATCAGAGGTCAAGGTCACGTGGTCAGAGGTCAAGGTCACGTGGTCAGAGGTCAGAGTTCACGGTGTCTGGGTCATGTCATTGTCTCAATGCGGTCACTAGTCAAGGTCAAAAGTCGCGTTCTCAAGGTCAGATGCCAAGTGAAAAGTAGTTGTAAACTGTAGCTGTATATCATTGCTGTAAATTGTTGCTGTAAAAACATGTAAATACGAGCCCACCTTTTTCTTCTTCGGGGTCAGCTGTTCTGTGGAGGCGTACGACATGCCCGTGGGGGGTCGGGAGTCTGTGGCGTAGGGGTCTTTGGGGAGGGTGGGGGTCTTGGACACGCTGAAGATACTGCTGACCTGTGGGGTAAGGCAAGGTTGGGCTAGTGGTTGATGATGACATGACACAACAATGACATAACAATATTGACATGACATTGACACAATACTCACATGATACCAGCATGATAATGTGACCATACTGACATGAAACTGACATGACAAGTGTGACATGGACACAACACTGACATGACAAATGTGACATGGACACAATACTGACATGACTGCATGAATCAGCTGAAACCCCACGAGTTAAAGCCCCACCTCTGGTTTGACGTCATTGATTGAGGCCTGCTTGTTGTTTTCAATCACCTCCTTAATAGCCAGGTCTATGCGGGAGGGGCGCTTGTGGTGGGGGCGGGCCTTCCTGAACAGGTAGATGAGCAGGAAGTTGACGGGGAAGACGATTAGGTTGCTCACCACGCCGATGAAGATCTGCAAGACACGACAACAACAGACCATTGGTTTCTGACGCTAAGATCGATGCTGCTCCAATACTCACTTCTGTTATTCAATTACTCGATTCTTCTATTTTCATAAAATCACATAAGGACAAAATAGCATCTAATATCGAAGTAATGTCTGCGGTAAGTGTCAATGTGTTATTTCTGCGGTTAGGATAATTCTTGAGGGTCATGTGGTATAGAATTACTATTAGGGTTAAGGTAAGGGACATGAATAAGGTATCGAATTCAGCAAAATGAAATAGAATCGAATACAGCCCGTTGTCGAGATGGCGATATATCTGTAGGTTCAAGCAATGATTTTTGTTTTAGAATTGAAAATGGAATCATACATCAACATCTCAGATCGGCCAAAATTCTAATAGTTGTATTACGTCACGCGATCTGAGTCTTTAGGCTAGTGATATTGTCACCTGTTCAACATATCACAATGTCAAATTGTCACCGTGTCACCATTTTATACCCTGTCACAATATCATCGTGTCACCATGTTATAACGTCACCATATCTCCTTGTCACCATATCACCGTGTCACCATATCGCCAAGTCACCATATCATCGTGTCAACATGTTATAACGTCACCGTATCTCCTTGTCACCATATCACCGTATCACCATATCACCAAGTCACCATATCACCAAGTCACCATATCACCGTATCACCATATCACCGTGTCACCATATCACCAAGTCACCATATCACCGTGTCACCATATCACAAAGTCACCATATCACCGTGTCACCATATCACCAAGTCACCATATCACCAAGTCACCATATCACCAAGTCACCATATCACCAAGTCACCATATCACCAAGTCACCATATCACCAAGTCACCATATCACCAAGTCACCATATCACCAAGTCACCATATCACCAAGTCACCATATCACCAAGTCACCATATCACCAAGTCACCGTATCACCAAGTCACCATATCACCGTATCACCCTACCTGTAAACGTGTGAAGACCACTCACCTGTTCAGGTGCGATGGAGAAGGGCCCAAAGCTAAAAGAGCTGCTGCTTGTTTCACCTGTACCTGAGGTCGATGTCCTGTAGAACATGGCGTTGGCCAGCATGCTGACATACAGCAGACACAGACAGCAGGACACTCTCTGTAGGACAGGATAAATAAGTGTGACATAACTGTAGATAGGTAAACCTTGACTGGCAGGTGACTTACCTGCAGGCAGTTAAATCTTGACTGGCAGGTAACTTACCTGCAGACAGGTAAAAGTTGACTGGCAGGTGACTTACCTGTAAGCAGGTAAACCTTAACTGGCAGGTGACTTACCTGTAAGCAGGTAAACCTTAACTGGCAGGTGACTTACCTGCAGGCAGGTAAACCTTGACTGGCAGGTGACTTACCTGTAAGCAGGTAAACCTTAACTGGCAGGTGACTTACCTGTAAGCAGGTAAACCTTGACTGCGGGGGACGGGCCACAACAGAGAACCACAGATGTCCATCGACCAGATTTTTCCTGCTCCGCTCACCAAACTGGTAGCTGAAGTCACCCAGCTGTTCACGTGACGCTGCTGGGATGACGCGGTCAATCTGGTGGTGGGAGACACGTCATCAGTCACCAACACCACCATAACATCGGTATACATCAGCACCACAACATCATCATTCACCAACACCACCATAACATCAGCATTCATCAACAACACCACAACATCAGCATAGATCAACACAACCATAACATCGGCATACATCACCATCACAACAGCAGTATACATTACCACAACCACATCACCATACATCAACACCACCACAACATCAGCATTCATCAACAACACCACAACATCGGCATACATCAACAACACCACATCAACATTTTGTTACATCGCATGGACTCGACGTGGCTGTACGTCGCATTTATTCTCAGTGCATTGTGTGGGTTAGGGATCGTGTAAGTGTAAGGATGTGGGTTAGGGTTGAGGCTGGTGTAAGTGTAAGGATGTGGGTTAGGGTTGAGGCTGGTGTAAGTGTAAGGATGGTGTAAGTGTCACTGACCTGACCATCGTCCTCCTCCACAGCGAACCACCTGTTGGCAATAAACACCTGTTTGACGTCAGTCTGTACGTCCCTCACGATGATATAGTTCAGGTACCAGGAGGCGAACTTGCCACGCCCAGAATTGTCATGCCAGATGCGCATGAAGTTCAGGTAACCCAGGGGTCTACGGACAAACACAGGTAAACATTTCAGGTAATCCAGGGGTCTACAGACAAGCACAGGTAAACAATTCAGGTAACCCAGGGGTCTACAGACAAGTACAGGTAAACAATTAAGGTCTAGTGATGACTGTTACAGGTGACCATAGTTTGGTTAGGCTCTACAGTTTTACAGGTGAGATATTTAAACTGTACGAGTATCTTGAATTATTTCATCCTGTTACTCACCTGGGAACAGACATGAGGAACCAACTGACTCACCTGGGAACAGACATGAGGAACCCATCCAGTTGCCCCCTCCGGAAGATTTTCCGTTTGCTGTCGGTGAAAACTCGCGCGTCGCTTTCGTCGTCTTCGCCAGATAGCACAAAACACACCTGAGGTCAGAGCAACATGTCAAAGGTCAGAGCAACATGTCAAAGTTCAGCCCTTGCCTTACAGGTCAGTCTAACACCTAATGACAGCATTAACCACACAAACACGAGTCCCTAGTAACCCCACATATAAATGACACAAAGACCTCACAGAGAAACGTCTAGAACCTTACCTGAGAATCAGTGCCAGCGTTTCTCCTAAAGCCGGTCGAGACAATGATCTCATAAAAGTATCGGTCCTTGGGGTCATTGTCTGCTAGTGGGGCGATGCCAAGCTGGAACAAAAGTTTAGGATTTGTTGACAAAAGTTTAGGATTTGTTGGCAACAATCGTGGAGAAATCTTTTATTTTAGCTGCAACAAAAGTTTAGGATTTGTTGACAACAGTCGAGGAGAAATCTTTTATTTTAGCTGAAACAAAAGTTTAGGATTTGTTGACAAAAGTTTAGGATTTGTTGGCAACAATCGTGGAGAAATCTTTTATTTTAGCTGCAACAAAAGTTTAGGATTTGTTGACAACAGTCGAGGAGAAATCTTTTATTTTAGCTGAAACAAAAGTTTAGGATTTGTTGACAAAAGTTTAGGATTTGTAGACAACAATCGAGGAGAAATCTTTTATTTTAGCTCGAACAAAAGTTTAGGATTTGTTGACAAAAGTTTAGGATTTGTAGACAACAATCGAGGAGAAATCTTTTATTTTAGCTGGAACAAAAGTTTAGGATTTGTTGACAAAAGTTTAGGATTTGTTGACAAAAGTTTAGGATTTGTTGAGGAGAAATCTTTTATTTTAGCTGGAACAAAAGTTTAGGATTTGTTGAGGAGAAATCTTTTATTTTAGCTCGAACAAAAGTTTAGGATTTGGTGACAAAAGTTTAGGATTTGTAGACAACAATCGAGGAGAAATCTTTTATTTTAGCTGGAACAAAAGTTTAGGATTTGTTGACAACAGTCGAGGAGAAATCTTTTATTTTAGCTGAAACAAAAGTTTAGGATTTGTTGAGGAGAAATCTTTTATTTTAGCTGGAACAAAAGTTTAGGATTTGTTGACAAAAGTTTAGGATTTGTTGACAAAAGTTTAGGATTTGTAGACAACAATCGAGGAGAAATCTTTTATTTTAGCTCGAACAAAAGTTTAGGATTTGGTGACAAAAGTTTAGGATTTGTAGACAACAATCGAGGAGAAATCTTTTATTTTAGCTGAAACAAAAGTTTAGGATTTGTTGAGGAGAAATCTTTTATTTTAGCTCGAACAAAAGTTTAGGATTTGGTGACAAAAGTTTAGGATTTGTAGACAACAATCGAGGAGAAATCTTTTATTTTAGCTGGAACAAAAGTTTAGGATTTGTTGACAAAAGTTTAGGATTTGTAGACAACAATCGAGGAGAAATCTTTTATTTTAGCTGGAACAAAAGTTTAGGATTTGTTGACAAAAGTTTAGGATTTGTTGACAAAAGTTTAGGATTTGTAGACAACAATCGAGGAGAAATCTTTTATTTTAGCTCGAACAAAAGTTTAGGATTTGTTGACAAAAGTTTAGGATTTGTAGACAACAATCGAGGAGAAATCTTTTATTTTAGCTCGAACAAAAGTTTAGGATTTGTTGACAACAGTCGAGGAGAAATCTTTTATTTTAGCTGAAACAAAAGTTTAGGATTTGGTGACAACAGTCGAGGAGAAATCTTTTATTTTAGCTTAAACAAAAGTTTAGGATTTGTTGAGGAGAAATCTTTTATTTTAGCTGGAACAAAAGTTTAGGATTTGTTGACAAAAGTTTAGGATTTGTTGACAACAATTGAGGAGAAATCTTCCTGTCACCAAACAACAAATGTACCGCCTACCGTCTCAGAAATCTGTCACCAAACAACAAACTCCCGCCTACCGTCTCAGAAATCTGTCACCAAACAACAAACCCCCGCCTACCGTCTCAGAAATCTTCCTGTCACCAAACAACAAATTCCCGCCTACCGTCTCAGAAATCTTCCTGCCCCCAAACAACAAATTCCCGCCTACCGTCTCAGAAATCTTCCTGTCCCCAAACAACAAATTCCCGCCTACCGTCTCAGAAATCTTCCTGTCACCAAACAACAAATTCCCGCCTACCGTCTCAGAAATCTTCCTGTCCCCAAACTACAAATTCCCGCCTACCGTCTCCGAAATCTACCTGTCACCAAACAAATTCCCGCCTACCGTCTCAGAAATCTTCCTGTCACCAAACAACACATTCCCGCCTACCGTCTCAGAAATCTACCTGTCACCAAACAACAAACCCCCGCCTACCGTCTCAGAAATCTACCTGTCACCAAACAACATACCCCCGCCTACCGTCTCAGAAATCTGTCACCAAACAACAAACTCCCGCCTACCGTCTCAGAAATCTGTCACCAAACAACAAATTCCCGCCTACCGTCTCAGAAATCTTCCTGTCACCAAACAACAAATTCCCGCCTACCGTCTCAGAAATCTTCCTGTCACCAAACAACAAATTCCCGCCTACCGTCTCCGAAATCTACCTGTCACCAAACAAATTCCCGCCTACCGTCTCAGAAATCTTCCTGTCACCAAACAACAAATTCCCGCCTACCGTCTCAGAAATCTTCCTGTCCCCAAACTACAAATTCCCGCCTACCGTCTCCGAAATCTACCTGTCACCAAACAAATTCCCGCCTACCGTCTCAGAAATCTGTCACCAAACAACAAATTCCCGCCTACCATCTCAGAAATCTACCTGTCACCAAACAACAAATTCCCGCCTACCGTCTCAGAAATCTTCCTGCCCCCAAACAACAAATTCCCGCCTACCGTCTCAGAAATCTTCCTGTCCCCAAACAACAAATTCCCGCCTACCGTCTCAGAAATCTTCCTGTCCCCAAACAACAAATTCCCGCCTACCGTCTCAGAAATCTTCCTGTCCCCAAACAACAAATTCCCGCCTACCGTCTGAGAAATCTTCCTGTCCCCAAACAACAAATTCCCGCCTACCGTCTCGGAAATCTTCCTGTCCCCAAACAACAAATTCCCGCCTACCGTCTCAGAAATCTTCTTGTCACCAAACAACAAATTCCCGCCTACCGTCTGAGAAATCTTCCTGTCCCCAAACAACAAATTCCCGCCTACCGTCTCGGAAATCTTCCTGTCCCCAAACAACAAATTCCCGCCTACCGTCTCAGAAATCTTCCTGTCCCCAAACAACAAATTCCCGCCTACCGTCTCACAAATCTGTCCCCAAACAACAAATTCCCGCCTACCGTCTCACAAATCTACCTGTCCCCAAACAACAAATTTCCCGCCTACCGTCTCAGAAATCTACCTGTCACCAAACAACAAATTCCCGCCTACCGTCTCAGAAATCTACCTGTCACCAAACAACAAATTCCCGCCTACCGTCTCAGAAATCTACCTGTCACCAAACAACAAATTCCCGCCTACCGTCTCAGAAATCTACCTGTCACCAAACAACAAATTCCCGCCTACCGTCTCAGAAATCTACCTGTCACCAAACAACAAATTCCCGCCTACCGTCTCAGAAATCTACCTGTCACCAAACAACAAATTCCCGCCTACCGTCTCAGAAATCTTTCACCAAACAACAAATTCCCGCCTACCATCTCAGAAATCTACCTGTCACCAAACAACAAATTCCCGCCTACCGTCTCAGAAATCTACCTGTCACCAAACAACAAATTCCCGCCTACCGTCTCAGAAATCTTTCACCAAACAACAAATTCCCGCCTACCGTCTCAGAAATCGTCCTGTCACCAAACAACAAATTCCCGCCTACCGTCTCAGAAATCTTCCTGTCCCAAAACAACAAATTCCCGCCTACCGTCTCAGAAATCTTCCTGTCACCAAACAACAAATTCCCGCCTACCGTCTCAGAAATCTACCTGTCACCAAACAACAAATTCCCGCCTACCGTCTCAGAAATCTACCTGTCACCAAACAACAAATTCCCGCCTACCGTCTCAGAAATCTGTCAACAAACAACAAACTCCCGCCTACCGTCTCAGAAATCTTCCTGTCACTAAACAACAAACTCCCGCCTACCGTCTCAGAAATCTACCTGTCAACAAACAACAAACTCCCGCCTACCGTCTCAGAAATCTGTCACCAAACAACAAATTCCCGCCTACCGTCTCAGAAATCTTCCTGTCACTAAACAACAAATTCCCGCCTACCGTCTCAGAAATCTTCCTGTCACCAAACAACAAATTCCCGCCTACCGTCTCAGAAATCTACCTGTCACCAAACAACAAATTCCCGCCTACCGTCTCAGAAATCTACCTGTTACCAAACAACAAACCCCCGCCTACCGTCTCAGAAATCTGTCACCAAACAACAAATTCCCGCCTACCGTCTCAGAAATCTGTCACCAAACAACAAACCCCCGCCTACCGTCTCAGAAATCTGTCACCAAACAACAAATTCCCGCCTACCGTCTCAGAAATCTGTCACCAAACAACAAATTCCCGCCTACCGTCTCAGAAATCTACCTGTCACCAAACAACAAATTCCCGCCTACCGTCTCAGAAATCTTTCACCAAACAACAAATTCCCGCCTACCGTCTCACAAATCTGTCACCAAACAACCAATTCCCGCCTACCGTCTCAGAAATCGTCCTGTCACCAAACAACAAATTCCCGCCTACCGTCTCAGAAATCTTCCTGTCACCAAACAACAAATTCCCGCCTACCGTCTCAGAAATCTTTCACCAAACAACAAATTCCCGCCTACCGTCTCAGAAATCTTCCTGTCACCAAACAACAAATTCCCGCCTACCGTCTCAGAAATCTTTCACCAAACAACAAATTCCCGCCTACCGTCTCACAAATCTGTCACCAAACAACCAATTCCCGCCTACCGTCTCAGAAATCTTCCTGTCACCAAACAACAAAATTCCCGCCTACCGTCTCAGAAATCTTCCTGTCACCAAACAACAAATTTCCCGCCTACCGTCTCAGAAATCTTCCTGTCACCAAACAACAAAATTCCCGCCTACCGTCTCAGAAATCTTCCTGTCACCAAACAACAAATTCCCGCCTACCGTCTCAGAAATCTTCTTGTCCCTGTGCCTGGCCCAGATGGCACCAACCAGGTAGAGGACGCCGGTCAGGATGATGGTGATGTAGATGGTGGGGTTGCTGAGGAAGTCGGCGTGGGCGAAGACGTAGCTCCAGTCGATGGTGTTGGGCACCACCACCCAGCCCCCGGCAAAGGTCGTCAGGTGAGTGCAGTAGCAGACGGTCTTACTCACGTCCGTCTCCCTGCCAACCTGTCAGGACACAGGAGGATTTAATGAACCTAAGTTTGACTCTGTTTAACCACAGGTTTTGTTGTATGTTTAACCACAGATTAAGAGCACAATGTCCCAATGACCTACCACACATCCACTAGCTGACCTACCACACATCCACTAGCTGACCTACCACACATCCACTAGCTGACCTACCACACATCCACTAGCTGACCTACCACACATCCACTAGCTGACCTACCACACATCCACTAGCTGATCTACAAATATCCACTAGCTGACCTACCACACATCCACTAGCTGACCTACCACACATCCACTAGCTGACCTACAAATATCCACTAGCTGACCTACCACACATCCACTAGCTGACCTACCACACATCCATTAGCTGACCTACCACACATCCACTAGCTGACCTACCACACATCCACTAGCTGACCTACCACACATCCACTAGCTGACCTACAAATATCCACTAGCTGACCTACCACACATCCACTAGCTGACCTACCACACATCCACTAGCTGACCTACCACACATCCACTAGCTGACCTACCACACATCCACTAGCTGACCTACCACTAGCTGACCTACCACACATCCACTAGCTGACCTACAAATATCCACTAGCTGACCTACCACACATCCACTAGCTGACCTACCACACATCCACTAGCTGACCTACCACACATCCACTAGCTGACCTACCACACATCCACTAGCTGACCTACAAATATCCACTAGCTGACCTACCACACATCCACTAGCTGACCTACAAATATTCACTAGCTGACCTACAACACATCCACTAGCTGACCTACCACACATCCGTTAGCTGACCTACCACACATCCACTAGCTGACCTACCACACATCCATTAGCTGACCTACCACACATCCATTAGCTGACCTACCACACATCCATTAGCTGACCTACCACACATCCACTAGCTGACCTACCACACATCCACTAGCTGACCTACCACTAGCTGACCTACCACACATCCACTAGCTGACCTACCACACATCCACTAGCTGACCTACCACTAGCTGACCTACCACACATCCACTAGCTGACCTACCACTAGCTGACCTACCACTAGCTGACCTACCACACATCCACTAGCTGACCTACCACTAGCTGACCTACCACACATCCATTAGCTGACCTACCACACATCCATTAGCTGACCTACCACACATCCATTAGCTGACCAGTCGTCCTCGTCGTCTGAGATGGCTAGGCACTGCGTGACGTACTGTCTCATGGAGAACAGGCCCCGGAACGAGTCGGTGCCGTTCTCAAAGCGAGGCAGCGACAGGCAGCCCTCGCTGAGGTCAAGGTCGAACTCCGTGTCGTTGAGCTCGCGGATACCTATGGCCAGCTTACCGGTGAAGTTGCCCAGCACCGTGTTGTCCAGCTGGAACCGGAAGTGGTTCTTATCCGTCTTGTCTAGGGACAGAACCCATAACAGGTAAGACATTGATAGGTGAAATTTGATAAGAAAGACTTTGACAGGATACTGGCAATTAGGACATTGGCAGTTAGGACATTAGCAGTTAAAACATGGGCAGTTAGGACATCGGCAGTTAAGCCAGCACCAGCCCTACCTGTCATGTTGGGCGGCATCAGAAAGACCATGTCGCACTTATCGAACTCTGTAGAGTTGCCAATGCTGGCCAGACCCCCGAGCTTGACCACCAGCAGGAACTGCCGGCCGTCCATGTCCTGGAAGTCCATGTGGAAGGACGAGTGGCTCCTGTTGATGTTCGTCACAAAGTTCATCAAGGTCGCCCAGGACGGGATCATGGGGTTCACGGTCAGGTAGCTGGGTTCAGAGGTTTTGGGGTCACGTGGGATCACAACTTTGACTGGCTCCACGAGATCCTTGACACTCAGCTGGTGGGCAGAGGAGGAGGTTCATTTGTTTTTTAATTCATTCATTAATTAAGCCCCCCCCCCCCCCCGAAAAATTTTTACCGCCCCCCCCCCCCCCCCCCCGAACGGAATGAAATTTATATAATTTATATAGAAAATATATACTTTTAACAGTGTCCGCCCCCCCGAAGAAAGTTTACCGCCCCCCCCCCCCCCCGAAAATTTCAAGTGCCCCCCCCCCCCCGGAGAAAAAAGTCTGGAAGAAACACTGGTCAAGGCCATACCTTAGAGCTGTTGGCGCCGAACAGGTTGATAGAGACGAAGTTGGTGTTGGAGGAGATTCCTTCAGCAGTTTTTGAGTACCTGAGTGGGAAGTTGGTGGACTGGGACACCTGTATGACAGAACAGGCAGTCAGTGCCATGACATGTGTCAGTCAGTGCCATGACATATGTCATCAGTGCCATGACATGACAGTCAGCGCCATGACATATGTCAGTCAGTGATATAACATATAAGTAGCTGCCTACATATACATACATTCACTTGCTGTGTTTATGTAAAGACAAAGCCCCTACCGACACTCCAATAGGTTCACTGCTAGAGCCATTGAGGAAAGTGGTGTTAGGGAGGACTACTCCGCCCTTTGAGCCTGGTACACTGAGTTCTTTCCCTGGAATGTTGGCTATGTCAGACTTTGCCATCAGGGCGTTGATCTTGAGTGAGTTGATCTCAAACGACTGGAGAGGTGGGGGAGATAGGGAGAGATATGAGGTGTGATAGGGGATATATGGGGAGATATGAGGTGTGATAGGGGAGATATGGGGAGATATAAGGTGTGATAGGGGAGATATGGGGAGATATAAGGTGTGATGGGGGTGAGGTGAAGAGATATGAGGTGTGATGGGGTGGGGTGGGTAATGTGGGGTGATGGGGGTTGAGGTGGGACAAAATGGCCGACAAGATGGCCGACAAGCTGTGACTGACTCACCTGTCCCGGCACGCTGTACCTGGAGAAACTCTGCATCTGTTTGTCCATTGTTTCGGTGGCCAGTTGTCTGACCTGCTCTGCCTGGTTAGGGAAAAACTCATTAGTGGGTCACTAGGTCATTACAGGAATAAGTGGGTCACTGGGTCATTACAGGAATATGTGGGTCACTGGGTCATTACATGAATAAGTGGGTCACTAGGTCATTACAGTATAAGCGGGTCACTAGGTCACTACATTAATAAGTGGGTCACTAGGTCATTACAGTTATAAGTGGGTCACTAGGTCACTACATTAATAAGTGGGTCACTAGGTCATTACAGTTACAAGTCATTACAGTAGTACATGCACATGCAAGACTGATGTGAGATGACTGATGTGACATGACTGATGCGACATGACTGATGCGACATGACTGATGCGACATGACTGATGCGACATGACTGATGAACCATGACTGATGAACCATGACTGATGAACCATGACTGATGAACCATGACTGATGTCACATGACTAATGTCACAAGACTGATGTGACATGACGGATGGGACATGACTGATGTCACATGACTGATGTCACATGATTGATGTCACATGACTGATGTGTGACCCTACCGTCTTTGCTTGTCGAATTTTGTGGACCCTGGCTGACTGCATCTGGAGAGCTTCATCAAAGCTTGTTGCTGAGCTTAAGTCAGGAGCTGATATAAACATGAGCTTAAGTCAAGAGCTGATATAAACATGAGCTTAAGTCAGGAGCTGATATAAACATGAGCTTAAGTCAAGAGCTGATATAAACATGAGCTTAAGTCAAGAGCTGATATAAACATGAGCTTAAGTCAAGAGCTGATATAAACATAAGTTTAAGTCAAGGGCTGATATAAACATGAGCTTAAGTCAAGAGCTGATATAAACATGAGCTTAAGTCAAAAGCTGATATAAACATGAGTTTAAGTCAAGGGCTGATATAAACATGAGCTTAAGTATGCTGATATAAACATGAGCTTAAGTCAGGAGCGATATAAAGTGAGTTTACGTCATCAGTAATCAGTTGAAACAAAGATTAACTTAAGTCATGAGCGAATATAAAGACGAATTTCATCAACACTACTTCCCAAAACCTTAACAGAATATGATTTGAAGGAGCAGAACTACACTTACTAAAACTTGACAGTCTGTAGACTTTGTATCACAATTTACCTGTTTTACTATATTTAGGTTGTTTTTTTACCGTATTTTGTAACATTGGGTGACCAATGGATTAAGTGACACACACGTTATTTGAGTGGAGGGATTAGCTGACCCGTATAGGCATACATGATTTAAGTGGAGGGATTAGCTGACCCGTATACAACTTACCATCCTCATCCTCTAGTGCAGATATGGACGTGTCGTAATCCTTCCAGGTGGGATCTTCCTTGGCTTTAGCCAGTTCACTCTGTAGGCCGAACTGTCCGTTACTTCCGGCAGCCTGAAGGTGGGGTCAAGGTCATTTTAAAGGGGGCTAGAGGTCAGGCCTACAATGGTAACTGTTTCTAACAAAGTAGCTAAAGCAAAAAGTGAATGCGAATAAGGCTAGGTGATTGGTTAAAGTGGCTAAGTTTGAGATGAGTGGGTAAAATGGTTGGCTAAAGTAGCCGGTGATTGGCTAAAGTGTGTCATGTGACTGTCCACTCACGTCCATGATGCAGGCTGTAGTCGCCACGATGTATCTCATGGCAGACTCGATCTCCTCGGACGGAACGTTATCGATACTGTCCGGGTCGTTGATGAAGTCGCTCATGCTCTGCAGGCTGTCCATCACGTTTTTCTGGGGGTGCAAGATTTGTGTGGGTCAGTGCAAGATTTATGGGTGGGTCAGTGCAAGATTTGTGTGTGGGTCAGTGCAAGATTTGTGTGTGGGTCAGTGCAAGATTTGTGTGGGTCAGTGCAAGATTTGTGTGGGTCAGTGCAAGATTTGTGTGTGGGTCAGTGCAAGATTTGTGTGTGGGTCAGTGCAAGATTTGTGTGTGGGTCAGTGCAAGATTTGTGTGTGGGTCGGTGCAAGATTTGTGTGGGTCAGTGCAAGATTTGTGTGTGGGTCAGTGCAAGATTTGTGTGTGGGTCAGTGCAAGATTTGTGTGTGGGTCAGTGCAAGATTTGTGTGTGGGTCAGTGCAAGATTTGTGTGTGGGTCAGTGCAAGATTTGTGTCTGGGTCAGTGCAAGATTTGTGTCTGGGTCAGTGCAAGATTTGTGTGTGGGTCAGTGCAAGATTTGTGTCTGGGTCAGTGCAAGATTTGTGTGTGGGTCAGTGCAAGATTTGTGTCTGGGTCAGTGCAAGATTTGTGTGTGGGTCAGTGCAAGATTTGTGTCTGGGTCAGTGCAAGATTTGTGTCTGGGTCAGTGCAAGATTTGTGTGTGGGTCAGTGCAAGATTTGTGTGGGTCAGTGCAAGATTTGTGTGGGTCAGTGCAAGATTTGTGTCTGGGTCAGTGCAAGATTTGTGTCTGGGTCAGTGCAAGATTTGTGTGGGTCAGTGCAAGATTTGTGTGGGTCAGTGCTAGATTGGTGTGGGTCAGTGCTAGATTTGTGTGTGGGTCGGTGCAAGATTTGTGTGGGTCAGTGCAAGATTTGTGTGTGTCAGTGCAAGATTTGTGTGGGTCAGTGCTAGATTTGTGTGGGTCAGTGCAAGATTTGTGTGTGGGTCGGTGCAAGATTTGTGTGGGTCAGTGCAAGATTTGTGTGGGTCAGTGCAAGATTTGTGTCTGGGTCAGTGCAAGATTTGTGTGTGGGTCGGTGCAAGATTTGTGTGGGTCAGTGCAAGATTTGTGTCTGGGTCAGTGCAAGATTTGTGTGTGGGTCAGTGCAAGATTTGTGTGTGGGTCAGTGCAAGATTTGTGTCTGGGTCAGTGCAAGATTTGTGTGTGGGTCAGTGCAAGATTTGTGTGGGTCAGTGCAAGATTTGTGTGGGTCAGTGCAAGATTTGTGTGTGGGTCAGTGCAAGATTTGTGTGGGTCAGTGCAAGATGTGTGTGTGGGTCAGTGCAAGATTTGTGTCTGGGTCAGTGCAAGATTTGTGTGTGGGTCAGTGCAAGATTTGTGTGTGGGTCAGTGCAAGATTTGTGTGGGTCAGTGCAAGATTTGTGTGTGGGTAGGTCAGTGCAAGATTTGTGTGTGGGTCAGTGCAAGATTTGTGTGTAGGTCAGTGCAAGATTTGTGTGTGTGAATAATTGAAACCTTTGATTGTGGAACATTTGTCATCTTTGTGAAGACAAATTAAATTGTTTTCTTGTGATAAAATTCTAAATATATATTGTACTGTCATTTTTTAGGAATCTATCAACTGTCTACGACTGACCCTGACTGTCTAAGACTGACCTTGTCTACAACTGTCTATGACAGTACTTGACTGTCTATGACTGACCCCAACCTCTCTATGACTGACCCTGACTGTCTATGACTGTCTATGACTGTCTGACTGTCCATGACTGTCTATGACTGACCCTGACTGTCTATGACTGACCCAAACAGTCTATGACTGACCCTGACTGTCTACGACTGCCCCTGACTGTCTACGACTGACCCCAACAGTCTACGACTGACCCCAACAGTCTATGACTGACCCTGACTGTCTATGACTGACCCTGACTGTCTACGACTGACCCCAACAGTCTACGACTGACCCTGACTGTCTATGACTGACCCTGACTGTCTACGACTGTCTATGGCTGTCTATGACTGTCTATGACTGTCTATGACTGTCTATGACTGTCTATGACTGTCTATGACTGTCTATGACTGTCTATGACTGTCTATGACTGTCTATGACTGTCTACGACTGTCTACGACTGTCTATGACAGTACCTGACTGGCCTGGTCTATCTCGTCCCCGTACTTGGTAGCCTCAGCGTATGTGCTGGACATCTCCATGACGGACACGATGTCCTTGACCGCCAGATTGGCCATCTGATTTATGATCATCCCGCGGACCTGTGGGGGGCAGAGGTGGACACGTGAGGCATGGGGAGGGGGGACACATGAGACATGGGGGGGGGGGGGGGGGGTGGACACGTGAGACATGGGGGGGTGGGGCGGGGGTGGACACGTGAGACATGGGGGTGGGGGGACACATGAGACATGGGGTGGGGGGACACATGAGACATGGGGTGGGGGTGGAGTGGACACGTGAGACAGGGAGGGTGGGGGTGGGGGCAGAGGCGTAGCGACCCTTCCCGGCGCCCGGAGACAAACTTTTCGATTTGCACCCCCCCCCCTCGAGATTTTGATTTGCACCCCCCTCAAACTTTTGATTTGCAACCCCCTCAAACTTTTGATTTGCAACCCCCTCAAACTTTTGATTTGCACCCCCCCCCCCCGTCAAACTTTCGATTTGCACCCCCCACCCTCGAGATTCTGATTTGCACCCCCCCCCCTCAAACTTTCAATTTGCACCCACCTCAACGTTTCAATTTATTTTTCCAACCCGTTTTGGCGCCCCCAAAGCTCGGCGCCCGGGGATATATGTCCCCCCCCCCCGCCCCCCCCCCTCGCTACGCTACTGGGTGGGGGTGGACATGTGAGACATGGGGGTGAGGGGACACATGAGACATGGGGTGGGGGTGGAGTAGACACGTGAGACAGGGAAGGTGGGGGTGGACACGTGAGACATGGGGGTGGGGGGACACATGAGACATGGGGTGGGGGTGGAGTGGACACGAGAGACAGGGAGGGTGGACACATGAGACATGGGGGGTGGGGGTGGGGGTGGACACGTGAGGCATGGGGGAAGGGGTGGAAACATGAGTCAAGGGGGGGGGGGGTGGACACATGAGACATGGGGTGGGGTGGACACATGAGTCAAGGGGGGTGGACACATGACATGGGGGGTGAGGGTGGGGGTGGACACGTGAGGCAAGGGGGGGCACATGACATGGGGGGTGGGGTGGGGGTGGGGGATGGACACGTGAGACATGGGGTGGGGGATGGACACATGAGACATGGGGGGATGGACAGGGAGGGGGGGGGGGGTGGACACATGAGATATGGGGGGTGGGGGGTGGACATATGAGACATGGTGTAAATGGACACATGAGTCACGAGAAAGCGTGGACATATTGTGAAAAAAAAAAACGTACGGCTGCCCTATCGTTTCTCTCAGATTCCACCTGATAGACGAATTCTTTCTGTTCTTGTAGGGACTCGTTCTGTGTGGGGAGAGGTAGATTTATCAGTTGTGTGTGGGGACAGGTGGATTTATCAGTTGTGTGTGGGGACAGGTGGATTTATCAGTTGTGTGTGGGACAGGTGGATTTATCAGTTGTGTGTGGGACAGGTGGATGTATCAGTTGTGTGGGGGCAGGTGGATTTATCAGTTGTGTGTGGGGACAGGTGGATGTATCAGTTGTGTGGGGACAGGTGGATTTATCAGTTGTGTGTGGGACAGGTGGATGTATCAGTTGTGTGGGGACAGGTGGATTTATCAGTTGTGTGTGGGGACAGGTGGATGTATCAGTTGTGTGGGGACAGGTGGATTTATCAGTTGTGTGGGGACAGGTGGATGTATCAGTTGTGTGTGGGGACAGGTGGATGTATCAGTTGTGTGTGGGCACAGTTTTATTTCTTGATCAGTTCCTGCACAGGTAAGTTAAAACCTACCTGCACAGGTAAGTTAAAACCTAACTGCACAGGTAAGTTAAAACCTAACTGCACAGGTAAGTTCCAAGGAACCTACACAGGTAACCATTAACCTACCTGGACAGGTAACCACCAATCTACCTGCACAGGTAAGTTCCAACCTACCTGCACATGTAACCACCAACCTACCTGTACAGGTAACCACCAACCTACCAGTACAGGTAACCACCAACCTACCTGTACAGGTATCGTTGACTTACCGCCTGCTGGTAGTAGACCCTGTTGCTGTCTGACTCGCCATACATTGTGTTGGCGAAGTTGACGGGGGAGTTGGCGTTTTCTGTGGGGTAGACACACGACAGGTTAGCTGAGACACACGGCAGGTTAGCTCAGACACACACAGACACACGACTGGTTAGCTCAGACACACGACTCGTTTGCTCAGACACACACAGACACACGACAGGTTAGCTGACACACGACAGATTAGCTCAGATACACACAGACACACGACTCGTTAGCTCAGACACACGGCAGGTTAGCTCAGATACACAATTTGTTCAGCTCAGACACACTATTTCGCAACCTATAATTAATGTTTTAATGTTTTAAGTTAACTTGGACACGTTAACATACAGACGCACAGACACACTAATAGATTTAAAACTGAAACTTGAATAAGATATTTTGTTGATATTTAAGAGTATTCAATTAGATGTTAAACAAAACATAAATAATAACATGAACCAGTTACATTAGTGGTATAATCATTGCATGCATATGTGGTTATTATACAGAGGTTAGGTAGTGTGGGTTTATTTTTATATCAGATTAATCTGTGTGGGATTAGTATCATACAAGATTAATTTTAACCTGTGGGATTAGTATCATACAAGATTAATTTTAATATGAGTGAGATTAATTCCATGCGTTTTAGGTAATAATTAATGTTAGTAATTGCAGAGTGATATTAGAGATGTTATAATGTGGTGGGCCCATGCATCATTAATGTGGTGGACCACACCACCCATGCATCATTAATGTGGTTGACCACACCACCATGCATCATTAATGTGGTTGACCACACCACCCATGCATCATTAATGTGGTTGACCACACCACCCATGCATCATTAATGTGGTTGACCACACCACCCATGCATCATTAATGTGGTTGACCACACCACCCATGCATCATTAATGTGGCTGACCACACCACCCATGCATCATTAATGTGGTGGACCACACCACCCATGCATCATTAATGTGGCTGACCACACCACCCATGCATCGTTAATTGTTAGTTGACTAAAATCAAACAGTGCTGGCATGCACTTAGCGCGTGAAATAGCTTGTCACGTGATGCCCGTGTACAGTGGGGTGAGCATGCAGTTAGTACAGAAAGTTGTCAAGTTATTCCATGCTGGTGAGATTAGTGGTGAGACATGCTGGTGAGGTTAGTGGTGAGACAATTCAGGACTTACCTCAAGCTTGGAATCCACCGGCCTTAACTACATAATCCACCAGAATCCACATAGGATTAATTTAACTTTATAATCCACCCCAATCAAATTACGACTCACATTATCCACTCTATTTATGCCCCACCTTAACGCATAATCCACAACAATCCACTACACCCACCTAAACATCCATCTGTATCCACTAAACCCACCTAAACATAATCCACATCAATCCACTACACCCACCTAAACATTATCCACTTTTTTCCACTTTGAGCCACCTAAACATAACCAACTCGGGCGCCTAAAATTATGAACATTTTTAAAACGGAACTCATTTTTCACAAACCTCAGCCCGGGCCCCCACCCCAGCCCCCACTCGGGTCCATACCCCGGGCCCCCACTACTGGTTAACCCATCAGTGACCCACTCAACGTCCTTGCCTTATAACAGCTTCAAATTATTTTCCCAAACTTTCAAACCTCTTCACCTCACCCCGACAGATAACTGGCTAAAGTAGTGGCCAGAACAGGCGGGCAACGAGGAATACCTGCACCCCTGCTTTTGAACTGGTTTCTTCCCAAATGTTCATACACCCCCTGAACTATAACCCCTGGTACCCTAACCTCTGACCCCTGGTGCCCTAAGCTCTGACCTTCACCCCGGCTGTGGAGAGAAGACATGACGACAAGTTAGACGAGCGAGCAGATAACGAAAGCGAAGCGAGGCATGCACAAGCACCTGCGGCTGATCTCTTACTGTCGCTGTTGAGCAGGGACATGATGCTAGTCGCCCTCTCCGTGCAGGTCTTCTGGTCGCCCTCGGCGAACATCTTGTTGATCTCCCCCAGCTGGGTGCTCGCTATCTCCTGGGCTAGGGCGCGGATGTCGCTCTGTGGCATGGGCGTCACCTGGGGGGGGGGGGGCACAAGTTTACTCATGAACTGTGGCTTGAAATGGTAATTTAAATGTTGAAAAAGATATTCCGGTTTAAAAGACGTACAACCTTTCATGCATGGTACGCGGGTTGTTTTGGGTTTTTTTAATCAGAAGAAGAAACTCGAAAAAAATGTAAACTATATCACCACCCACACAATACCTTAGCCCACACACAAAACCTTACCCCACCACCAACACAAAACCTTATACCGCCACCCACACACAAACCTTTACCACCCACACAAAACACCACCACCCACACAATACCCCACCACCCACACAAAACCTTACACCCCACACAATTACCCACCACCCACACAATACCCCACCTCCCCCCCCACACACACACACACAAAACCCCACCCCACACAATACCCCACCACCCACACAAAACCCTACCCCACACACAATACCTCACCCCACACTACCACCCATACAATACCTTACTACCCACAAAAACCGTACCCCACAAACACAATACCCCAACACCCACACAAACCCTTACCCCACACACTACCCCACCCCCACACAAAACCTTACCACGATGTTCCCACAGTTAAAGTCCTTGGTGGCCGCCAGATTGTCCCTGACCTTCACAATGACCGACTGGGTGTAGTTGAGGTAGTCCGGACCCTCGGGGATCCTGACGGACAGGACCAGGGAGCCTTTGTCTGTCTTGTATGACGTGATTTGTTTGTCCACGGTGCTGTTGTCTGTGTGAACTGTGCAGACAGATAAACAGACAGACAAACGGTTTAGTCAAGCATTCACCAGTGACCTAACCAAAATCTATAGTAGTACTTGGGGACCTAAGACCTATCGAACAACTTGCAATGACCTACCCAAGAAAGTTCAATGACCTACCCAAGAACCTGCAATGACCTACCAAATTACTTGCAATGACCTACCGAAGAACTTGAATGACCTACCGAAGAACTTGCAATGACCTACCCAAGAACCTGCAATGACCTACCAAAGAACTTGCAATGACCTAACAAATTACTTGCAATGACCTACCAAATTACTTGCAATGACCTACCCAAGAACGTGCAATGACCTAACAAAGAACTTACATTGACCTACCGAAGAACCTGCAATGACCTACCGAAGAACTGGTACTCCTGTATGCCGTCGTCATCATACCAGCCAGTGACGTTAATGGTCCACGCCTGCTCTGTGGTGATGGTCCTGTTGTAGGGGCTCACGGTACAGCTCCCAGGGATGGGGGGCTTGTTGATCTAGAGTGGGGGTCAAAGGTTACAGGTGAGCCGTTACTGGGTCAAAGGTTACATGTGAGCGTCACTGGGTCAAAGGTTACACGTTGGCCGTCTCTGGGTCACTGGGTCAAAGGTTACGTGTTGGCCGTCACTGGGTCACTGGTTCAAAGGTTACATGTTGGCCGTCACTGGGTCAAAGGTTACATGTCGGCCGCCACTGGGTCAAAGGTCAAAGGTGAGTCATCACTAGGTCAAAAGTTACACGTTGGCCGTCACTGGGTCACTGGGTCAAAGGTTACATATTGGCCGTCACTGCTAAAGCAGCCAGTCAATTATTTGTTTTAATGAAACTGTTATTAATCAGTACGGTTTAACTAATTTAAATGAGCAGACGACATAACTAACCTGCAGGTTTGTGGCTACCTTGCCGGATGTTGAGCCGGAAGTGATGTTGCACTCAGCGCGCATGCGCTCCGCTTTGAACGTCTCGAAGAGGCTGGACTCGATGGAGATCTGCTTAGAGTTGCCACCTGGGGGGGGGGGGAGCAGACAGACGGGGTGAGGGCGGTGTCAGGACACACCCGCAGCTGTGCTCACACGGCAGGACACACTCGCGCATGACACACAGCATGTGTCACAGAACCCGGTCAAGCAGAACACAAATGTGTCATGTATGACTGACCTTTTGACCCTGCTTGTGTAGCACAGTGAGCAGGTTTTGGTAAAACAAAGGTTACCATGAGCTAACGATTCAATGACAAACAACTCACGTGCCTTGACATTTTATAACAGCACCGTAGTTTAATTAAAGTAAGTTTTCTTCTTCTTTAATTCAAAAATTATAACTACCTTTCCGACTAAATTTTGCCCAACATTTACAAACCGCTGAAATTCTAATAAACCCGAAGTTAGTTATTTAAAACGAATAATTTTAGCAGAAATAGTTAGTAAAACAGATTTAAAAGGAAATTTTAATTTTCTAAACGTAAATGATTTTGTCTCTATATCATTAATCACTTAGACGATCTAAAGTTTACAACGATACCAAGTATATGTACACAAAGATGCATCTACATTACATCCACGTTACATCCACGTTACATCCACAGAACATCCACAGAACATCCACAGAACATCCAAACGGCAAAAAAGACTTGACACCAAGTCTAATTTAATATACCACTGTGCTACAATATAATATGGTACAGCGCTATATGTTGCTACTATAGACATATAATTACAAACATGCAATACGTACAGTCTTAGCTTTATTATATGATATAATAGGCACAACAATATCAATTTTTAAGGTAGTAACATAAATTAATTGAAGATTAAATGTCTCGATAGAAAGAAAATTGAATTATTCACAGAATTTTTGATGGGGTTTTGAGTGGAGGGGGGGGGGGGGGGGGTGTCCACCTCATTTTTATTATCATGTTTGATTTAAAGTTGTAACGGGTGTGAAATACATTTTTATAACCAGTTAGAATTTCAGCAGGCAATAGATAGAGAGAGCAGGTACACAATATTTATGAAGCTATATAAACACACAACCAACTATATATATATATATATATATATATATATATATATATATATATATATATATATATATATATATATATATATATATATATATATTATACACGATTTCGAGAGTGAATCTATCCTAAACGACTGCTTCACTTATCAGTTGGTAACATCAACAGGGGGTGGGCTGGGCAACCATGAAGAAGTTCCGGTGGGCAGTTAGGAACAGCGCTGTAATGGCCTAGTTCTGCTTTCATTTTTTTGTTTGTGATATAGTTTATTGCAATTTGTCAACAGGCTTGGGTGTAGACAAAGCAATTTGAAAATAAAGTTGGGAGGGGCCGCTTTTTTATTTTCCGGGCCCTTCGACACAGCCAGCCCACCCCGGCACATATCTCTAAGTTTTAACTAGTTGTACGTCACTAGGTCACGTGACATTCAACTGGCACGTCACTAGGTCACGTGACATTCAACTGGCACGTCACTATGTCACGTGACATTCAACTGGCACGTCACTTGGTCACGTGACATTCAACTGGCACGTCACTAGGTCACGTGACATTCAACTGGCACGTCACTAGGTCACGTGACATTCAACTGGCACGTCACTAGGTCACGTGACATTCAACTGGCACAACCAAACAAAAGACATTGTTGCACCAGCTAGTTTGATCACATAAAACATGGACACTATAGTATGTTGATGTAAACCTGGTGTATGACAACCAGGTGTATGGCAACCAGGTGTATGACAATGACAACCTGCTTATGACAATGACAACCTGGTTATGATAACGACAACCTGGTATGACAACCTGGTGTATGGCAACCAGGTGTATGACAACCAGGTGTATGACAATGACAACCTGGTGTATGACAGTATGACAACCTGGTGTATGACAACCAGGTGTATGACAACCACATATGGAACAACCAGATATTATAAAAAAAACATGAATGGAACAGCTTTTGTATATGACGTCACAGTTTTTGTGGTGGGTGCGGACTGGGGGAGTTGGTGGGGGTGTAGTGGGGGAGGTGGTGGGGTGTAGTGGGGGAGGTTGTGGTGGGCGGTGTAGTGGGGGGATGTAGTGGGGGAGGCGGTGGGGGAGGTTGTGGTGGGCGGTGAAGTGGGAGACAGAGATCCAAATTGTGGCCAACTTTATCAGACTGCCCACCCACATGTGCGAGACAGACCAAAGCCAGCTATTTGATCTGTCGTGGGGGGGGGGGAGAAGATCTCTGGCAATAAGAGAGTGGTGTAAACTGGACTGTGACGTCATTTAAAGAAAGTGCGAAACTAAACCATTACAAAAATTATTATGACGTAATCAACAGTCTACAACATATACAACATACGCCATACCAGTGTACAACATACAACATATGCTATACCAATGTATAACATACAACACACGCCATATCAATGTACAACATATACAGGGGACCATCTAACGGATACAACACGGACATTACCGTCCAACGCTGGCAGAGGCATGCATCGCATCAAGGTGAGTGGTTGGCACGTGAGTGGTTGGCAGGTGAGTGGTTGGCGGGTTGGTCAGGGGTGGTGTGGGCATGCATCAAGGTGAGTGGTTGGCGGGTTGGTCAGGGGTGGTCAGGGATGGTGTGGGCATGCATCAAGGTGAGTGGTTGGCGGGTTGGTCAGGGATGGTGTGGGCATGCATCAAGGTGAGTGGTTGGCGGGTTGGTCAGGGGTGGTGTGGGCATGCATCAAGGTGAGTGGTTGGCGGGTTGGTCAGGGGTGGTCAGGGATGGTGTGGGCATGCATCAAGGTGAGTGGTTGGTGGTTGGGTCAGGGGTGGTGTGGGCATGCATCAAGGTGAGTGGTTGGCGGGTTGGTCAGGGGTGGTGTGGGCATGCATCAAGGTGAGTGGTTGGTGGTTGGGTCAGAATGAAGGTGTGACAGTGAGTAGAAATAGCAGTGGTGTTTGGGGGGGGGGGGTTGGAGTTGCATGGTAGAGGTGGTGGCATCAAGGAGGTGTAGCACGGAGGAGGGGCGGCATGGGGGAGGGGAAGGCATGGGGAGGGGAAGGCATGCAAAAGGTGAGGCAAATGAGGAAAAAGGAAAAATTAAAACGTGCATCGAATGTTTGGTTAGTCACAATTTTTAAAAATAGCCAATAATATATAAAACTGATTAGATCTAAAAAAAAAAAAAAGTATTAATCAATCAATTAAACGTGATTGATCTAAAAAAAAATTTGAAGAAGAAAATTGTTAGTAAGGTTTGTGAGTTGTCAAATCAAATTACCTGCAACAAAAACATGCAACAATTTCATGGATAATAAAATGTGGAACTGGAAAACAAAAACCGACGCCATTAATGGCCGTAACTGCTCGTAAACTTTTGGAAAACTCTTCTGTAACCAACAAGCAAACTTATTTTGTTTTAATTATATGGTTTCATTCATTTTTTTTAAACCATACGTTCAACCTAAACCTAATGGCTTGCTGCATCTGTCATTCGTTTGCTGGATGGAAGTCGACTGTCTGAGATAACATGACGGACAGATGTTGGACGGGCACATCATGCACAGAAAACCACAAGACGTGTTTTTAATTACACTAACTGTTAGTGCTAATTATCATGCATTTTACACAACACTTAACATGCTGTTAGTCTATAGTAACCATAGCAACAAGAAGTACCGCCATGCAGGCCTAGCCTGGGGGGGAGGGGGGGGGGGGTGTAGTTATTCCAACTCCCTCACCAGTACTGTAGGATTAAAACTTAACCCAAAACCTACGTTAACCTTAGCTCTAGACATTTGTAGTCTCCATCAGTTTAAGACAAAACCAAGCAATAAGCTTACCGTTAACCATAACTAGCATACACTTAAACGTTCTCTAACTCTTTGATGCAACGGATCACTAATTCGACGATTAATTAATTTATATTAATTAATGTGTCAAATGATATCGTTTGATGAGAGAGAAAAAAAAACAAGTAATTGTTTTAAACAATTACATTCCGTTTAAAAGATCAAAAGTAAGAAAGTGATTGGCTACCTGAGACCCGGCCATAGAGGTCATCGTCCAGCAGAGGCCGCCAGCCACTGGGCCAGCGGTAGTCGGCCATGTACACCGTCCATCTGTAGCTCTCTGACTGGCCGCAGTTGTCGCACGAGCAGTCCAGCGCCACGCGGGAGGACTGAAGCACCTTGTAGCCGTCTGCTATCTGGTAGTACACACTGCCCGTGGCGGGGCTGGGGTGGGGCGGGGTCAAGGTCATCACAAGTTGGACAATTACATTTTTAAAACAGGTATAGTTGGTCAGTTGGTCAGGTACAGTTGGTTAGGTACAGTTGGTCAGTTGGTCATGTACAGTTGGTCAGTTGGTAAGTACAGTTGGTCAGGTACAGTTGGTCAGTTGGTCAGGTACAGTTGGTCAGGTACAGTTGGTCAGGTACAGTTGGTCAGGTACAGTTGGTCAGGTACAGTTGGTCAGTTGGTCAGGTACAGTTGGTCAGTTGGTCAGGTACAGTTGGTCATGTACAGTTGGTCATGTACAGTTGGTCAGGTACAGTTGGTCATTTGGTCAGGTACAGTTGGTCAGGTACAGTTGGTCAGGTACAGTTGGTCAGGTACAGTTGGTCAGGTACAGTTGGTCAGGTACAGTTGGTCAGCTACAGTGGGTCAGTTACAGCTGGTCAGGTACAGTTGGTCTGGTACAGTTGGTCAGTTGGTCAGGTACAGTTGGTCTGGTACAGTTGGTCAGGTACAGTTGGTCAGGTATAGTTGGTCAGGTACAGTTGGTCAGGTACAGTTGGTCAGGTACAGTTGGTCAGGTACAGTTGGTCAGGTACAGTTGGTCAGGTACAGTTGGTCAGGTACAGTTGGTCAGGTACAGTTGGTCAGGTACAGTTGGTCAGGTACAGTTGGTCAGGTACAGTTGGTCAGGTACAGTTGGTCAGGTACAGTTGGTCAGGTACAGTTGGTCAGGTACAGTTGGTCAGGTACAGTTGGTCAGGTACAGTTGGTCAGGTACAACTGTGTGGCTACCTGATGGTAGCAGTGGGCGGGTCTCCCTCCACGACCTTGAGATACAAGATGGCGCTGGTCTTTCTGGTGTCCTTGGCCAGGTACACAGTTATTCTGGGGAGAAAACAGTCACGTGACCGTACACACCCACAGGTGATATACACCAGTGGCGGAACTAGAAAAAAAGGGCCACCCCGCAAAAAAAATTCTGGGGCCCCCCTTCTATATATATATGTATATATATGTATATATATATATATATATATATATATATATATATATATATATATATATATATATATATATATATATATATATATATATATATATATATATATATATATATATATATATATATATATATATATATATATACATACAAACACAGACACAAACACTGGATACTCATTTCTGGTCTGATCGGGTTTTGAAAAAAATTGTCTTTTTTTTTCAATTTAAACATATTACAACATGTCATATGTGTGGGTACATTAGTCTGTTTTGAAATTATTATTTTTTTAGAATTAGAACTAGTTTATTCAATGTTTGCTGTAACATGATATGGAAACTGAATTAAAGCCGGTCAAAAAAAAAATATAAAACGTGAGAGCTTTGTATGTGTAATGGTTTCTCGGGTTATGTTTATTTTAATGTTTTTTGGTATTTATATTATTTGTTTTAAATATATTTCATTTTTGTGCTATGTCAATCTTTCGATTGTATTAAAAAAAAATAATAATTAAAAGAAGTAATTGATTTTTAATTTGTTTAGTACAAATATATTAAAAGGAGCTTATGAGCACCCCAATTTAACTATTTAAAAAAGGGAAATAAGTCATGGAAGTGTTTTGAACGTTTGCATCTCTTTCACAGTACAGCTCAGGCATATTTTTTTTACGCAACGGCATGTGTTAGCTACTGTATAACATCACTACTGTAGTAGATCTGTTTGTTATTTACAAAAGCTTTTACCGTCATGTCAAAAATGCAAGAATTTTTTTTTAAACTATAAGAAATTGATTATGGTCTGCTCTGGGCCCCCAAATGGCGTGGGCCCCCCCCCCCCGCACTGCGGGGTCTGGCGGCACTGTAGTTCCGCCCCTGATATACACACACACATGTCGTGCACCATCTGGTTACATTTGCTTCTGTCATCCCCCCCCCCCCCACCACATTTATCTTGTGAAGCTGAAAACCCCACCCCCAACCCCACCCATTACACACACCGTACGCATCACAACACCCAACCACCATTACAACAACCCTTTGTCACACAAACAATCCTTACAGTCACTACCACCATTACCAACCCAACAACTACCAACACCACCACTATCATTATCAAACCACCAACCCAACCCAACACCACCACCCCCCCCCCCCCATCTCCCCCCTCCCCATCCCCCCCCCCCCCCCCCCCCCCCACTCACCTGTAACGACTAAGCTGAAACTTGCTGATGTCGAGACTCTGGGTCTGGCCCGTCATGTTGAAGCCGCCGGCCAGGTAGGAGGTGGTGTCCGTGGGGGAGTCCAGGTTCTCACAGACCCAGCCTGTCACCGTCAGACCCTGGTCAACACAGGCACGGGGGGTAGAGGTTAAGGTCAACACAGGCACGGGTTAGATGTCAAGGTCAACACCGGCACGGGGTTAGGGTCAAGGTCAACATCTAGTCACACACACCTTGCCACACACCCTCTCACACACCTCCCTCAAACGTTAGATGACCACCAAACCAATCACTGACCACCCACGGACATCAAATGACGTCATACCTGAGTGACATTCGGGCTGACGTCAGGATCCAGGGAGTAGTCTGTGGGGTTCAGATCCAGCCTTTGGGCCGTCCCTCTCTGAATCTCGCTCACACCCCCGGCCACCATGATACCAATCAGGTCCGTTTTGGTGATCTGAAAATAAGTCTCGTGATAATCTCAATACGTGACAAGCTGAACACGTGACCAACTAAACAGAGTTTCTTCCAGGCTTAGCCCCCCCACCCCCGAAGAAAGTCTACCGCCCCCCCCCCCTCACCGCCCCCCAGAAAATTTCAAGTGCCCCCCCCCCCCAGGAGAAAAAAGTCTGGAAGAAACACTGCAACTAAACATGTGGATGTCAACTCACCTTGATGTATGTGAATGTTGTGGATGTCATGTGGATGTCAACTCACCTTTATGTGCGTGAATGTTGTAGATGTCAACTCACCTTTATGTGCGTGAATGTTGTGGATGTCAACTCACCTTGATGTGTGTGAATGTTGTAGATGAGTAAGCGCTTCCACCAGGCGCCCCCGCGCCCGTCATCTCCATGGTGTAGTAGACCCTGTAAAGGCCAAGGTCAAAGAAACGAGGTGGGAAGGTCACCTCGGCCTTGGTAGTGTCAAGGTTGGCCAGTGAAATATTCTCGATGACCTACAGAACAGATAGCATCAAAATGTCAAGATAAACTTCTCTCACTGGATCACTCACGTCGCTCAAATGTATCAACCTGCAGCCTACTATTAAGACGGTACCATGCGGTACCTGACATTTGGCCACCTCACATGCGGTACCTGACATTTGGCCACCTCACATGCTGTACCTGACATTTGGCCACCTACCGAGCTGTACCTGACATTTGGCCACCTCACATGCTGTACCTGACATTTGGCCACCTACCGAGCTGTACCTGACATTTGGCCACCTCACATGCTGTACCTGACATTTGGCCACCTACCGAGCTGTACCTGACATTTGGCCACCTACCATGCTACACTGACATTTGGCCACCCACCATGTTGTACCTGACATTTGGCCACCTACCATGCTATACGTGACATTTGGCCACCTACCATGTTACACTGACATTTGGCCACCCACCATGCTGTACCTGACATTTGGCCACCTACCGTGCTGTACCTGACATTTGGCCACCCACCATGCTGTACCTGACATTTGGCCACCCACCATGCTGTACCTGACATTTGGCCACCTACCATGCTACACTGACATTTGGCCACCCACCATGCTGTACCTGACATTTGGCCACCCACCATGCTGTACCTGACATTTGGCCACGTACCATGCTGTACCTGACATTTGGCCACCTACCATGTTACACTGACATTTGGCCACCCACCATGCTGTACCTGACATTTGGCCACCTACCGAGCTGTACCTGACATTTGGCCACCTACCATGCTGTACCTGGCATTTGGCCACCCACCATGCTGTACCTGAAATTTGGCCACCTACTGTGCTGTACCTGACGTTTGGCCACCTACCATGCTGTACCTGACATTTGGCCACCCACCATGCTGTACCTGACATTTGGCCACCCACCATGCTGTACCTGAAATTTGGCCACCTAATGTGCTGTACCTGAAATTTGGCCACCTACCGTGCTCCAGCGCTCATCTATTCTCTCCACCCTCCATGACTTGACATTGGCCAAGCTGGCCACACACTGGATGTTGGTCAGACCTCTGACCGTCAACTTCTGGCTCCTCTTGTACACCTCTGGGGCCGTGAAGTAAGGTCTCCTGGTGACGGGGGGAGGGGGGGAGGGGGAGGTCAGGTTTGTGATAAATATTGGTTTATTTAATGTCATAGATTCTATCTCCACTGGAGCGGTGTTTAGTGTGTTTTGTAACTGTTCAACTCTACAGTGGGCTGATAGTTTATAGTCAACTTGGTGAACTGACGCCATGAACAGGAAATGGACAACATGACGTCATGAACAGGACAACATGACGTCATGAACAGGACAAAATGACGTCATGAACAGGACAAAATGACAAACAGGACAAAATGACGTCATGAACAGGACAAAATGACGTCATGAACATGACAAAATGACGTCATGAACAGGACAAAATGACAAACAGGACAAGATGACGTCATGAACAGGACAACATGACGTCATGAACAGGACAACATGACGTCATAAACAGGACAACATGACGTAATGAACAGGACAACATGACGTCATAAACATGTGACCTACTTAGATCCAGTAATGTTTTATTTTGACATTGTATAATACCTTATATGGATTGATGGTGCAACTACCGGGGTTTTTCCACTGTCTTATTAAGGGTGTCTAGGACCCAGAAATTTTCCATCAAGATCTGATTGATTAATTCTGATCAGATGACCATCCCAACCAATGGCTACATGAGTTGAGGATAACCTCCCCTGTTGCATAAGTCTTTAACTAGATCGCACAGACGCAACACGAGGCAGTCTACCTTGATCAAACGGTCTATTAGGACCAAGCCGTCCATATTGTCCGGCAATAGATTCTGACCATTTGAAGTGAGAGAGCTTAAGTCCTGAGTGTGCTATGCTTTCTTAAGTTGTTTTAGTATTCTAGTATAATATTACTTGTCGCCAAGTGATTCCTGATGCTATAACAGTGTTGTGTGACCTGTGGCTATTTTTATACAGTGTTAAAATCTGTGATAGTATTTTTTCTTACGCTTTGTAAGTTGGGTTTTGTTATTTTCCAAATTAAATATTTTATCTCGTTTAACCTAGTGTTCTGCCACAACTGTGTTCGCTTATTAAAGGTTGTATGCAGATTGAATGAGTTGTTAACTTCAATAGTATCACTAGTTTTCCCTAGACATCGAAGTCGAGCCCTAGTGTGTTGTTGAGTTAGTGTTCATTCATTTAGGCTTTAAGTCATTTGCATATAACCCCGAAAAAAGAATCCGGGGACGTTCACTATCTATCTGGCTGGTAGATAGGTAAACGTTACAAAGTGGGGGCTCGCCGAGATTTAATCTGTCGTTCCAGTTGTTGGTTATATCAGTTAAACTCTAAGTTAGTTTGATTTAGTTGTTTTTCTATCCAGTGAAGCCGTGTTATTGAAACGCGCGCAGGCTAGAATTATCTAGGTCAAAAGTCAGACGTGTCACGTCCTAGATTGAAGAGGTCAAGTACACGGCCCAACGCTCTGTGTTAATTTAAAGAATCTAGGCTTGTTGTGATTTTGAAAGTTAGTGAAATGGAATCTTTTTTGGCTAATCCCACTGTTGAGGATGTAGAAAAGTTGAGTAGAAAAGTTTTGATTAGTGTTGTTAAGGAATTGAAATTGGATTATTCTGTTACGCAGAAGTCAGAGGTGTTGAGAGATAAAATTGTTGTTCATTTTATTAACGAAGGGGTATTTGATGAAAGTTTGTTGGCTGGTGTGTTACTCCGTGAGGAGAAAGTTGCTTTAGAGAAGGCATTAAAAGAACAGGAGTTAGAGGTTAAAATTGCTTTAGATAGGAGGAGGTTGGAATCAGAATTTGGTAAAGTTAGTGATGTCACTTCTCTGGTAGATCCAAAAAAGTTGTCGGTGGGGCAAGTGATTGCCAAATTTGGGAAATTAGTTCCTAAATTTGATGAAACAGATTTGGTCGTTTTCTTTAACTCATTTGAGAGTTTAGCGAAGACATGTGAATGGCCCGAAACTTCCATTACTGCTTTATTGAGCTCGGTCCTTACAGGGAAAGCTGCAAAAACATACCAGGCACTCTCTCACGACGTTCAAAATAACTATAGTTTGGTCAAGACTGCCATTTTGAAGGCCTACGAACTGACACCCGAGGCCTATCGGATGAAATTCCGAGCACTCCGCAAGTTACCCACTCAATCATATGTGGAATTTCTCTTTGAAAAGGAGAAAATATTCTCAAGGTGGCTACACTCTGAGGAAGTTTCTGAGTTTGAGAAACTCAGGTCACTTATCCTAAGGGAAGAATTCCTAACGTCCCTGCCTGAAGAGATACGACTTCACATACTGGATAACAAGATAATTGACATCCAGAAGGCTGCTGAGTCGGCTGACACATATATGTTGGTGCATAAGAAACCACCAGTGTCAGGAAACCGCCTCAACCCCGTGCTTCCCCTTTTTGGCAGCAATCCTCCTGTTGGCCAACACGTGAAGGCATCACAGTCCAGAGAGAAACCAAGATCAACTCTCAATCGTCGAGCAGTATGCCAGTTCTGCAAAAGACCTGGTCATCTTGTCAAGGACTGTTACAAACGTCGTCAATATAACAGAGAGGTGGTGCGTACTTCTGCGCACTATGCTTTATCCCCTCAAGCAGCCAGTTCAACTATGAACTCTAGAATTCTAAAGGACTCTAACCCTAAGTGTCCGCAAGAAGGTAGTCAAGTCTCCACACATTATGTGCAGTCACATTTTGACTGTTCTCGCCACCATCCAGTTTCTTCCGAGTCTACCGATCTCGAGGGATCGAGAAAAGTTGACTTTTCATCTTTCATTGCCGAAACCATCATTAGCAAACCAGGTGATCCGTTGTCTCAGCGGAATATCACCGTCCTAAGAGACACAGGAGCGTCACAATCTCTTCTTTTGAAAAGTTCAATGGACATTACACCAGAGACGAACACCGGAATTATTTCCATTATCCAGGGAGTGGGGACAAAATCTACTGTCGTCCCTCTACACAAGTTTGCCCTGAAACATCATCTCGTCGAAGGTGAGGTCATTTTAGGTGTGATAGATAGTATTCCTGTCCCAGGAGTACACCTACTTCTAGGGAATGACCTTGCGGGAAGCAAAGTATACCCCTGTACGGTTTCAGACCCTTTGTCAACAGTTCCAGATAATGATAATGAACTGTATCCTGCATGTGTGGTGACAAGAAGCCAGACCAAACAATTGGCTGACACAACGTCTGAATCACATCTACCATCATCGTCAAGAAATTCGACTCCCAAACTGGAGTCTATGCTTCCAGAGAACACAAGCCTGGGCTTACCCCTGAGGATATCTCAGGAAGACATCATTAAAGCTCAACAAGTCGACGCGGAACTCCAAGCAATGGTCGAAAAATCTCTATCATCGGACGATGGAGAATATTTCTCCGAGAACGGCCTCTTCTTTCGTCGCGCTATACCAGTGAATGCCTCACCAGCCGAACCATGGTTGGGTAAAAACCAGCTGTGGGTCCCTCCACCTTATCGGCATGAAATACTGAAACTGGCACATGGCCATCCAATGTCAGCGCACCCAGGAGTCACTAAAACGACGGCGAAGATCAAAGAACTGTTCTTTTGGCCCAAAATGAGAAATGATGTGTCGCGTTACTGCAAAAGTTGCACGAACTGTCAGTTGGCCGGAAAACCAAACCAGAAAATTCCTAAGGCCCCTTTGAGTCCGATTCCTGTATTAGAAGAACCCTTTTCTAAAATCGTCATGGACTGTGTAGGTCCCTTGCCTAAAACCAAGGCGGGCAACGAGTACCTACTTACCTTTATGTGTTCAAGTACCCGTTTTCCCGAGGCGTTCCCCTTACGGAACATTAAGGCAAAGACTGTAGTCAGAGCCATGACCCGGTTCTTCACTACCTTTGGATTACCTAGAATCGTCCAAACAGATCAAGGCAGCAACTTCACCAGTCACCATTTTCAGGAAGCACTAGCCAAGCTAGGCGTTACCCACATCACCAGCTCAGCCTACCACCCCCAGTCTCAAGGCGTACTTGAGAGGTTCCACCAAACCCTCAAAACCATGCTAAGAATAGTCGCTAATAGTAACACCCAATGGGATGAGACTGTTCCTTGGATTATTTTCGCCGCGAGGGACTGTGTCCAGGAAGCTTTAGGTTACTCTCCTTTTCAACTTGTGTTTGGACATTCTGTCCGTGGTCCCCTGAAGCTGATCCACGAACGTTGGACAGGTACCAGTGATCATCCAGTGGAAAACTTTGACGATTTTCACGTTCGACTGAAAGCCGTGTGCGAAATGGCTCACAAGAACTTAAGAAAGGCCCAAGTGAGAATGAAAGGACTGTATGATAAGAGTTCTCGTAAACGAACATTCAATCCAGGCGACAAAGTTCTTGTGTTAGTGCCTAATCTGAACAATGCGTTATCCTTGAGATATTGTGGACCCTTTACTGTGCATTCAAAATTAAGTGATTTGAACTATGTTGTCAATACGCCCGACAGAAGAAAGAAACAGACAGTGTATCATGTTAACTCACTGAAAAAGTATTATGATAATTGTAACAATTTTCATTCCACAGCTAAAATTACTTTACCTGTATGTTCAAATGTTTCTGATGATGTGATACATGATAAATGGAAAACCCCAAAATTGGTAAATTCTTCCTTTTTAGATCATCTAAATGACCACCTTATGCATTTGTCCACAGAGGAAAGCTATAGATTGTCTCAGTTATTTGAGACATTTCCCTCTATTTTTGGGGATGTCCCCAAAGAAGCGAAGGTTTCACCTCATGATGTAGGCGTAGGTGACGCAAAACCCATCAAACAACACCCCTATAGAGTTAGCCCCGAAAAAGCTGTTTTGATAAAAGATGAAATTGATTATATGCTCAAGAATGATATCATTGAGCCCAGTTTCAGCAACTGGAGTTCCCCATGTCTCCTAGTACCGAAAGACGGTGGATCTTTCAGGTTTGTGACCGACTTTAGGAAGGTAAATGCGCTCACCAAAGCTGATTCCTATCCATTACCTCGAATAGAAGACGTTATTGATAAAGTTGGTCAAGCTAAGATAATTTCCAAAATTGATTTACTTTCAGGATACTGGCAAATCCCATTATCTGACCGTGCAAAAGAAATATCTGCTTTTGTAACCCCTAATGGTTGTTATAGATACAAACGTATGCCCTTTGGTATGCGAAATGCTGGCCAAACCTTCCAGAGGGTCATTAACTCTGTCATTGCTGACATAGACCAATGTGAGGCCTACATCGATGATATAGTTGTATTTTCTAATACTTTTGAAGAACATATTGTTCAGTTGACTAACCTTTTTAGAAAATTGTCTGAAGTGAATTTTACTGTAAACTTGCATAAAAGTGATTTCTGTAAAGGTTCAATTACCTATTTGGGTTATCAAGTGGGAACGAACCAAGTTCGGCCCATTGAAGCTAAAGTAGATGCTATTGTAAGGTTACCTCCTCCCAAAAATTGTAAAGAAATCAAAAAGTTCCTTGGGATGGCTGGTTACTATAGGCGGTTCTGTCAAAACTTTTCAGCTATTGCTGAACCTCTTACTGCATTATTGAAAAAGGGTGTTGAGTTTGAATGGTCAAATAAATGTCATGAAGCTTTTTTAACCATTAAGTCATTTTTATCTAATGCTCCTGTTATGGCTGCACCAGATTTCAGCAAGCCCTTTAAACTTGCCATTGATGCTAGCAACTTAGCCATTGGTTCAGTCCTATTTCAAGAAGACAACATGGGGATTGACCATCCCATTGCTTTTTTTTCCAGGAAGTTAAATGAGAACCAAAAGAATTACTCTACTATTGAAAAAGAAGCTTTAGCTTTGGTTTTGTCATTACAACATTTTGAAGTCTATGTCACTTCTTCAACCAATCCAGTCAGAGTGTTTTCTGACCATGATCCCCTGAAATTTACCTCTAAGTTAGGACAGACAAATCAAAGAATATTGAGATGGTGTTTATATTTCCAAAATTTTAATCTGGAAATTTCACACATTAAGGGTAGTGATAATGTTGTGGCTGATTGTTTGTCAAGGATGTAAAATCTTATTACACACATTGATCATGTGACATGTTTTATGGTTCATTAGGAACATACACAATTGTTGTGTTTGGGTGACACTCACATGAAAATGAGTGGTATGAGTTTTGAATTTTTCAAAATTCCAATGCTGTTGAATATTTTATTTATTTTCAGGTGAACCTTAATTAAAGGTGGTTTTTGATTATATGGAATCTTTTATGATAATATGTCTCATATGACTCAGTTGATATTGTAGCTAGTCATTGAAATAAAGGTCTTACCCTGGCGGGTTTACCACTTTTAATATCCACATGGAAATATTGTAATACCCTTTTCTGAGGGATTTTGATGTGTAATTATTTTTTGAAGGGTTACTCCCCTTTCACCAATTGTAAAAGTTTGAGTTACTTCCCTTTTATGTTCAGGGATATTTTCATCTGGTATTATGATTTTGATTGCCTACATTTGTAAAACATTTTTTTTATTTCATTGCCAGATTGGTTCCTTATGTATGTTTTTGTGGAACCTATCTGTCACTTCCAAAAAGGGAGGGGATGTGACCTACTTAGATCCAGTAATGTTTTATTTTGACATTGTATAATACCTTATATGGATTGATGGTGCAACTACCGGGGTTTTTCCACTGTCTTATTAAGGGTGTCTAGGACCCAGAAATTTTCCATCAAGATCTGATTGATTAATTCTGATCAGATGACCATCCCAACCAATGGCTACATGAGTTGAGGATAACCTCCCCTGTTGCATAAGTCTTTAACTAGATCGCACAGACGCAACACGAGGCAGTCTACCTTGATCAAACGGTCTATTAGGACCAAGCCGTCCATATTGTCCGGCAATAGATTCTGACCATTTGAAGTGAGAGAGCTTAAGTCCTGAGTGTGCTATGCTTTCTTAAGTTGTTTTAGTATTCTAGTATAATATTACTTGTCGCCAAGTGATTCCTGATGCTATAACAGTGTTGTGTGACCTGTGGCTATTTTTATACAGTGTTAAAATCTGTGATAGTATTTTTTCTTACGCTTTGTAAGTTGGGTTTTGTTATTTTCCAAATTAAATATTTTATCTCGTTTAACCTAGTGTTCTGCCACAACTGTGTTCGCTTATTAAAGGTTGTATGCAGATTGAATGAGTTGTTAACTTCAATAGTATCACTAGTTTTCCCTAGACATCGAGATCGAGCCCTAGTGTGTTGTTGAGTTAGTGTTCATCCATTTAGGCTTTAAGTCATTTGCATATTACCCCGAAAAAAGAATCCGGGGACGTTCACTATCTATCTGGCTGGTAGATAGGTAAACGTTACAAACAAGACAAGATGGCGCTACCTGTTGTGGATGTTGACTGTCGGTCGAGCGCAGTCAAAGCCGCTGATGCTGAACGTGATGGTCAGCTTGACTTCCGATTGGCTGTTCTTGGCGGTGGCGGTGAAGACGTACTCACCGTCCGACCCGTAGGTGTGGTTCAAAACCCCGGACCGTGGTTTGAGGAGATCGGTCATGGCGTGCTTGTCCGCCTCAGCCACGGATCTGGTGGATGGTGGTCAATATAAGTTGTCAGGGTTCGGTCAATACAAACTGTCAGGGTTCGGTCAATACAAGCTGTCAGGGTTCGGGTCAATACAAACTGTCAGGGTTCGGGTCAATACAAACTGTCAGGGTTCGGGTCAATACAAACTGTCAGGGTTCGGTCAATACAAGCTGTCAGGGTTCGGTCAATACAAGCTGTCAGGGTTTGGTCAATACAAGCTGTCAGGGTTCGGTCAATACAAGCTGTCAGGGTTCGGTCAATACATGCTGTCAGGGTTTGGTCAATACAAACTGTCAGGGTTCGGTCAATATAAACTGTCAGGGTTCGGTCAATACAAGCTGTCAGGGTTCGGGTCAATACAGGCTGTCAGGGTTCGGGTCAATACAAACTGTCAGGGTTCGGTCAATACAAGCTGTCAGGGTTTGGTCAATACAAACAGTCAGGGTTCGGGTCAATATAAATTGTCAGGGTTCGGGTCAATACAAACTGTCAGGGTTCGGGTCAATACAAGCTGTCAGGGTTCGGTCAACATGGTTCTGGTGAAGACATTTGAACACTCGTTGTGATCAAACTGGCCGTCTCATTGAACTTACAGGAAAATATATCACAACAAAATCTTATTCTACTCATCTAGGATGTAACCCTTTTTACGTAACTCTACATGCCTGAGACAAAAATCGACTCACCTACTAAATCTACTGACCGAAGACTTAAATCTACTCACCTAAGACGTAAATCTACTCAACTAAGTCGTAAATCTACTTACGAAAAGCTGCTATCGGTACAGAGTGTAAGATCGTTGGCGTAGATCTCCTTGACACCATCGTTGTAGTCGACATAGAGACACGTCCCTGATCCGATCTTGTTAAAGCTGACGTTGAAATATTTGTACTCGTTGGCTCGGGCCTGGGGAGAGGGGGAGATGGTCTCAGGGAGATGGTCTCAGGGAGATGGTCTCAGGGAGATGGTCTCAGATGGTCTCAGGGAGATGGTCTCAGGGAGATGGTCTCAGGGAGATGGTCTCAGGGGGATGGTCTCAGGGAGATGGTCTCAGGGAGATGGTCTCAGGGAGATGGTCTCAGGGAGATGGTCTCAGGGAGATGGTCTCAGGGAGATGGTCTCGTGAGATGGTGAGAAGGTCTCAGGGGGATGGTCTCAGATGGTCTCAGGGAGATGGTCTCTGGACATTATATATATGTTGTAGAGTATGGAGGAAGACAAGAGAGTGAGACAATGACCCAAACCTTGAGGTTGTATTCGACCACTGTGAAGTTCTCGATGAGTTCAACTAGTATGAGGGTCATGGGAGTGATGGAGGCTGAGAACATGGGGTTGTAGGCCGTGATGCTCACTCGAAATGTGTCCATCTGAAACAGTAGAAACAGGTAGTGGGGGGTTAAAGTTTTTACAACAGTAGAAACAGGTTGTGGAGGGTTAACTCCTGCACGTAGGCCTACTTGATGTTTAATTAAACTGCTTGATATGCAGTTACAGTGCAAATTTGACAATTTTAGTCATGACAATACAACCTACTTAATTCAAACTGTAGGTACAGATCGCTAAATATAAGTGTTAGTCCCCAGTACTTGCAAGATATGAGGATACTGAGAACATACTGGTTAGATTTTTTAAATATACTTTTGGGGTGTATGTACACGATACTGAAGCAATGCTGGTTAGATTTTTTAAAATATTCCGTTGAGGTGTATGCACACGATACTAAAGGAATGCTGGTATGGTTTAAAAAAAAGATACCTTTGGGGTGTATGCACACGATACTGAAGCAATGCTGGTATGGTTTTAAAAAGATACCTTTGGGGTGTATGCACATGATACTGAAGCAATGCTGGTATGGTTTAAAAAAGATACCTTTGGGGTGTATGCACACGATACTGAAGCAATGCTGGTATGGTTTAAAAAAGATACCTTTGGGGTGTATGATACTGAAGCAATGCTGGTATGGTTTAAAAAAGATACCTTTGGGGTGTATGCACACGATACTGAAGCAATGCTTGTATGGTTTAAAAAAGATACCTTTCAGGTGTATGCACACGATACTGAAGCAATGCTGGTATGGTTTAAAAAATATACCTTTTGGGTGTATGCACACGATACTGAAGCAATGCTGGTATGGTTTAAAAAAGATACCTTTTGGGTGTATGCACACGATACTGAAGCAATGCTGGTATGGTTTAAAAAAGATACCTTTGGGGTGTATGCACACAATACTGAAGCAATGCTGGTATGGTTAAAAAAAGATACCTTTGGGAAGCTGATATCAAAGACTCTGGAGAACTTCTGGTAGTTGGTAGACTTGGATGTGGAGTCTGTTATTGTCACATTGTAGTGGCTGGCATAGGCTAGAGGGGAGACGGTACATTTGTAGAACGTACATAGCAACATAGGAATATATATATTGTGTTGTGTGTTTTGTGTGTATGCAATAGCAGCAGAAAGTACAGATGAGTATAAGTGTGTGAGAGTGCGTGTGTATGTGTGTGAGTGCGTGTTTATGTGTAAGTGCGTGTGTATATGAGTGTGAGTGCGTGTGTATGTGTGTGCGTGCGTGTTTATGTGTAAGAGCGTGTGTATATGAGTGTGAGTGCGTGTGTATGTGTGTGAGAGTGTGTGTGAGAGTGTGTGTATATGTGTGTGTGAGAGTGTGTGTGTGAGAGTGCGTGTGTATATGTGTGAGAGTGCGTGTGTATATGTGTGAGAGTGCGTGTGTATGTGTGTGTGAGTGCGTGTGAGAGTGTGTTTGAGAGTGTGTTTGAGAGTGTGTTTGAGAGTGTTTGTATATGTGTGTGAGAGTGCGTACGTGCGCGTGTGTGAGTGCGTGCGTGCTAGCGTGTGGGTGCCACTATACGTGTGGGTGTTGTGCTTATCTAACGAATGTACTGACAGCTCCCCACACAACAATCCTGCACATAGCCCTCACCGTTGTTGTCGTCAGTGACGATGAAGTATGTCGGCACGTTCTGGGGGTAGAGCCTGGAGCCGTTGTTGAAGCCAAACACCGTCTCGTTGGGCGGGATCTCAGCCAGGTAGTAGGCCTGGGCCTTTAGGTTCTGGAACTCTCGGTACACGCCCACCTGGGGGTAGGATACGGCGGGATATGACGTCAGTTTTATGACGTCAGTTTAATAATGTCAGTTTAATGACGCCAATGATAGGACGTCCATGAAATGACGTCAGTTACATGACGTCAGTGGCATGACGTCAATTACATGACGTCAGTGGCATGACGTCTATAGCGCTACTCACCATCAGTTGTCTGACAGCACGTGATGCGGCGTTGGACAGCACGGCCGTGGCGGTCAGCAGCCCGTCCTTGACATACGTGTGGCGGACGGTGAGCGTCGATGACGTCAGAAAGTACGGGCCAGCGTCGGTAGTTGAGTTGTCTCCGAAGTCCAGGGTGAAGTTGGCGTTGTCGGGCAGCGTGGGGTCGGAGTACGTGAGGGTGAAGGTCGTCGGATCTGTAGGGGGAGGGGAGGGGGCATGAACCAGAGGCTAGTCATGTCAGTCCATATGTCATTGTCATTTATGTCAGCAAAGTGGAACACACATCGCCAACACTTTGGAAAAGTTATTTATACTTCTGCTAATGGAAAAATTATTTATACTTCTGCTAATGGGAAAGTTATTTATACTTCTGCTAATGGGAAAGTTATTTATACTTCTGCTAATGGAAAAATTATTTATACTTCTGCTAATGGAAAAATTATTTATACTTCTGCTAATGGAAAAATTATTTATACTTCTGCTAATGGAAAAGTTATTTATACTTCTGGTAATTCAAAAAAAAATTCACTTCCGGTAAATTGAAATGTTTTTAAAAAACGACACACGTGTTGTCCGCGTGTGTAGAGAGTCACGTGACTGTACTCACTGCCAAAAATGACGTCACCGCTGGTCGTGACGGACACATACGGGTCCTTGATGCCCCTGATGACGTCAACAGTGTAGCTCAAGCTGACGGTCTCCAGGGGTGACGTGGCCGTGACCTTGATGGTCCTTGACCCTTTGCTGTTGTACGTCACATTCCTGGCGTCACACTGGTTTTTCCCGTTACCTGGTAGGTCAAGGTCACATTGTTGTAATCAGTCTAGACACCCGTGGGTCAAGGTCACATTGTTGTAATCAGTCTAGACACTCGTACGTCAAACTTTTTTTATTCACCCGTGATTTTATTCAATAGTTTTGCTATACAAATACTTATTCACGGAGTTCTTTCAAACTTAGAAAAACCACCACCTTATTTAAAATACACTGGAATTAATTTGACAACCACCCCACTTAGAAAAACCACCACCTTATTTAAAATACACTGGAATTAATTTGACAACCACCCCACTTAGAAAAACCACCACCTTATTTAAAATACACTGGAATTAATTTGACAACCACCCCACTTAGAAAACCACCACCTTATTTAAAATACACTGGAATTAATTTGACAACCACCCCACTTAGAAAAACCACCAGCTTATTTAAAATACACTGGAATTAATTTGACAAACATTCTATTAAACTGTACTGGATACAGTTTTTTTTAATACACTCTTTACACACCTGCTTCGTTAAAACATTCTTAATTACTCACGTTGGTCATTCCTTGCCACTCAAGAAAGATTCTCAAACATAACTTTGTATTATCCTAATACAACAGCGGTTATTGTATTATCCTCATATAACAGCGGTTATTGTATTACCCTAATACAACAGCGGTTATTGTATTACCCTAATACAACAGCGGTTATGGTATTACCCTAATACAACAGCGGTTATTGTATTACCCTAATACAACAGCGGTTATTGTATTACCCTAATACAACAGCGGTTATTGTATTACCCTAATACAACAGCGGTTATTGTATTACCCTAATACAACAGCGGTTATTGTATTACCACCATACGATAACCGTTGGATAGCACTATATACTCTTGAACTAAAAACAAAAGAGATAAATAAAATGTTGTAGCACTAATATTTTAACAAGGCTTTGGGGAGAGAAGTCTTCGTTTGATGGAGTAGGGCTTGTGGGTGACAGGACAAAAGATCTCCGGACAAATGATCTCAGGACAAATGATCTCAGGACAAATTATCTCCGGACAAATTATCTCAGGACAAATGATCTCAGGACAAATGATCTCAGGACAAAAGATCTCAGGACAAAAGATCTCAGGACAAAAGATCTCAGGACAAAAGATCTCAGGACAAAAGATCTCAGGACAAAAGATCTCAGGACAAAAGATCTCAGGACAAATGATCTCAGGACAAATTATCTCCGGACAAATTATCTCAGGACAAATTATCTCAGGACAAATGATCTCCGGACAAAAGATCTCCGGATAAAAGATCTCAGGACAAAAGATCTCCGGATAAAAGATCTTAGGACAAATGATCTCAGACAAATTAACTCACATCAAAATATTTATAGCATATATGAGGAATTTAGTCGATAAAAAAATAAAAATTGTGTCATTGGTTGTTTTGTTTTACTTTTTTATACATAATAATTGTGGATGAAAGTTTTTTTGCATAGCCTTGTCACACTACATTCAACAAATTTAAATTGCAATTAGAAGTTAAATATTTTGTAGAGGAAAACTTTGTTTTGATAGAGTAGACAGTAACAGAATCACTTGACATTTATAAAGACTCTGGCTCACCAAGTTAGGGGTTGAATTAATTAATTAGTCTCAATGGTTGTCATAATGGCTTAAGATGGCTGATTAATAAAATTAATTAATTATGTGAGTGTCGTATAAAAGAGATAAACATCAAAGATAAATCAAGATACATGTTTATACAGTGACCAGTGGGGTAGGCATGGGCTTAAGCCGCTATAGAATATATATATATATATATATATATATATATATATATATATATATAATACAATATATATATATAATACAATATATATATATATATATATATATATATATATATATATATATATATATATTGTATTATATAAAACAAAATATAAGTGCTAAATCCTGCCTATACCTTCAGTTTATATACATCTCAAAACATATACATTCAGTTTGGTTGCAATGTTAACTAAATTTGTTTAATTAGGAATTAACATGCAAACATGTATCCGTATGTGTATCAACTCATGACTTAAACTTTCGATTGGTAAGATCTCAAGACAAAAATTGGACAAGTGAAACTTTTAAATAGCCAAAAACTTAACACCGTTGATTTTTGTACGGCTTTAAAATAAAATACTGATAAAAAAAATTTAAAAGAATTAATTTGATCCGTGTAAGTGATGAAAATATAGCTTCGTGTTGACGCTTAGTAACGGATAAAACGATGAAAATATTGACAAACAGTAAACATTGACAAACGGTGAAAAATATTGAAAACATTACAGTTGTAAATGTTGAAAAAAATGTGTAACAATAATGTTGAATATGTGGAAAGAAATGTTGAAAAACATTGAAAAATAACTGTCAAAATATGTTGAAAAACATTGAAATAAAATCGAAAATTTCGAAAAAATGTTGATTTAAAAGAAGGTGAAAAAAATGTTGATAAAATGTTGATTTTAAAAACCATATATGTAAAACAGAACATTAAAATGAGAATGTAGAAAGACAGAAATAGAATTCGATATTAAGAACGACGTCAACCATAAACAATGACGTCAACCATATAAATGACGTCAAATAGGCTCAAAATCTCAGACGGAAACCCTGGATGAGATACAACAAATAGAACATAAGAAATAGTGTGCGATTAAATGATGTCACATGTTGCCATGGTGACCACAATTCAACAGCGTGCAGCACGCATGCAAGTTATAAAGTAACAAGTAACAATCCAAAGTAACAAATGTAACAAATGTTACAAATAACAGATAGAACTCACCTGCTCTATCAGCTAATGACAAAGGTTCCAATTAATTGTTTTAATTAGTTTAATTTATGGCGAATTACTATAAATTGCCGTACATTGATTACTTTAGTCACTGAATTCAATAATTCTGTTAATTACGGAATTTAATTTCATTGGATGAGGATGTTGATGTGAATGTTGATGTTGTGGTTGAGGTGTGTGTTGATGTCGTGTTTGTTGTGGTGTGTGTTGATGTCGTGTTTGTTGAGGCGTGTGTTGATGTGTTTGTTAAGGTGTGTGTTAATGTCGTGTTTGTTGAGGTGTGTGTTGGTGGCGTGTTTGTTGTGGTGTGTGTTGATGTCGTGTTTGTTGTGGTGTGTGTTGATGTGTATGTTGATGTTGTGGTTGAGGTGTGTGTTGATGGCGTGTTTGTACTGTGGGTGTGTACCGTGACAGACGGTGAGATGAGGTGCAAAAACCGCCTGGTACTTCTGCCTGTACCTGTCCAAAAATTCGATTCGATGATGAAATGATTGAATTCGCCTTTATGTGATTTTATGTCACCATCTATAAATGGTAAATCCCAGGATAAGTTACATAAACAGATAAACCCCACATTGTGTCACCACCTAAAACATAAACCCCACATTGTGTCACCATCTGAAACATAAACCCCGCATTGTGTCACCATCTGAAACAGATAAACCCCGCATTGTGTCACCATCTGAAACAGATAAACCCCGCATTGTGTCACCATCTGTAACAGATAAACCCCACATTGTGTCACCACCTAAAACAGAACCCCACATTGTGTCACCACCTACCTGTACGCTGTATCACCAGTGGGCCTTTGCCGTCGCCAAAGTCAAAGGTCATGTTGCAGAGGTCACCAGTAGGTCCCCGGAACAGGCAGAAGACGACCTCGTAGGGCAGGTCCAGGGCAGCGGCAGGGAACTGCGGCAGGAAGAACGGGCCGGCCAGTTTCTCCACGACAGTCACGGGCTGGGGGCAAACAGTAGGTCAGTCACGTGACGGCACAGGGTGACATGTGACAATATCACGTGACGGCACAAGGTGACACGTGACGACAAAACAGCCCCAGCACTTCTACTAAAGCCACTGTAATTCTACCAAAGCACCCTGTACTTCTACAAAAGCCCCTGCACTTCTACTAAAAACCCTGTAAATCTACCAAAGCCCCTTGTACGTCTACCAAAGCCCCCATCACTTCTACAAAAGCCCATGAGCATCTACCAAAGCACCTTGTACATCTACCAAAGACCCCTGTACTTTTACAAAAGCACCCTGCACATCTACCAAAGTCCCCTGTACGTCTACCAAAGCCCCTTTATTTCTACCAAAGCCCCCTGTACTTCTACAAAAGCCCAGGTACATCTACCGAAATCCCCTGTACGTCTACCAAAGCCCCCTGTACGTATACCAAAGCCCCCCTGTACTTCTACAAAAGCCCCCTGTAGTCTACCAAAGCCCCTTTACTTCTACCAAAACCCCCTGAACGTCTACCGAAGCCCTTTTACTTCTACCAAAGCCCCCTGTACTTCTACCAAAGCCCCCTGTAATCTACCAAAGCCCCCTGTACTTCTACCAAAGCCCCCTGTACTTCTACCAAAGCCCCCTGTACATATACCAAAGCCCCCTGTAATCTACCAAAGCCCTCTGTACATCTACCAAAGCCCCATGTACATATACCACAGCCCTCTGTACATATACCACAGCCCCCTGTACATCTACCAAAGCCCCCTGTATATGTACCAAAGCCCCCTGAACATTTACCAAAGCCCCCTGAACATTTACCAAAGCCCCCTGTACATCTACCAAAGCCCCCTGTACCTCTACCAAAGCCCCTTGTACCTCTACCAAAGCCCCCTGTACCTCTACCAAAGCCCCCTGTACCTCTACCAAAGCCCCCTGTACATGTACCAAAGCCCCCTGTACATCTACCAAAGCCCCCTGTACATCTACCAAAGCCCCCTGTACATCTACCAAAGCCCCCTGTACCTCTACCAAAGCCCCCTGAACAAAGCCCCCTGTACATCTACCAAAGCCCCCTGTACCTCTACCAAAGCCCCCTGAACATCTACCAAAGCCCCCTGTACATCTACCAAAGCCCCCTGTACATCTACCAAAGCCCCCTGTACCTCTACCAAAGCCCCCTGAACAAAGCCCCCTGTACATCTACCAAAGCCCCCTGTACCTCTACCAAAGCCCCCTATACCTCTACCAAAGCCCCCTGTACGTGTACCAAAGCCCCCTGTACATGTACCAAAGCCCCCTGTACATCTACCAAAGCCCCCTGTACCTCTACCAAAGCCCCCTGAACAAAGCCCCCTGTACATCTACCAAAGCCCCCTGTACCTCTACCAAAGCCCCCTGTACATCTACCAAAGCCCCCTATACATCTACCAAAGCCCCCTGTACCTCTACCAAAGCCCCCTGTACATCTACCAAAGCCCCCTGTACATCTACCAAAGCCCCCTGTACCTCTACCAAAGCCCCCTGTACATCTACCAAAGCCCCCCCCCCCCCTGAACAAAGCCCCCTGTACCTCTACCAAAGCCCCCTGTACCTCTACCAAAGCCCCCTGTACATCTACCAAAGCCCCCCCCCCCTGAACATCTACCAAAGCCCCCTGTACATCTACCAAAGCCCCCTGTACATCTACCAAAGCCCCCTGTACGTCTACCAAAGCCCCCTGTACATCTACCAAAGCCCCCTGTACCTTGAGGCAAGTCTTGGTCCCCATGATGTTCTGTAGTCTGGCCATCACTTTGTACGTGCCCGTGTCACGGTACTGGTAGCTGTAGTTCTTGTTCATCTCTAGTGCGGGCTGGGGGAGGGGGGGAGGGGTCAGTGGGTTGTCAGTGGTTGGTGGGTTGAGAGCGGTTGGTAGGTTGTGAGTGGTGGTGGGGTGTGGGTGTGGGTGGTTGGAGATGGTGGGTGGTTGGTGGGTTGGAGATGGTGGGTGGTTGGTGGGTTGTCAGTGGTTATCAAATTTCAATTACACGTATGTTTATGTTAATTTCAATAAAATGTTTACCTGTGTTGTGTTAATGTTTACCCGTGCCAATGTCTACCTGTGTTGTGCTAATGTTTACCTGTGTTGTGCTAATGTTTACCTGTGTTGTGCTAATGTTTACCTGTGTTGTGCCAATGTCTACCTGTGTTGTGCCAATGTCTACCTGTGTTGTGCCAATGTCTACCTGTGTTTTGCCAATGTCTACCTGTGTTGTGCCAATGTCTACCTGTGTTGTGCCAATGTTTACCTGTGTTGTACCAATGTTTACCTGTGTTGTGCTTATGTTTACCTGTGTTGTGCCAATGTTTACCTGTGTTGTGCCAATGTCTACCTGTGTTGTGCAAATGTCTACCTGTGTTGTGCCAATGTCTACCTGTGTTGTGCCAATGTCTACCTGTGTTGTGCCAATGTCTACCTGTGTTGTGCCAATGTCTACCTGTGTTGTGTCAATGTTTACCTGTGCCAATGTTTACCTGTGCCAATGTTTACCTGTGCCAATGTTTACCTGTGCCAATGTTTACCTGTGCCAATGTTTACCTGTGCCAATGTTTACCTTTGTTGTGCTACTGTTTACCTGTGCCAATGTTTACCTGTGTTGTGCCAATGTTTACCTGTGCTGTGCCAATGTTTACCTGTGCTGTGCCAATGTTTACCTGTGTTGTGCCAATGTTTACCTGTGTTTTGCCAATGTTTACCTGTGTTGTGCCAATGTTTACCTGTGTTGTGCTAATGTTTACCTGTGCCAATGTTTACCTGTGTTGTGCCAATGTTTACCTGTGCTGTGCCAATGTTTACCTGTGCTGTGCCAATGTTTACCTGTGTTGTGCCAATGTTTACCTGTGTTGTGCCAATGTTTACCTGTGTTGTGCTAATGTTTACCTGTGCCAATGTTTACCTGTGTTGTGCCAATGCTTACCTGTGCTGTGCCAATGTTTACCTGTGCTGTGCCAATGTTTACCTGTGCTGTGCCAATGTTTACCTGTGCTGTGCCAATGTTTACCTGTGCTGTGCCAATGTTTACCTGTGCTGTGCCAATGTTTACCTTTGTTGTGCTAATGTTTACCTGTGCCAATGTTTACCTGTGTTGTGCCAATGTTTACCTGTGCTGTGCCAATGTTTACCTGTGTTGTGCCAATGTTTACCTGTGTTGTGCCAATGTTTACCTGTATTGTGCCAATGTTTACCTGTGTTGTGCTAATGTTTACCTGTGCCAATGTTTACCTGTGTTGTGCCAATGTTTACCTGTGCTGTGCCAATGTTTACCTGTGCTGTGCCAATGTTTACCTGTGCTGTGCCAATGTTTACCTGTGTTGTGCCAATGTCTACCTGTGTTGTGCAAATGTTTACCTGTGTTGTGCTAATGTTTACCTGTGCTGTGCTAATGTTTACATGTGTTGTGCCAATGTTTACCTGTGTTGTGCCAATGTTTACCTGTACCAATATTTACCTGTGCCAATGTTTACCTGTGTTGTGCCAATGTTTACCTGTGTTGTGCCACTGTTTACCTGTGTTGTACCAATGTTTACCAGTGCTGTGCTAATGTTTACCTGTGTTGTGCCAATGTTTACCTGTGCCAATATTTACCTGTGCCAATGTTTACCTGTGTTGTGCCAATGTTTACCTGTGTTGTGCCAATGTTTACCTGTGTTGTGCTAATGTTTACCTGTGTTGTGCCAATGTTTACCTGTGTTGTGCTAATGTTTACCTGTGTTGTGCCAATGTTTACCTGTGTTGTGCCAATGTTTACCTGTGCCAATGTTTACCTGTGTGTCCCTGCTTGTCAGCTCCCCCCAGTTGATTGTGAGCGTGGGTTCTGTGGGCAGGGCAGGGGCTGTGAACATCAGGTTGACGAGGGCGGGCGGGTGGTAGAGGGCGTACTCGTCCAGGTTGCAGTTAATCATCCCCACCCCCACCAGCACCAACATCTCCACGGACCTCGTTTGGCTGCCTGGGGAGGGGGTGGGGGTGGGGCAGATTGCAGGCGAGTTACAACTATATTGTTGAAGGCGGGTGTTGATGTGAGATTGAACTAACTCACCTCACACACATAATGTTAGCTTCAACTTCGCACCCCCACCCCATACGGGGATAGGTTAGATCAAACACTTACCCCCCGCATTCCTAAAGGTCGCCCTGACCGTAAACCTGCCACCATTGAAGTACTTGTGTACGAAGGTCTGTGCACCTGGCCAGTTGGTGTTGAGAGGTTGGGTGTACGTGTCGTTATAGCCGTCGCCATAGTCGACCGTCACTGTGACGTCAGATCCGGCGGATATGTTGGCCACGAAGTAGACGTCGTCGTAACTTGAAAAAAAAAGGTGAACAGGTAATTTTATAGGTTGGATGTAAGAGACAGGTATTTCTGTAAGAGACTGACACAGGGAGGTGTGTAAGAAGCTAATGTGTAATGTGTGTAAGAGTCTGACCTGCTGGCGTTAGCGACATTGGTTGTAAAGGTCGGGTTGGCGATAGCCGTCAGGATGGTGAAGTTTGTGGAGATCTGCTGGGTGCTGACGTCATTCCATGCCCTGAGAACCAGCGGTAGGACCATGTTCCCGCGCCCCGGCTGTAGGCTCGTCTGCCACTTGTAGGCCGAGACTTGGGAGAAATCTGGGGAATACGTCACGTCACACGTCACGAACGTCACGTGATACGTCACGAACGTCACGTGATACGCCAAGTGACACGTCAAAAACGTGTGACACGTCACGAACGTCACGGAGTAATCACGTGACGTCAGGGACGACACGTGACACGTCACGAGCACCACGTGACACGTCACGAATACCACGTGAATTAGCACTTATGTGGAAACGTAAAACTGTCTAACTCCTATAGAATTACAAGCACAATGATGTGGATGTGGTGTGGATCAACTTTTGGCGCACTGAATCCACAAACCTGGATAAAACTGATTACATTTTCAACTTGCTTACACATCCAACGCTTACATACTCAACGTGCATGAAAAAACTTTACTACGCGTGTAAACCTACACAGCCACACCCCCTCCCCCATATGATGCCCACTAAAACAAAAGTAGCTATCACGTGATCTCACTGGTCAGTGCAATTCCGTTGAGGGTGAGTGCAAAGTTCAAGGCCGTGCCAGCGTCGACCTGCCAGATGATGAAGAAGTTCTGGTTGGTGTTGGCGCCGAGGGTGAGCAGCTGGAGGTTGCTGATCAGGTCCTGGACCTTCACCTGCAGCACGTGCGTCCCTCGGCTCACCTGGTTGGAGCACGTGATGTTGATGCTGTAGACGCCAGGTGTGGCGTATGTGTAGCTGAAACATGGACCAACAGGTTAGCCGTTAGCCTATCCTTCATAACCGTTAACCTAACCATCTTAACCCTAAACAGCTTCATCACAAAAACTAACCCTAACCGTTGGCCTAACCTTCATCTTAACCCTAGCCTAAAGAGCTTCAACAAAAACACAAATCCTTACCGTTTAACCTTTAGCCCAGATAGCTTCAGCTTTAACCCTAGCCCCAACTGTCTACAAACCTACCCAAACGTAATGTGCTATACCTGTTCAAGCCTCACAAATTGATCTAACCAGCTACTCCAAAGACTTTCTAAACTTTAACGTTCAGAAGAGAAAAGGAAACACAGATTCGTTCAACTAATGTGCGCCATATTTGGTCAGATAGGGCATCACGTGACTACCTTTTGGTGGCGTTGGCCATGGGACCAGAGAGGAGGCCGCTGTTCTGTCTGCCGGTGTTGTCGCCGTAGTCGTAGGTGCAGGTGTAGTTGGTGCCAGACACCACGTTCACCAGGACAGGTGTCATCAGGCCGCGGACTGCAAGGTCAGTGAACGGAGTAGTGTCAAGGTCAAGGTGAATGTTTAAAGATGGTAGTGTAAAGGTCAAGGTGAATGTTTTAAGATGGTAGTGTAAAGGTCAAGGTGAATGTTTAAAGACGTTAGTATAAAGGTCAAGGTGAATGTTTAAAGACGGTAGTGTAAAGGTCAAGGTAGGTAAGGTTCTGTATCGTGGTCGAAAGTAAGTTTTTAAACCTCTGGTATCAAGGTCAAGGTGAGTTAACGTTCTGGCTCCATGGTCCAAGTATTAACACCTATAGTATCATGGTCAAGGTGAGTACAAGTTTTGATAACAAGGTCAAGGTGAATTTACATTTTGCAATAGAGTTTACCTGAGACAGTAGAGTTTACCTGTGGCAGTAGAGTTTACCTGTGGCAGTAGAGTTTACCTGTGGCAGTAGAGTTTACCTGTGGCAGTAGAGTTTACCTGTAGCAGTAGAGTTTAGCTGTGGCAGTAGAGTTTACCTGTGGCAGTAGAGTTTACCTGTGGCAGTAGAGTTTACCTGTGGCAGTAGAGTTTACCTATGGCCGTAGAGTTTACCTGTGGCAGTAGAGTTTACCTGTGGCAGTAGAGTTTACCTGTGGCAGTAGAGTTTACCTGTGGCAGTAGAGTTTACCTGTGGCAGTAGAGTTTACCTGTGGCAGTAGTTTACCTGTAGTGTTGCTGTACATAAAAACCCCCGTGACTTCGTCCAGGGCGTAGACTGTTGTGCCGTTGCTCTTCTGGCTGATGCTGTTGTAGATGGTGACGTTGACGTCGTAGATGCCGCTGGAGTTGAAGGTGTAGCTGAGGCTGCTGTTCCTGGTCTGCAGGAACTTGGTGCCGTCGCTGATGGTCCAGTTGTAGTAGAGGTCACTTCCTGTGGGACGCGAGCAGACGATCAGTTAGTCACGTGACGTGTACGGAGGGGGGGAGGTCAACAGCTGATGTGCTGACACAGACACAATGTCTTGTTGTGGATACAGATGTCAGCAAAAATGTTTTCTTGACGTTAAGATATCTAGTCTTTAGATGGGCATTCAAGACTACCTGTGTGACTAGCACCGACTCACCTGTGTGACTAGCACCGACTCACCTGTGTGGTTGGCACCGACCTACCTGTATGTCTAGCACCGACCCACCTGTGTGGCTGGCACTGACTCACCTGTGTGACTAGCACCGACTCACCTGTGTGGGGGTCCAGCAGGATGACGACCACCTTCCTAGTGGCACCGACTTACCTGTGTGGGGGTCCAGCAGGAAGACGACCACCTTCCTAGTGGCACCGACTTACCTGTGTGGGGGTCCAGCAGGAAGACGACCACCGTCCTCTCACCTGTGTGGGGGTCCAGCAGGAAGACGACCACCTTACTGGTGGCACCGACTTACCTGTGTGGGGGTCCAGCAGGAAGACGACCACCGTCCTCTCACCTGTGTGGGGGTCCAGCAGGAAGACGACCACCTTCCTAGTGGCACCGACTCACCTGTGTGGGGGTCCAGCAGGAAGACGACCACCTTCCTAGTGGCACCGACTCACCTGTGTGGGGGTCCAGCAGGAAGATGACCACCTTCCTGGTGGCACCGACTCACCTGTATGTTTAGCACCGACTCACCTGTGTGGGGGTCCAGCAGGAAGATGACCACCTTCCTAGTGGCACCGACTCACCTGTGTGGCTGGCACCGACTCACCTGTATGTTTAGCACCGACTCACCTGTGTGGGGGTCCAGCAGGAAGACGACCACCTTCCTAGTGGCGGTGTACACCGGTGCCTGGATGATGCTGGCATTGACCCCGTCCAGCACGAGGACAGAGGTCGAGGCCGATGACGTGGCCACGTTGGTCAGCGTCCTGCTACTGACCACAGCTGACAAGGTGAAGTTGCCAGAAGTCTGGAACCGGAACGGTAAGTAAACCTGGGGGTGAGATGTTGATACAATGTAAGTAAACCTGGGGGTGAGATGTTGATACAATGTAAGTAAACCTGGGGGTGAGATGTTGATACAATGTAAGTAAACCTGGGGGTGAGATGTTGATACAATGTAAGTAAACCTGGGGGTGAGATGTTGATACAATGTAAGTAAACCTGGGGGTGAGATGTTGATACAATGTAAGTAAACCTGGGGGTGAGATGTTGATACAATGTAAGTAAACCTGGGGGTGAGATGGTGATACAATGTAACTAAACCTGGGGGTGAGATGTTGATACAATGTAAGTAAACCTGGGGGTGAGATGTTGATACAATGTAAGTAAACCTGGGGGTGAGATGTTGATACAATGTAAGTAAACCTGGGGGTGAGATGTTGATACAATGTAAGTAAACCTGGGGGTGAGATGTTGATACAATGTAAGTAAACCTGGGGGTGAGATGTTGATACAATGTAAGTAAACCTGGGGGTGAGATGTTGATACAATGTAAGTAAACCTGGGGGTGAGATGTTGATACAATGTAAGTAAACCTGAGGGTCAGATGTTGATACAATGTAAGTAAACCTGGGGGTGAGATGTTGATACAATGTAAGTAAACCTGGGGGTGAGATGTTGATACAATCTCAACTTTTCTGTTTGTAACACCTTTTTAATGGAGATGCCCACTCCCCTCCCCCCATCATTTAGCTGACCTCATACTAATGTGAGACTGACCTTTGACCCAGCTGAAGCGACGGCCGTGATGGCGTGTCGTGCGGTGATGACAGTTCCGCCAGACGAGACGAACGACTGGCTGACGGTGGTGCTGCTGTAGGTGAACATCCGGTCAGATGTGTCCGCGGTGCTGGAGATCCTGGCCAGAACACTGGCACCAGAGTCCTGCTGTAGGCCCATGATATAGCCGGGCTCCACCTGGTGGGCAGGGGCAGGTGGTCAGTGAGGCACGTGGTCAGTGGGGTCACCTGGTCAGTGGGGTCACGTGGTCAGTGGGGTCACGTGGTCAGTGGGGTCACGTGGTCAGTGGGGTCACGTGGTCAGTGGGGTCACGTGGTCAGTGGGGTCACAGGGTCAGTGGGGTCACAGGGTCAGTGGGGTCACGTGGTCTGTGGGGTCACAGGGTCAGTGGGGTCACGTGGTCAGTGGGGTCACAGGGTCAGTGGGGTCACGTGGTCAGTGGGGTCACAGGGTCAGTGGGGTCACGTGGTCAGTGGGGTCACAGGGTCAGTGGGGTCATGTGGTCAGTGGGGTCACGTGGTCAGTGGGGTCACGTGGTCAGTGGGGTCACGTGGTCAGTGGGGTCAGTGGGGTCACGTGGTCGTGAGGTCACACGCAAGGTCATATGGGTCAGTGAAGTCACACACAAGGTCATATGGGTCAGCCAACTCACACAACAAGGTCATATGGATAGGTGAGGTCACACAACAAGGTCATATGGGTCAGTGAGGTCACACAACAAGAATGCTGAGTACATAGGCGAGAGAAAGAAACTCACCTGTAATTTTGTCGACTCAGGTACATAGATGTACCCAGTACTTGCTGCTGTCACTGTTACTTTATACATTATCTGTCACAAAAGGTGTTTTCGGAATGTATGACCATCGAAATGGAAAATGTGACAATTTGACTAACCAATTTTAAAATGTGACAATTAGGCTAACGAAACTTTAAAAAAAACCTGGCCAACCTGGTATGACATAGGCAAGCTGGCATATCGCGAGACCGTCTGAGCACACGACGAGTAGCACTTGGACGCTTGACCACAGAACTGCTGACCCGTGGCGCACGAGACGACCTTGGCCGTGGATGACTCACAGCTGCTGGAGCAGGTGTTTCGGCTGTAGCAGTAGGTGCCACTGCTGCAGGTGGGCTTCAGGATCTGGTGATGTATGGGAGGCGTTAGGGGCTTCAGGTGGGCTTCAGGATCTGGTGATGTATGGATGGGAGGGTTGGGGCTTCAGGTGGGCTTCAGGATCTGGTAATGTATGGGAGGTGTTAGGGGCTTCAGGTGGGCTTCAGGATCTGGTGATGTATGGGAAGCGTTAGGGGCTTCAGGTGGGCTTCAGGATCTGGTGATGTATGGATGGGAGGGTTGGGGCTTCAGGTGGGCTTCAGGATCTGGTAATGTATGGGAGGTGTTAGGGGCTTCAGGTGGGCTTCAGGATCTGGTGATGTATGGGAGGCGTTAGGGGCTTCAGGTGGGCTTCAGGATCTGGTGATGTATGGATGGGAGGGTTGGGGCTTCAGGTGGGCTTCAGGATCTGGTAATGTATGGGAGGTGTTAGGGGCTTCAGGATCTGGTGATGGATAGGAGGTGTTAGGGGCTTCAGGTGGGCTTCAGGATCTGGTAATGTATGGGAGGCGTTAGGGGCTTCAGGTGGGCTTCAGGATCTGGTAATGTATGGGAGGTGTTAGGGGCTTCAGGATCTGGTGATGGATGGGAGGTGTTAGGGGCTTCAGGTGGGCTTCATGATCTGGTAATGTATGGGAGGTGTTAGGGGCTTCAGGATCTGGTGATGTATGGGAGGTGTTAGGGGCTTTAGGTGGGCTTCAGGATCTGGTAATGTATGGGAGGTGTTAGGGGCTTCAGGATCTGGTGATGTATGGGAGGTGTTAGGGGCTTTAGGTGGGCTTCAGGATCTGGTAATGTATGGGAGGTGTTAGGGGCTTCAGGATCTAGTGATGGATGGGAGGTGTTAGGGCTGCAGGTGGGCTTCATGTGGGCTTCAGGATCTGGTGAGGTATGGGAGGTGTTAGCGGCTTAAGGTGGGCTTCAGGATCTGGTAATGTATGGGAGGTGTTAGGGGCTAGGATCTGGTGATGGATAGGAGGTGTTAGGGGCTTTAGGTGGGCTTCAGGATCTGGTGATGTATGGGATGTGTTAGGGGCTTCAGGTGGGCTTTAGGATCTGGTAATGTATGGGAGGTGTTAGGGGCTTCAGGTGGGCTTTAGGATCTGGTAATGTTTGGGAGGTGTTAGGGGCTTCAGGATCTGGTAATGTATGGGAGGTGTTAGGGGCTTTAGGATCTGGTGATGGATGGGAGGTGTTTGGGGCTTCAGGTGGGCTTCAGGATCTAGTAATGTATGGGATGTGTTAGGGGCTTCAGGTGGGCTTCAGGATCTGGTGATGGATGGGAGGTGTTAGGGGCTTCAGGTGGGCTTTAGGATCTGGTAATGTTTGGGAGGTGTTAGGGGCTTCAGGATCTGGTAATGTATGGGAGGTGTTAGGGGCTTTAGGATCTGGTGATGGATGGGAGGTGTTTGGGGCTTCAGGTGGGCTTCAGGATCTGGTAATGTATGGGAGGTGTTAGGGGCTTCAGGTGGGCTTCAGGATCTGGTAATGTATGGGAGGTGTTAGGGGCTTCAGGTGGGCTTCAGGATCTGGTGATGGATGGGAGGGTTGGGGCTTCAGGTGGGCTTCAGGATCTGGTAATGTATGGGAGGTGTTAGGGGCTTCAGGATCTGGTGATGGATGGGAGGTGTTAGGGGCTTAAGGTGGGCTTCAGGATCTGGTAATGTATGGGAGGTGTTAGGGGCTTCAGGTGGGCTTCAGGATCTGGTGATGGATGGGAGGTGTTAGGGGCTTTAGGTGGGCTTCAGGATCTGGTAATGTATGGGAGGGTAGGGGCTTCAGGTGGGCTTCAGGATCTGGTGATGTATGGGAGGTGTTAGGGCTTCAGGATCTGGTGATGTATGGGAGGTGTTAGGGCTGCAGGTGGGCTTCATGTGGGCTTCAGGATCTGGTGATGTATGGGAGGTGTTAGGGGCTTAAGGTGGGCTTCAGGATCTGGTAATGTATGGGAGGTGTTAGGGGCTTTAGGATTTGGTGATGGATGGGAGGTGTTAGGGGCTTCAGGTGGGCTTTAGGATCTGGTGATGTATGGGAGGTGTTAGGGGCTTTAGGATCGGCTAATGTATGGGAGGTGTTAGGAGCTTCATGATCTGGTAATGTATGGGAGGTGTTAGGGGCTTCAGGATCTGGTAATGTATGGGAGGTGTTAGGGGCTTTAGGATCTGGAATGTATGGGAGGTGTTAGGGGCTTCAGGATCTGGTAATGTATGGGAGGTGTTAGGGGCTTTAGGATCGGGTAATGTATGGGAGGTGTTAGGGGCTTTAGGATCTGGTAATGTATGGGAGGTGTTAGGGGCTTTAGGGTCTGGTAATGTATGGGAGGTGTTAGGGGCTTCAGGATCTGGTAATGTATGGGAGGTGTTAGGGGCTTCAGGATCTGGTAATGTATGGGAGGTGTTAGGGGCTTCAGGTGGGCTTCAGGATCTAGTGATGGATGGGAGGTGTTAGAGGCTTTAGGATCGGGTAATGTATGGGAGGTGTTAGGAGCTTCATGATCTGGTAATGTATGGGAGGTGTTAGGAGCTTCAGGTGGGCTTCAGGATCTGGTAATGTATGGAAGGTGATAGGGGCTTTAGGCATTATGGGCTTCAGGATCTGGTAATGTATGGGGGGCACCATGTAATACACACACATCAAGACACAAGTAAAACCAAACTGTTTTTCGATTCGACTTTCTGAGTTCAACCATCTCAACAACTTCCTGAGTTCAACCATCCCAACAACTTCCTGAGTTCAACCATCCCAACAACTTCCTGAGTTCAACCATCCCAACAACTTCCTGAGTTCAACCATCTCATCAACTTCCTGAGTTCAACCATCTCAACTTCCTGAGTTCAACCATCTCAACTTCCTGAGTTCAACCATCCCAACAACTTCCTGAGTTCAACCATCCCAACAACTTCCTGAGTTCAACCATCTCATCAACTTCCTGAGTTCAACCATCCCAACAACTTCCTGAGTTCAACCATCTCAACTTCCTGAGTTCAACCATCCCAACAACTTCCTGAGTTCAACCATCCCAACAACTTCCTGAGTTCAACCATCTCATCAACTTCCTGAGTTCAACCATCTCAACAACTTCCTGAGTTCAACCATCCCAACAACTTCCTGAGTTCAACCATCTCAACTTCCTGAGTTCAACCATCCCAACAACTTCCTGAGTTCAACCATCCCAACAACTTCCTGAGTTCAACCATCTCATCAACTTCCTGAGTTCAACCATCCCAACAACTTCCTGAGTTCAACCATCTCAACTTCCTGAGTTCAACCATCCCAACAACTTCCTGAGTTCAACCATCCCAACAACTTCCTGAGTTCAACCATCCCAACAACTTCCTGAGTTCAACCATCTCATCAACTTCCTGAGTTCAACCATCCCAACAACTTCCTGAGTTCAACCATCCCAACAACTTCCTGAGTTCAACCATCTCATCAACTTCCAGGCCTAAATTTTTAAACTGCTAAACTGGTGTACTTCTCCATCCACCGCTTTAATTGACGTTGTTCCATATTCGATTGGCAAAGAAAACGGTGGGTGGGATCGATACACTTTTGATACTCGCCACCGCGATAATCAACATCGGCCGCCTGCGCAAATTGGACGAGAATTTCAGTTTAATTGGCATCGATCGTCGGCCATTGAGTTTAAATTAACGGGCGATGTAGTCCGTGGTTGGGGTAAGGTTGGTGGCGTCATTGACGCTTGGCTTGGTCAAATAATTTACCCAGCGGCGTCAACGGTCGATGCTGGCTAAAGACGCGGCGTCATTGTTCGTGGCGAGGTATTAAGCAGGAGTCAGCGGCGTCATTACAGTCAGGCACTTTGAGTCTTTTATTTCAACCATCACGGTTCGGTATAAAGCAGGGGTCTCCAAACTTTTCAGCCCGAGGGCCGCATTAACTATCAAATATAAGGTCGGGGGCCAGAGTTTCTTCCAGGCATCTCTTCGGGGTGGCTGAGCCCCCCCCCCCCCCCCGAAGAGCGCACCACACACCCAACGGAATATATATATATATATATATATATATATATATATATATATATATATATATATATATATATATATATATATATATATATATATATATATATATATACACACATTTTAAGTGCCTCCCACCCGAGAAAAAAGTCTGAAAGAAACACTGTCGGGGACCGACAACCCACTCGAGGTTTCAAGTTTGTTCTCAAATTTTTCGTTACGTAGGCCAACTTCATTCTAGAAAAAGTTTGTATGTTGTTCCAAAATTTGAAAGGTGCTTGGATGCAAAAGTTTTAATATTAGGAATATCTTCCTTGGGCAAATATTTATAAAACCCACCCGTCCTTATTTGAACTTGTCTTTAAGGAGGTCATTTGCTGGGCAATTGGCCACATTTACTTCAATGGTATTTACACCCAATGCTACATTTTCCGTTTGTTTTGAATTTTTTCTCAGCCACCTCCAACAAAATTATTTTTTTCCGTTGACAAAAGGATCTCAGAGAGTCCGAGGGCCGGATGAAAGGACCTCGCGGGCCGCATCCGGCTCGCGGGCCGTAGTTTGGAGACCCCTGGTATAAAGGTTTGCAATGTATGGTGTGTTCAAATGAGTGTTTTGTATCTTGTATTTAAATAAGTCTGTGTATCCTGTGTTTAAAATGAAAACACCCAGACTACTGATACCAAACATCCACAAGCCACCAACACAAAGAAAATTGAACCAAATGGACCATAAAACTGTGTGACCTTAACCAAACTACCACCAGAGATAATAGTTCAAATATGTAGCCACATTACCAGGAAACTGTTCTACCACACTTGGCTGCTAGTTGTGTTGTGTTGTATTGTGTTGTGTTGTGTTGTGTTCGTTAATAGACGTTTGGAACCAATTGAAATGGCACTTCCTGTTTGCTGCTTCGCTTGGCTAGTGAACTCTGGCGGCTGGGTGAGTTGATGGAAGGAGGGTTTGGTGAGTTGATTAATGGAGCGCTCACACACTAGCTAGCGGGCTTTTCACACACATTCACGTGAGGGGACAAATGGTTGGGACAAATGGTAGGGGCAAATGGTAGGGACTAATGATGTTGAGACAGCTGCTTTAAGACACTCACCAAGACAGTCAGCTAGGGACCAATGAAGTTGAGACAGCTACTTTAAGACACTCACCAAGACATTCAGCTAGGGACCAATGATGTTGAGACAGCTACTTTAAGACACTCACCAAGACAGTCAGCTAGGGACCAAGGAAGTTGAGACAGCTACTTTAAGACACTCACCAAGACAGTCAGCTAGGGACCCATGAAGTTGAGACAGCTACTTTAAGACACTCACCAAGACAGTCAGCTAGGGACCCATGAAGTTGAGACAGCTACTTTAAGACACTCACCAAGACAGTCAGCTAGGGACCAATGAAGTTGAGACAGCTACTTTAAGACACTCACCAAGACAGTCAGCTAGGGACCAATGAAGTTGAGACAGCTACTTTAAGACACTCACCAAGACGGTCAGCTAGGGACCAATGATGTTGAGACAGGTACTTTAAGACAACAAGACGGTCAGCTAGGGACCAATGATGTTGAGACAGCTACTTTAAGACACTCACCAAGACGGTCAGCTAGGGACCAATGATGTAGAGACAGCTACTTTAAGACACTCACCAAGACAGTCAGCTAGGGACCAATGAAGTTGAGACAGCTACTTTAAGACACTCACCAAGACAGTCAGCTTGCCGGTGCCCAGAGTGTCCAGGTACATCTGCCAGCCGATGACCTTCCCAGAGACCGTGAACTCTGCTGCCGGCATGACGTACACCTGTTGGTTGGAGTTGCCGGGGTTCGCTCCCTTGGCTGGTACACTGGCTCCTGCTAGGGAGAGGGGTGGGTCTGTGGGGGACGGGGGGGGGGGGGGAAGGGGGAGAATAAGTGTCAGGTGACGACACATATGGCACACGTCAGATGACACACGTCAGATGACACACGTCAGATGACACACGTCAGATGGCACACGTCAGATGACACACGTCAGACGACACATGTCAGATGACACACGTCAGATGACACACGTCAGATGACACATGTCAGATGACACACGTCAGATGACATACGTCAGATGGCACACGTCAGATGACACACGTCAGATGACACACGTCAGATGACACACGTCAGATGACACACGTCAGATGACACACGTCAAATGGCACTCGTCAGATGACACACGTCAGATGACACACGTTAGATGACACACGTCAAATGGCACTCGTCAGATGACACACGTCAGACGACACACGTCAGATGACACACGTCAGATGGCACAAGTCAGATGACACACGTCAGACGACACACGTCAGATGAAACACGTCAGACGACACACGTCAGATGACACACGTCAGACGACACACGTCAGATGACACTTCAGATGACACACGTCAGACGACACACGTCACAAAATCAAACAACCGAAAGGTTGGTAACAATTCAAATGTTGAACTAATCATTGAGATTATTCTGGAAGTAATTGGGTCATTAAAAGCTTTCAGGAGTCATTAAGTCATTAAGATTGTTCGAGAGTAACTTAAATGTGATGAAACTGTAGCTGTGTTGTACAAACATCTGAAGTCACGGACTGTTCTAATGGGGCAGCCCGTCAGCGGATGGTGATGTTGTAGTTAGCTAGTGGTGGTGATGTTGTAGTTAGCTAGTGGTGGTGATGTTGCAGTTAGCTAGTGGTGGTGATGTTGCAGTTAGCTAGTGGTGGTGATGTTGTAGTTAGCTAGTGGTGGTGATGTTGTAGTTAGCTAGTGGTGGTGATGTTGTAGTTAGCTAGTGGTGGTGTTGTAACGTTAGATACTGATGGTGATGTTGTAGTTAGCTAGTGGTGGTGATGTTGTAGTTAGCTAGTGGTGGTGATGTTGTAGTTAGCTAGTGGTGGTGATGTTGTAGTTAGCTAGTGGTGGTGATGTTGTAGTTAGCTAGTGGTGGTGATGTTGTAGTTAGCTAGTGGTGGTGATGTTGTAGTTAGCTAGTGGTGGTGATGTTGTAGTTAGCTAGTGGTGGTGATGTTGTAGTTAGCTAGTGGTGGTGATGTTGTAGTTAGCTAGTGGGGGTGATGTTGTAGTTAGCTAGTGGTGGTGATGTTGTAATTAGCTAGTGGTGGTGATGTTGTAGTTAGCTAGTGGTGATGATGTTGTAGTTAGCTAGTGGTGGTGATGTTGTAGTTAGCTAGTGGTGGTGATGTAGTTAGCTACTGATGGCGATGTAGTAGTTAGCTAGTGATGGTGATGTTGTAGTTAGCTAGTGGTGGTGATGTTGTAGTTAGCTACTGATGTTGGTGTTGTAGTTAGCTAGTGGTGGTGATGTTGTAGTTAGCTACTGATGGTGATGTTGTAGTTAGCTACTGATGGTGGTGTTGTAGTTAGCTAGTGGTGGTGATGTTGTAGTTAGCTAGTGGCGGTGATGTTGTAGTTAGCTAGTGGCGGTGATGTTGTAGTTAGCTACTTATTGTGATGTTGTAGTTAGCTACTGAAGGTGATGTTGTAGTTTGCTAGTGGTGATGATGTTGTAGTTAGCTAGTGGTGGTGATGTTGTAGTTAGCTACTGATGGTGATGTAGTAGTTAGCTAGTGATGGTGATGTTGTAGTTAGCTAGTGGTGGTGATGTTGTAGTTAGCTAGTGGTGGTGATGTTGTAGTTAGCTAGTGGTGGTGATGTTGTAGTTAGCTAGTGGTGGTGTTGTAACGTTAGATACTGATGGTGATGTTGTAGTTAGCTAGTGGTGGTGATGTTGTAGTTAGCTAGTGGTGGTGATGTTGTAGCTAGCTAGTGGTGGTGATGTTGTAGTTAGCTAGTGGTGGTGATGTTGTAGTTAGCTAGTGGTGGTGATGTTGTAGTTAGCTAGTGGTGGTGATGTTGTAGTTAGCTAGTGGTGGTGATGTTGTAGTTAGCTAGTGGTGCTGATGTTGTAGTTAGCTAGTGGTGCTGATGTTGTAGTTAGCTAGTGGTGGTGTTGTAACGTTAGATACTGATGGTGATGTTGTAGTTAGCTAGTGGTGGTGATGTTGTAGTTAGCTAGTGGTGGTGATGTTGTAGTTAGCTAGTGGTGGTGATGTTGTAGTTAGCTACTGATGGTGATGTTGTAGTAAGCTAGTGGTGATGATGTTGTAGTTAGCTAGTGGTGGTGATGTTGTAGTTAGCTAGTGGTGGTGATGTAGTTAGCTACTGATGGCGATGTAGTAGTTAGCTAGTGATGGTGATGTTGTAGTTAGCTAGTGGTGGTGATGTTGTAGTTAGCTACTGATGTTGGTGTTGTAGTTAGCTAGTGGTGGTGATGTTGTAGTTAGCTACTGATGGTGATGTTGTAGTTAGCTACTGATGGTGGTGTTGTAGTTAGCTAGTGGTGGTGATGTTGTAGTTAGCTAGTGGCGGTGATGTTGTAGTTAGCTAGTGGCGGTGATGTTGTAGTTAGCTACTTATTGTGATTTTGTAGTTAGCTACTGACGGTGATGTTGTAGTTAGCTAGTGGTGATGATGTTGTAGTTAGCTAGTGGCGGTGATGTTGTAGTTAGCTACTGATGGTGATGTAGTAGTTAGCTAGTGATGGTGATGTTGTAGTTAGCTAGTGGTGGTGATGTTGTAGTTAGCTAGTGGTGGTGATGTTGTAGTTAGCTAGTGGTGGTGTTGTAACGTTAGATACTGATGGTGATGTTGTAGTTAGCTAGTGGTGGTGATGTTGTAGTTAGCTAGTGGTGGTGATGTTGTAGTTAGCTAGTGGTGGTGATGTTGTAGTTAGCTAGTGGTGGTGATGTTGTAGTTAGCTAGTGGTGGTGATGTTGTAGTTAGCTAGTGGTGGTGATGTTGTAGTTAGCTAGTGGTGGTGATGTTGTAGTTAGCTAGTGGTGGTGATGTTGTAGTTAGCTAGTGGTGGTGATGTTGTAGTTAGCTAGTGGGGGTGATGTTGTAGTTAGCTAGTGGTGGTGATGTTGTAATTAGCTAGTGGTGGTGATGTTGTAGTTAGCTAGTGGTGATGATGTTGTAGTTAGCTAGTGGTGGTGATGTTGTAGTTAGCTAGTGGTGGTGATGTAGTTAGCTACTGATGGCGATGTAGTAGTTAGCTAGTGATGGTGATGTTGTAGTTAGCTAGTGGTGGTGATGTTGTAGTTAGCTACTGATGTTGGTGTTGTAGTTAGCTAGTGGTGGTGATGTTGTAGTTAGCTACTGATGGTGATGTTGTAGTTAGCTACTGATGGTGGTGTTGTAGTTAGCTAGTGGTGGTGATGTTGTAGTTAGCTAGTGGCGGTGATGTTGTAGTTAGCTAGTGGCGGTGATGTTGTAGTTAGCTACTTATTGTGATGTTGTAGTTAGCTACTGAAGGTGATGTTGTAGTTTGCTAGTGGTGATGATGTTGTAGTTAGCTAGTGGTGGTGATGTTGTAGTTAGCTACTGATGGTGATGTAGTAGTTAGCTAGTGATGGTGATGTTGTAGTTAGCTAGTGGTGGTGATGTTGTAGTTAGCTAGTGGTGGTGATGTTGTAGTTAGCTAGTGGTGGTGATGTTGTAGTTAGCTAGTGGTGGTGTTGTAACGTTAGATACTGATGGTGATGTTGTAGTTAGCTAGTGGTGGTGATGTTGTAGTTAGCTAGTGGTGGTGATGTTGTAGCTAGCTAGTGGTGGTGATGTTGTAGTTAGCTAGTGGTGGTGATGTTGTAGTTAGCTAGTGGTGGTGATGTTGTAGTTAGCTAGTGGTGGTGATGTTGTAGTTAGCTAGTGGTGGTGATGTTGTAGTTAGCTAGTGGTGCTGATGTTGTAGTTAGCTAGTGGTGCTGATGTTGTAGTTAGCTAGTGGTGGTGTTGTAACGTTAGATACTGATGGTGATGTTGTAGTTAGCTAGTGGTGGTGATGTTGTAGTTAGCTAGTGGTGGTGATGTTGTAGTTAGCTAGTGGTGGTGATGTTGTAGTTAGCTACTGATGGTGATGTTGTAGTAAGCTAGTGGTGATGATGTTGTAGTTAGCTAGTGGTGGTGATGTTGTAGTTAGCTAGTGGTGGTGATGTAGTTAGCTACTGATGGCGATGTAGTAGTTAGCTAGTGATGGTGATGTTGTAGTTAGCTAGTGGTGGTGATGTTGTAGTTAGCTACTGATGTTGGTGTTGTAGTTAGCTAGTGGTGGTGATGTTGTAGTTAGCTACTGATGGTGATGTTGTAGTTAGCTACTGATGGTGGTGTTGTAGTTACCTAGTGGTGGTGATGTTGTAGTTAGCTAGTGGCGGTGATGTTGTAGTTAGCTAGTGGCGGTGATGTTGTAGTTAGCTACTTATTGTGATTTTGTAGTTAGCTACTGACGGTGATGTTGTAGTTAGCTAGTGGTGATGATGTTGTAGTTAGCTAGTGGCGGTGATGTTGTAGTTAGCTACTGATGGTGATGTAGTAGTTAGCTAGTGATGGTGATGTTGTAGTTAGCTAGTGGTGGTGATGTTGTAGTTAGCTAGTGGTGGTGATGTTGTAGTTAGCTAGTGGTGGTATTGTTGTAGTTAGCTAGTGGTGGTGTTGTAACGTTAGATACTGATGGTGATGTTGTAGTTAGCTAGTGGTGGTGATGTTGTAGTTAGCTAGTGGTGGTGATGTTGTAGTTAGCTAGTGGTGGTGATGTTGTAGTTAGCTAGTGGTGGTGATGTTGTAGTTAGCTAGTGGTGGTGATGTTGTAGTTAGCTAGTGGTGGTGATGTTGTAGTTAGCTAGTGGCGGTGATGTTGTAGTTAGCTAGTGGCGGTCATGTTGTAGTTAGCTACTTATTGTGATGTTGTAGTTAGCTACTGAAGGTGATGTTGTAGTTAGCTAGTGGTGATGATGTTGTAGTTAGCTAGTGGTGGTGATGTTGTAGTTAGCTACTGAT